AGCTTCCAAGTTGGGGGACTCCACCTCCCAAAATTCCCAGTTGGGGCTACATAGGCTGGGAATTCTAGGAGTTGAATTATGTAAACTTTCGACATATCTAGAAAGCTGCCCAAATTGAAAAAGAGTGATTTAATCTTTGGACCTCTCTCCTGGATCCTAAGAGAATGCATTTTGGGGGCAGAAAACATCTGATTTCCTGAACCTCTCTTTCATCTGTGGGGAGAAAAATCCAGTCCGGTTCCAAGCCGGAAGAAAAACGCTGGAATTAAAATGGAGGCTGGCTGCAAGGAAAGAAGGTCTCTGTTTATTTGGTTTTCCAGAAACTTCAGTGACAGCAGAAATGTTTCTGGGGTGGCTGACAAAATGGCTGAGTGAGTGGATGGATTTTTATAAGATTCTGGGGTTTTATGATTGAGATGCTCCAGGGGGTTGTGCAATGTAGTGAGCCTTGTGTCTTTTACTATTTCAATGGAGGTGGGTTAATCCTATTATGTCCTAAAGGTCATGTCCTGTCCTTGGAGCTGGGTGGGGGAATGCAAATTCTTAATCCTATCAGCTCCAGCCTGGGGGACCTTGTGGCTGAAGGTGTTTTGTTTGTGAGTAGATTGGCCCAGTCGTTCTGAAGGGATACAAAATCTGCAGTCCTAAATGCCAGCCTCTTCAAGCTTCTTAGATTTCCTATGGCAGGAAGAGTGGGGCTGCTTTCTGCCTTTGTTAAGATTTTTCGCCGTTTCTCCTTTGGGAAAATATAATATTCTGCCTCTTTTAATGTTCCCTAAAATATTTCATTCTCTGGCGGGGGGGAGGGGTCAGCATCAAGGCAGCCACATATATATAAGTGTTCTGTCCCTGTCTCACACACGCACACAAACAGACAGCCAGGGGTTAAATAAAACTGGCAGACAACAAATTCTTTCGATAAGAGGATTGGCAGCAACCCAGTAGCTGCTTTCCAAGAACTTTACTCATAGAGGGAGGGGTTGTTCCTCCGTCAGATAAACCCAAACAAGATACACACAGTTCAAGAATTGTCAAGTCCAGTCCGTATTAAATCCAAGGCAGATAACGTTGTTTCAAAGATACAATGTGACTCGCTAGTAGTTTAGTTTTGTCAGTCACAGAGTCTGAATGGCCACCTCACCCCCTTTTATCCCCTGTGGGGTGTGGTCCAGTGACTCAGCTTAATCTCTGGCACGCCTCCTTTTCTGCTGCGTGCGCTTGTCTCTCTGACGCTGGCGTGGATCCAGCCAAGACTTATCTCCGTCACTGTCCGACTGTGAGGAGATACCTGGCTCCTGGCCAATCTCTTCTCCTTCGGGAGACACCTGAGGCATTGCCAGAGAGGAGGGTCCTGGAGAGGGAGGCCTGGCCAACTCCTCTCCTTCATGTTTGGAGCCTTCTCCCTCCGATAAGTCAGCCTCGGGGGTCGGAGTCACAACAATAAGTGTGTTGTGGTCTGTGGGCCGCCGGTCCCTCCAGCAGCTGAATCAGAGGAGGAAGAGGTGTGGGAGTCAGGTCAGCATCAAGGCAACCTGAGAGCTGTGAGGGGGAAGAAGGAATGGAGCTGGCAGAGAGAGAGAGAGACAGAGGCGGAGCCTGGGCCATCCATCAGCCCTCAGACGGAGAATCAGCAGCCCCCAGGTCTGGAGGTGGCTGATGAGCAAGAGGAGGAACAGCTGGGTCCAGTGCCTGATGCACAGATGCACAGAAGGCAGAGGAGAGAAGAGCAGTGGAAATCTGTGGGCTGATCCTTGGGACAGAAGAGCCACCATTGCTAGCGAAGCCCCACCCTAGCTCTGGGGATAAAATGCAGGGGACGGAGATGAATAGATGTGGCAGACAACTATTTATCTCCCTGCCGACAGACTTGTTAGCCTGCGTTGAGAGAGAAACTTTTTGCTAGTGCTCCTAATAAAGGAATCTTTGAGTTAACTCTCTACATGGGGCTCCCCTTGAGGAGCACCCGGAGGCTCCAGCTGGTCCAGAATGCGGCTGTGCGGGTAGTTATGGGAGCAGCATGGCGCTCCCATGTGGCTCCCCTCCTGCGCGAGCTGCACTGGCTCCCGGTGGTCTTCCGGATGCGCTTCAAGGTCTTGGTTACCACCTTTAGAGCGCTCCATGGCTTAGGACCGGGGTACTTACGAGACCGCCTTCTGCCACCAATAGCCTCTCACCGCCCAGTACGCTCTCATAGAGACGGGCTTCTCAGGGTGCCGTCAGCCAAACAGTGTCGACTGGCGGCCCCCAGGGGGAGAGCCTTTTCTGTGAGGGCACCCACCATCTGGAACGAGCTCCCCCCAGAGATACAGAAGATCCCGGATCTGCGCACTTTCCGCCGTGCCCTCAAAACATTCCTGTTTCAGCAAGCCGGCCTGGCCTAACTTTCCCTTTATATTGCTTTTGATTTTGTTTAAACTGGGATGTCTTGAATTATCTAGGACCAGAGTGTTTAGTATATTTTAATTGGTTTTTTTAACGTTTGTATTACATGTATTTTTATCTTTCGCTGTTCACCGCCCTGAGTCCCTCAGGAATAGGCCGGTATATAAAATAAATAAATAAATAAATAAATAAATAAATAAATAAATAAATAATAAAATAAATAAATAATAAATAAATAAATAAATAAATAAATAATAAATAAATAAATAAATAAATAAATAAATAAATAAATAAATAAATAAATAAATAAATAAATTTCAGTGGGTTTGTCGTGTTAGGCGAGCAAAGTGTTTCTCATCCGTGACAACTTTTAAGATGGGTGAACTTCAACTCCCAGAATACCCCAGCCAGCATGCTCAGTCTAATTGAATTATTGGGGAAGCCAGTCTGTGCTTCTTTCCCACACTTTTTATGTTTCCTGTGGTTAAAGCGTACTTTTATTTTTCTAACCATTTCTGCATATTTTCTCCAAAGTCTGTGTTTCTTTGAAGGGGGTTTTTTTTTATTTATTTATTTATATGCCACCCTTCTCTGGAGACTCAGGACGGCTTACAATGCGTTAAGTAATAGCCTTCATACTTTTGTATATTTTTATACAAAGTCAGCTTATTGCCCCCACAAACTGGGTCCTCATTTTACCTACCTTAGAAAGGATGGAAGGCTGAGTCAACCTTGAGCCTGGTGAGATTCGAAATTACAGTAATTGCAGACAGCTGGTGTTAATCACAATGCTTTTAGTCTGCTGAGCCACCAGGTTTTCTCCTGATTCTTGCTTAGATAGGCAGCTGAATTGGTCTCCAGGAAGAACCAGCTTTCATTCCCTTATCTTGGCCCTTCTCCCAGTTTGTCCTTCTAGATGTATTGGACTACAATTCCACGTTGACCAAGGATGATGGAAGGGGCAGTCCACGTTTTCTGGAGGATGACCTATTAGGAAAAAAGTCTTAACGAGATGCTTAGGATGTCGGTGAAGAAACTTAGCTAAATTTACTTCACTGACTTTATTATATCCTGGGCTTCTAGTGTAGTGTTTCTCAAACTTTGCCACTTTAAAATGTGTGTGGATGTTAAAATAAGGGAATACCACCCAAGAACACAAAAATGAGGAAATGGAATTGCATATTGTCAAATAAATATCGTTATATAATGAAAGATATATAGATTTAGATATACAAATATTTAATTACCGTGATAACTCTACTATCAAAGTTCAGGTATTATACTTGATTTTAATGTTTAGTTTGTTTATGCATAGTATGTTTGTTTGTATGTATTTATGTTTTGTGTTATGTCAATAAAAAAAATAAAATAAAATAAAATAAAATAAATAAAATGTGTGCGGATGTCAAATATGACCTTGGGCTGTGTTCTGTCCCAGCTTCCCAAACACGACAAACCCTCTGAAGTTAACTCAAAGATTCCTTTATTAGAAGCACCAGCAGCCCCGGCAAAATGTTTCTCTCTCAATGCAGGCTAATAAGTCTGTCCGGCCGGGAGATGAATAATTGTCTGCCACATCTATTCATTTCTGCCACCTGCCTTTTATCCCCAGAGCTAGGGTGGGGCTTCGCTAGCAAGGTTGGCTCTTCCATCCCAAGGACCGGTCCATAGATTTCCACTGCTCTCCTCTCCTCTGCCCTCTGTGCATCCGTGTGTCAGGCACTGGACCCAGCTGTTCCTCCTCTTGCTTATCAGCCACTTCCAGACCTGTGGGCTGTTGACTCTCCATCTGAGGGCTGACAGACGGCCCATCTCTCTCTCTCTCTCTCTCTCTCTCTTTGCCAGCTCCATTCCCTCTTTTCCCCTCAGAGCTCTCAGGTTGCCTTGATGCTGACTCTAACTCCCACGTCTCCTCCTCCTCCTCCTCTGATTCGGCTGCTGGAAGGGCCGGTGGCTGATAGGCCACAACAGGCTGCTTCTAGCTACCACCGTGGAAAATGTTGTGCATGTTATTTATTTATTTATTTGATTTATTTGATTTGATTTCTATACCGCCCTACTCCCGAAGGACTCAGGGCGGTGCACAGCCAAACAGTAAAACACATACATACAAAATTTAAAAATAGAATTAAAATCAAATTAAATAGTTTTGGCCCAAATTAAAACCCCAAACTATTTAAAACCAATTTTAAAATTTGAATATATAAAATACTAAAAGATATTAAAAAATTAAAAATCTTTTATAAAAGAGGGAGAAAATTAGGCCAGGCCTAGAGCGCGGCGGAAGGTGTGCAGATCCGGGATCCTCCGTATCTCTGGGGGAGCTCATTCCAGATAGTAGGTGCCCCCACAGAGAAGGCTCTCCCCCTGGGGGCCGCCAGTCGGCATTGTTTGGCCGACAGCACCCTGAGAAGACCCTCTCTATGGGAGCATACCAGCCGGTGGGAGGCTATTGGTGGTAGTAGGCGGTCCCGCAAGTACCCAGGTCCTGAGCCATGGAGCGCTTTAAAGGTGGTAACCAAAACCTTGAAGCGCACCCGGAAGACCACTGGGAGCCAGTGCAGCTCGCGCAGGAGGGATGTTACATGCCTAACAAAGTTTTAAACTTTCTTTTTTAGACAACAGACTTGGTCAGCACAGCCGGATATGACAACATCATCCAACACTTGAATGACGGCAGGAAGAACTGCAAAGAATTTGAAGACTTTTTGCGGGAAAGGTGTGTATGACTGCTTTCCTGGAATGGTGAAAGGTTCTTGAATGTTCTCATGAACTTTCTAGCTCCACTACAGGTAGTTCTTGACTTACGAACACTCGCTTAGCGAACATTTGAAGTTATGACGGACTTACGCAGATCTGCTTATGATCTGGTTGCAGACTTCTGATGGCTGGCCACACACACCCTGCTCCAGTGGTCACACATCAATCTCAAAGTAAAGTCTTACACTTAGGCAAGAAAAACCAAAAGTACACATATAGACTGGGTGGAATAGAATAGAATAGAATAGAATAGAATAGAATAGAATAGAATAGAATAGAATAGAATAGAATAGAATAGAATAGAAAACATGGAATGGAATGGAATGGAATGGAATGGAATGGAATGGAATGAATAGAATAGAATAGAATAGAATAGAATAGAATAGAATAGAATAGAATAGAATAGAATAGAATAGAATAGAATTTTTTTTATTGGCCAAGTGTGATTGGACACACAAGGAATTTGTCTTGGTGCATATGCTCTCAGTCTACATAAAAAACCCCAGGCTTAATAGCGGTAACTGTGAGAGGGATCTTGGAGTCTTAGTGGACAACCAATTAAATCTAAGCCAGCAGTGTGCGGCAGCAGCCAAAAAAGCCAGTGAAATCCTAAACTGCATTAACAGAGGGATACAATCAAGATCAAGTGAGGTACTCATACCATTCTATAAAGTCTTAGCAAGACCATAGTTAGAATACTACATCCCGTTTTGGTCACCACACTATAAAAAAGAGGTTGAGATTCTAGAAAAAATGCAGAAAATATGCAACCAGGATTATTAGGGGACTGGAGACTAAAACGATGAACGGTTGCAGGAACTGGGCCTGGCTAGTCTAGTGAAGAGAAGGACCAGGGGAGACATGATAGCAGTCTTCCAATATTTGAGGGGCTGCCACAGAGAGGAGGGAAGTCAATCTATTTTCCAAAGCACCCGAAGGCCAGATAAGGAATAATGGATGGAAACTGAACAAGGAGAGATTCAGCCTGGAAATATGGAGAAATTTCCTGACCATGAGAACAATCGACCAATGGAAGAGAAGTTGCCTTCAGAAGTTGTGGGAGCTTCATCACTGGAGGCTTTCAAGAAGAGACTGGACTGCCATCTGTCAGAAATGGTGTAGGGTCTCCTGCTAGGACGGGGGGTTGGACTGGATGACCTATGAGGTCCCTTCGAACTCTGTTAATCTGTACCTATCTGTACGATTAAAGCATTGTGGGTCCTTAAACACCATTTACTTGCATTTTACGGCCGTTTGCAATGTCCCACAGTCATAGGCTAGCAACTTGCAACTTTTACTTTTACTTTCCGGCAAAAAGCACCCCTTGGGTTTGCTTAAGGACCGCGGCGTTCAGTGCAAAATAGGTTGTAAAACTGGGTGCAGTCACATGGTGACCTGCTTAACAAACACTGTGACGTTTGACTGTAATTCCAGGATCAATTACGGTTGCAAGTTGAGGACTACCTAAAAGTTTGGAATAGGACAGTGATGGCTAATCTTTTTGCCGTCGTGTGCTTGATCCCACAGTTTTGGGTTAAATTTAATTGATTTTAAATTGGGTTTGTTTTAAATTGCGGCCAAAAATATTTAATTATTTTAAACTGTTTTTAAATTTTGTATGTTTTGTTTTTATTCTGGCTGTTCACCGCCCTGAGTCCTGTTGGAGAAGGGCGGTATACAAATTGAAACAAATAAATAAATAAATAAAAGCGGGGGAGTGTGAGGGGGGTCCCGCACACGCTTGCCCACATCCATAATTCAATGTGCCCTGCCCCCCACTCATGTGCGTTTGACCCCCCCCCCACCATGCTCCCCCCAGTTTTGGAACACGATGGGATGGTGGGCCTAGGGAGGGCGAAAACAGCCTTCCCTACCCCCCTGGAAGCCCTCCAGAGGCCGGAAACTGCCCGTTTTGTAACTTCCAGTGGAACTGGAAGGCCTGTTTTTCGCCTTCCCAGGCTCCAGAGCCTTTCTAGGAGCCTGGGGAGGGCAAAAATGGTCTTTCCCACCTCCCCAGAGGCCCTCTGGAGGCCAGAAACAGCCCATTTTTTGACTTCCGGTGGGCCCGGAAGGCCTGAAAATCAGTTGGCCAGTGTGCGCATGCGCGCTGGAGCTGAGCTACGGCAACGCTCGCATGCCCACAGATATGGCTCTGCGTGCCACCTGTGCCATAGGTTCGCCATCGTGGGAATAGGACATCAAAAGACCATCTGCGATTTCTGCTACCAGTTTGCCTGAAGCAGTCCAAACTGGCTGAATACCACCTCTGCTTATGACCATTTTTCAAACTTATGACCATTGCAGCATCTCAGTGGTCACATGATCAAAATTCGGACGCTTGGCAACTGGCTCGTATTTATGACGGCTGCAACATCCTGGGATCATGTGATCCCTTCTTGCGACCACCTTACTAGCAAAGTCAATGGGGAAGCCACATTCACTTAACAGCTGTGTTACTAGTAACAATGGCAGTGATTCACTTAACAAATTGGGGCAAAGAAAGGTCGTAAAACGAAGTAAAATTCACTTATCAACAGCCTTGCTTAGCAACAGAAATTCTGGCCTCAATTGTGGTCGTAAGTCGAGGACTACCTGTAGATAACGTCGTTTAATTGTGGAAACTGGGACTGTAGCAGGGATGAAATGCTCCTGATTCGGACCGGATCGCCCGATCCGGTAGCGATGGTGGCAGGTGGTTCAGAGAACCGGTAGCAAAAAATCCCTGCCCCCCACCCCCATGCACCCCCTGACGATCAGGCAACCCAGCTGGGATCTTCAGAGGCTTTTAAAAGCATTTTTTCTGCAACCTCTTCGACCGAAGAGGTTGTAGAAAAAATGCTTTTAAAAGTTAAAAAAAAAAAAGTTGGACATGCCCACCCAGTCACATTACACCCCGTCCAGCAAGCCACACCCACAGAACCGGTAGTAACAAATTTTACATTTCGCCACGGGATTGTAGTCACGTTGCCCAACCTTACTGAGGAGCAGAGCTTATCAGAGATCGGTGGTCCCTCAGGCAACCAGGCCCTACATCTCCAAGGGCTTTGTCAGTAACAACCAACACCCTGAATTGCGCCAAAAACTAACCTCAAGCAATCCAACTCACAAAAGCAGCAATTTTCACATGTATGGACCAGTGGTGGGTTCCTCCCGGTTCGGTCCGGTTCGGCCGAGCCGGTAGCGGTGACGATATGATGTCACCGAACCAGTTCTCCCCCCCGCCCTCCCACCCCCCACCCCCCCACGTTATTCTTACCTTTTATTTGGTCCCACCCCCAATCTATTGCTGCCTCCTGAGTCCCAGCTGATGACTAGAGGGAAAAAACCTATTTAAACTCTTGCCACGGGACTTCAAAGGGCCGCCCTACAGCTGATCGGTGTTAAAAGCAAACAAATGAGTCGGGTCGTAAGTGCGAGGACTGGTCGTAAGTGCGAGGACCTTCCAGAAATGACTCTGACCAGCTAGCCACGCCCACCTAGTCACATGACCAAGCCACACCCACAAAATAAGCCACGCCCACAGAACTGGTAGTAAAAAAAATTAAAACCCACCCTGGTATGGACGCAATCTTGGCATGCCCACCTCTGCCTGTGCAGTCGCATCCTGGATCAGACGTAGTTTCCATGTGGTTTTTTTTCAAAGGCAATCCCACGCAGAGCACAAATTTCGTCCGCTTTAAGGACCAAATCTGGGGATTTGAAGTGGAAGCGGGTTGCACGTATCCTTACCACCAGTTCGCACACTCGCTTCACGTGCATCCGCGCATGCGCCTGGCCTCAAAAACATGGCTAAATAGGATGGTATTACAGCGGGGTGGGTAGGTGGAGGTGTGGCCACCTGTAGCCGTCGCTACCAGTTCGCCTGAACCAATCCGAACTGGCTGAATACCACCGATTTCAAAGGTTAAAAACCGGACTAGTCAGTTTCGCAGAGAGCTGTCTGCTGACCGCCTTTATTTATTTCTTTTGAAAAGCACATCTCTGGACGATTGTCTATTTTTGAGGTGAATTTCCGTGGCTGATCCTTGGCAGGATGAAACCGGGGTTCAGAGCTCGTCGCTTGCCTGGATCCTGAATTTTTACGCCCATCTTTGTCTGTTTCAGGGCTTCTGTAGAAGAGAGATATGGGAAGGAGCTGATCAGCTTGTCACGGAAGAAGCCCTGTGGGCAGACAGAGCTCAAGTAAGCCAGTCCTGCTTGTTGGGGGAAAAACGGGTTTGGAGAAATCTCTTAGCCATCATTCTCGGTCAAATGCCACGTTATTCACCCAGACCGGGTGTCTGCAACCTGTGGCTCCGGAGCCGCATGCGGCTCTTTGGGCCCTCTGCTTTGGCTCCCTGTTGGATGATCCCACCACTGACTGGCCCCACCCCTCGCCCTCCCCTCCCAATCACTTCTCGCCTGGCCTGAGAAGGTAAGGGTGATGGCGGGGGATGGAGAAGTGGCCGGGGCAGAGACAGAGAGATACAGAGGGGGGGGGGGAGAGAGAGAGAGACATAGAGAGATACAGAGAGGGGGGGAGAGAGAGGGAGGGGGGAGGGAGGGAGGGAGAGAGAGAGAGATGTCAAAAGGATTTTGTAGTTTCTGTTGTTTTTTAACAACTGGTTCTCTGCTCTAATGACCGGCTGGGTAGGCATGGCTGGGGGTGTGTGGTGTCATGTGACTGGTGAGACGTTGAGTTGGCCACGCCCACCGAAGTTTTGTGGCTCCCGGTGTTTTCTTTTCTGTGGGAAACGGGTCCAAATGGCTCTTTGAGCATTTAGGGTTGCAGACCCCTGACCTAGACTTCAGCCTGGCAATTTATCCCTAGTTTATTTTTATTTATTTATTTATTTATTTTTTAATTTGATTTATATGCCGCCCTTTTCCGGAGACTCAGGGCGGCTTACAATGCGCTAAGCAATAGCCTTCATCCTTTTGTATATTTATACAAAGTCAGCTTATTGCCCCCACAAACTGGGTCCTCAATTTACCTACCTTAGAAAGGATGGAAGGCTGAGTCAACCTTGAGCCTGGCGAGATTCGAACCTGCAGTAATTGCAGGCAGCTGGTCTTAATACCCAGCTTAATAACAGGGTGCCTTAGACCACTGTACTACCACGTTTTAAAAAAAGTTCCAGATGAACTTCTGAAAATGGGAAGGAAGTCTTATTTGACACCCTTGCTTTGACGGTTTATTTCTTTCTTTTTAAATAATGACTCACATATCATCGGTTGCATCCATGCGGGAACGAATTCATAGGGAGCACTTCCTGAAGTCTCCTGCTGAGCCATTGCAGTTATTTTGTCATTTGTTCAGGTTGGCCCTATGCCTGATCTACGTGGGAGTACTCCCAAGGGTTGGAATTCAGTTCCCAAGTTTGTAGGAAAATGCAGTCAAGGAAAGACGGTTTGTCTTTGGCTTGATGCGTGGCTACCAGTTCCCATCCATTGCCACTTAGGGAGACAGATGACTTGGTCTAGCAGTGGGCCTTCTCCGTAGACTCCCTCTGCCACTGTCAAGGACACCTGACCGCATACCTGTTTTCATTCCTTGGGATCTCTCTCTCTCTCTCTCTCTCTCTCTCTCTCCCCCCTCCATATATCTTTATCTATATCATTCAAATATCTATATGATCCATATATCTATATCTCTCTCCATATATATACTGTATCTATTTCATCCATATATATCTATGGAGAGAGGGGGGGAGAGAGAAAGAGAGAGAAAGAGAGGGAGAGAAAGAAAGAGAGAGAGAGGGAGAGGGGGAGAGAGAGAGAGAGAGAAAGAGAGAGAGAGAGAGAGGAGAGAGAGAGATAAGGATAAGGATAATTTTATTTCTATACCGCCCCTCTCCCGAAGGACTCGGGGCGGTGTACAGCCAGGTAAAAACACAATACAAATATCACAATTTAAATTTAAAAAATTATTAAAAGTATTACATTTAAGGCAAATTAACTAAAAAACCCAAAAATTTAAGAATTCCAAATTCTTAAAGAGAGAGAGAGAGAGAGATGTCTCGACTGGTCTCTCTCTCTCTGTCTCTCTGTCTCTCCCTATCTATCCATCCATCCATATCTATCTATCTATCTATCTATCTATCTATCTATCTATCTATCTATCTCTCTCTCTCTCTCTCTCTCTCTCTATCTATCTATCTATCTATCTCTATTTAAAATATCCCACCTTTATCTGTATAAATAACTCAAGACAGGGAAAATAACTAATTCTTCTTTTTCCTTACAACAACAAACCTGTGAGGTGGGTTGGGCTGAGAGAGAGGGGGACTGGCCCAAAGTCATCCAGTCAGTCTTCATGCCTAAGGCGGAACTAGAACTCACAGTCTCCTGGTGATTGGCCCAAAGACACCCAGTTGGCTTTCATGCCTAAGGCAGGACTAGAACTCACAGTCTCCTGGTGATTGACTCAAACTCACCCAGCAGACTTTCATGCCTAAGGCGGGACAAGAACTCACAGTCTCCTGGTGATTGGCCCAAAGACATCCAGCTGGCTTTCATATCTAAGGCGGGACTCGAACTCACCATCACCATTATCAGATTTCTAGCCCGATGCCTTAATCACTAGGCCAGGGGTCAGCAACCTGTAGCTCTGGAGCCGCATGTGGCTCTTTCACCCATTGCTGCGGCTCCCTGTCACTCAAAATATGCATCACAACCGCCAATGTGTGATACCCGCCGGCATGCAATTTATTGAGCTTTTCATCCCCTGGTAGGCCAACCATAGGTAAATCCAAGAAAAGAAAAGTTTCAGAAGAAAACAGAACATTTAATTCAACTACATATGCTAGTTTTGTGGCCGCTCAAGAAATAGTCAGCACAGGAAGAGTTTTGTGGCTCCCGGTGTTTTTTTTTTCTGTGGGAAATGGGTCCAAATGGCTCTTTGAGTGTTTAAGGTTGCAGACCCCTGCACTAGGCCAAACTGATTTGATCTCAAAGCAGTCAGGGCACACCATGGTGAACCTGGCAAAGGCCGACCATTTGGATTTTCCATTGTCTTAAAGAACAACCTGCTCCTCCTTTCATCCTTCAAACAGAGATGGAGTTCCCATATTTGTTTTACAAGCCATTTGCTGGTTTCACCCAAGGTACAAAATTAGAACGTGTTCTGCATCTTCATGGTTTAGCAGTTTGGGGGAACCCAACTAAGAAGGTATGCAACTCATCTGCTGTGGGTCAGTGCATTGTATGAACTTGACCTGGGGCATGAGGCATGCAAGGTTTTGTTCTTGTCACTTCCTGAACTAAATGTGTCTTCTGGATTTTGCATTTCAAGTGTCCTTTGAATGATTGAGAAACGTTTCCTCGGCCACTCAGAGAAGTCACTAGCAAAGGAGGAAAGAGAAATTCAGAAATTTATCTGACTTGTAGAGCTATGTTCTGAGTTTCATAACTTGCCTAATCAGATGTTGAAACGGGACGAATTTCTGGAAGCCCGTAAAAAAGTCTTGGGGTTTTTTTTTTTGGTGTGTTTTTGGTGACATCAACACAATTTCACGGTTGCTCGACTTCATTGTCTGTTTTCCTTTCATTTTAGTACCCTCAGAAGAGCACTGGAGGTTTTCAAACAACGTAAGTCATCTGCGGCGTCTTACAAAAGTTGAACTTCTTTGGTGGGGAAATAAATTAGCTTTATCGGTGGAATCTCCCTGTACATTAAGCCACAGTTTCCATAATACTCAGATAAGGTGGTCACTATACATGCTGGTTGAGGATAAAACCAGTTGAGGTCCTACTGTATATGTGTTGTGGCCCACCAGTGGCCAGTGGAGCTGGTAGCAGATTAGGACAGTAAGGAGGTTGGGGAGGAACACGGGCCAGTCCTGGAGTCTGGGGAAGGCTCTGATGAGGGCTCTGCGTCGGAGGCAGAGAGGGGGCCAGGCCCGGATGCCAATTATCAGCTGCCTTCGGAGTCAGACATCAGTGAGGCAGAGGAACAGCTGGATCCTGTTCCCAGTGTAGGCATGCACAGAGTTGCCAGACGAAGGGAACAGCTAAAGAAGAAGGGTCGACTCAGGAGTAAAGCCACAGGTGGACGATGAATGGCCCGTCCCAGAGGGAATAAAAGAGGAGCGAAAGGGGAGTGGAGTTTGCAGGAGACAATTAGTTCGCTTAATTGGTTCGTGACTCTCCGAGACTTCTTGCCAAGTTTTGAAGATATCGGCCTGGCAGCTCTCCAAGCCAGATAAAGTCTGTGGCTGTAAATTCTCCCTTGAAAGACTTTGCTGGATGTGAATGAGAAGAATTCACAGTAACTTAATAAAAAGGGTTTTTTTTTGTCGGGACAAGGAGTCTGCTTCATGGTTTGGGGAAGCCTAGGTCAGAACAATATGGTAGAGGGGTAGATCAGCGTGGGGAAAGCTAAGCTAGACAAACCAAAGAATTGACACTGTCTCTCTATTTAGATGACCATGGCTTAGTGCTTGTCTAGGAAACCCATCCAAGATGATCCAACAAACCATGCTTGACCATGGTCTGTCAAGGATGCTCATGTTTGGTCTGTCTCCCCCCCTAGTTTTACAATGTCTGTGCCAAGGAGAAAGAATAAATCAGATTTCATTTCTATGTTTTTATTAGTGAGTCACAGGACTCATAGAATTAAAAAGATTAGTTTAAAATGAAGATTGCGATTGTGAAGCCCTTGGTGCTCACTGAACTTGGGTTGTTTTCTTGTAGACATTTCATTACCCAATTAGATAACATCATCAGTGCTAGAAGGGAGTGGGGCTTGTTCTGTGTTATTTAAATTGTTATTGTAGTTCTTACTAATGATCCTGCTGGTTGTCCCAAAGGTGCTTTTTCAAGAGGCAACTGGACTTTCTGTTTTTTTTTTTCTTTGAAGATGTTTTGCTTCTCATCCAAGAAGCTTCTTCAGCTCTGTTGGTTGATCCTGCTGGTTGCAAAGGTCCATTGCTTTGCTCTGGGCTTGCTTAGTTCTTACATCAAAGCCATCAACCCAACAAGGGTTTGCTCTTTAGCAAGGTTGAATAATAATAATAATAATAATAATAATAATAATAATAATAATAATAATAATAATAATAATAATTTATTGAATTTATATCCCGCCCTTCTCCCCGAAGGGACTCAGGGCGGTGAACAGCCGAAAATTAAAATAACATACAATATAAAAGTTAAGATAACTAAAAATAAATTAAATTAATCGGCCTCCCAATTTAAAACCCCAAGCTATACAATTAAAAAACTAACCCATAAAACCTATTCAGGCCAGGTCGGCTTGCTGAAATAAAAACGTCTTCAGGGCCTTTAAGAAAGTGCGGAGATCCGGAATCAGTCGTATTCCGGGAGGTAGCTTGTTCCAGAGGGCAGGTGCCCCCACAGAGAAGGCTCTCCCCCTGGGGGCCGCCAGCCGACATTGCTTGACCGACGGCACCCTGAGGAGGCCCTCTGTGAGAGCGTATTGGCCGGTGGGAGGTTATCGGTAGCAGCAGGCGGTCTCGTAAATACCCTGGCCCTAAGCCATGGAGCGCTTTAAAGGTGAGAACCAACACCTTGAAGCGCACCCGGAAGACCACCGGGAGCCAGTGCAGCTTGCGCAGGAGACGTGTTATATGGGAGCGCCATGTCGCTCCTGTAATCACCCGCGTGGCCGCATTCTGGACCTGTTGGAACCTCCGGGTGCTCCTCAAGGGGAGCCCCATGTAGAGACTGTTGCAGTAGTCCAGGCGAGAAGTGACGAGAGCATGAGTGACTGTGCATAAGGAATCCCGACTCAGAAAGGGGCGCAACTGGCCTATCAGGTGAACCTGATAAAAAGCCCCCCTGGCCACGGCCGTCATGTGCTCTTCTAAAGACAGCCGTGTGTCCAGGACGCCGCCCAAGTTGCGAGCCCCCTCTGTGGGGGTCAATGACTCGCCCCCAATAGCCAGTGATGGCACCAGCTGGCTATATCGGGATGCCGGCATCCACAGCCACTTGGTCTTGGAAGGGTTGAGTCGAAGCCTGTTTCTCCCCATCAATTGAATGCAACCTGGTTGCATGCAATTGTGTGAAGGATGGAGGTTGCATGAAATTTATGTGAAGGATGGAGCTTGTTTCATAACACCACCTTCAAAATTAACTTCCCCCATGGAGGCCTGTGCCAGAAACCTCTATAGCAGGGGTGTCCCCTTTAAGCCTTGGGAACTTCAACTCCCAGAATTCTGCAGCCAACATGGCAGCAAATATGCCTAATACTCCTTCCTCCTCCTACTTTCCTCAGAACAACAACCCCTTGAGGCGAGTTGGGTTGAGAGAGAATGACTGGCCTAAAGCCATCCCGGCAATCTTTGTGCCTAAGGCAGGACTAGAACTCACAGTCTCCTGGTGATTGACTCAAACTCACCCAGCAGACTTTCATGCCTAAGGCAGGGCTAGAACTCACAGTCTCCTGGTGATTGACCCAAAGACATCCAGCTAGTTTTCATACCTAAGGCGGGACTAGAACTCACAGTCTCCTGGTGATTGGCCCAAAGACATCCAGCTGGCTTTCATACCTAAGGCGGGACTAGAACTCACAGTCTCCTGGTGATTGGCCCAAAGACATCCAGCTAGTTTTCATACCTAAGGCGGGACTAGAACTCACCATCACCATTATCAGATTTCTAGCCCGATGCCTTAATCACTAGGCCAGGGGTCAGCAGCCTGTGGCTCTGGAGCCGCATGTGGCTCTTTCACCCATTGCTGCGGCTCCCTGTCACTCAAAATATGCATCACAACCGCCAATGTGCGACACCTGTTGGCACGCGATTTATTGAGCTTTTCAATCCCTGGTAGGCCAACCATGGATAAATCTAAGAAAAGAAAAGTTTCAGAAGAAAACAGAACGTTTAATTCAACTACATGTGCTAGTTTTGTGGCCGCTCAAGAAGTAGTCAGCACAGGAAGGGTTTTGTGGCTCCCGGTGTTTTTTTTTTCTGTGGGAAATGGGTCCAAATAGCTCTTTGAATGTTTAAGGTTGCAGACCCCTGCGCTAGGCCAAACTGATTTGATCTAGACTAGAACTGATTTGAGACTAGAACTCTCAGTCTCCTGGTGATTGGCCCAAAGTCACCCAATTGGGTTCCATGCCTAAGGCAGGACTAGAATTCAGAGTCTCCTGGTGATTGGCCCAAAGAGCCTTGATAGTACAGTGGTCTAAGGCACCCTGTTATTAAGCTGGTTATTAAGACCAGCTGCCTGCAATTACTGCAGGTTCGAATCTCGCCAAGGCTCAAGGTCAACTCAGCCTTCCATCCTTTCTAAGGTAGGTAAATTGAGGACCCAGTTTGTGGGGGCAATAAGCTGACTTTGTATAAATATACAAAAGGATGAAGGCTATTGCTTAGTGCATTTTAAGCCACCCTGAGTCTCCGGAGAAGGGCGGCATATAAGTCAAATAAAAAAAAAAAAAAGTCACCCAGTCGACTTTCATGCCTAAGGCAGGACTAGAACTCTCAGTCTCCTGGTAATGGCTGGCTGAGGAATTCTGGGAGTTGAAGTCCACAAAGCTTAAAGTTGCCAGGCCTGGACATTCCTGCTGTAGAGTTTGAGGAACCCTAGTTCTCAGTCTGAGTCACTGGAAAGAAGCCAACATTTTAGGCTATGTTAGGGCATGCAGCCTGAGAGTTTCCCACATTTCTAGATTATAATATGGTGACGGTCAGCAGGCATGAACTTCTGAGATAAGTCTTGTTCATCTTTGGATAGAGTTAGTCACTAGGGTCATGCCCTGGTTGGGAAGCTGGAGAAATCTTCTTGACCTCAGAATGTGAAGCACTCCGTGTATATCTCAGATGTCATAGGAACACTCATCTTTTCCCTAGTATTTAGCATCTGTAGAAGTTCTGGTAATCCAAGGTCTGTTGGAAAAAGCACAGATCTGTTAAAACTAATATAGAATAGAATAGAATAGAATAGAATAGAATAGAATAGAATAGAATAGAATAGAATAGAATAGAATAGAATAGAATAGAATAATAACTCTATTGTCACTTTGAATGTACACTAATCAGCATACATTAAAGTGAAATTTCATTGCATACAGCTCTCAAAGGGTCACCACCTCCAATATACACTAAAAATATAACAGAATAAATAAATAAATACAGATAAATACAGAATTATGCATATACCCGCATCTGTTATATGTCACAGAGAAACAACAGTCCAGTTCAAATGTATACCTGTACATGGTGAGAGAAACGAATCTTGTGAGTTTACCAGACAGATGGCATAAGGAACAAAAGTGTTATAGAATCTGATAGTCCTGCTAGAGATACTTCGAAACCTCCTCCCAGTGGAGACAACAGAAACAGGTTGTAAAGTGGGTGTGTAGGGGTCTCTAGCAGTGCTTTGAGCTCTAAGCACAGAGCACTTACAAGTGGCATCCTGAATACCAGGAAGTGAGCTAACTATGATCTTCTCTGTTGTCCATACCACTCTCTGTATGGACTTTCTATCTACGGCCACCAAACTAAAGAGTGATGCAGTTTGTTAAAACGCTCTCAATCCTGCCTCTGTAAAAAGTGGCCAGGACAGAAGGAGAAAAATGTGCTCTCCTCATCCGACATAGGAAAGGCACGCTTCACTGGTTTGCACGTTTCACTAAGATGACGTGTGGAGAGACCAGTTCAGATTGTTAGTTATCTGCACCCCCAGTTATTTAATACTGTTGACCATCTCTGCAGCTACATCCTTGATAATGAGTGGAGTATGACTAACAACTTGAGATGGCTTTTTGGGATGACTTTTTGCTAGCCAAGAGATTACAGCAGTTGCTTTCATCAAGCCTAATTTGTTTTGACCATGGTTTGGTCAAATCAATCACAATGGCTGGATTCACACCCAGTGAAATGTTAGGCCCAGATAACATGATGGCTCATAGCAAAGTTCCCTTAATCTGGTTATAGCCTTCCAACCTACCTTGGATTGAAGGCCTTAATTTAAGACGGAACACCTGTCTTGCCTATAAAATAACCAAGTTTGATCTTTGGAAGGTCACACTTTGGAAGATGCTTACCTAAAGAATTGGTAGTTGGTATAGGTCACTGATGGCAAACCTTTTCAGCACCAAGTGCCAAAAAGGTTGTGCCGAAGTGCCATGCGCATCTGTACGCACTCGTCAGGCAGAACACTCTGGAAAAGCTGAACTTCTGGATTCTAGCATGCATACCGCTTCACAGTGCTTTAACAGCCCTCTCTAAGCGGTTTACAGAGTCAGCCTATTGCCCCCAACAATATGGGTCCTCATTTTACCCACCTCGGAAGGATGGAAGGCTAAGTCAAGCTTGAACCAGTGAGAATCTTATTGAAGGTATAAACCATGGTTTGTTTGGATGAGTTTGACTTTGATTTAAAAGGATGTGAATCCAGCCATTGTGGTTTGTAGACCATATTTATGCTTAACTATGAATTGTTTGGTAATTGTAGCGTAAGGAATGGACCATGTTTAAGCAAATGATTTAATTTAATTTAATTTAATTTCCAATTTATATACCGCCCTTCTCCCTGAGGACTCAGGGCGGTGTACAGCCAAGATAAAAAACATAGAATACAAATATTAAAACATTTAAAAATATATATAAATTTTGGCCCGAAAGTTAAGAATCACAGACTAATTAAAAGAATTTAAAAATTTTAAAAATTTCTTCTTAAGCCAACCCGGCTTGTTGAAAAAGATAGGTTTTCAGGGAACGACGGAAGGCATTGAGGTCCTGGATTCTTCTTATCTCCGGGGGCAACTGATTCCAGAGGGTGGGAGCCCCCACAGAGAAGGCCCTCCCCCTGGGGGCCACCAGCCTACATTGTTTGGCTGATGGCACCCTGAGGAGACCCTCTCTGTGGGAGCGCACGGGTCGATGGGAGGACATCGGTAGCAGCAGGCGGTCTCGGAGATAGCTAGGCCCAATGCCATGGAGCGCTTTAAAGGTGATAACCAACACCTTGAAGCGCACCCGGAAGACCACCGGGAGCCAGTGCAGCTCGCGCAGGAGTGGTGTTATATGGGAGCGCCATGTTGCTCCCATCACTACCCGCGCTGCTGCATTCTGGACCAGCTGGAGCCTCCGGGTGCTCTTCAAGGGGAGCCCCATGTAGAGAGCATTGCAGTAGTCAAGGCGAGAGGTGATGAGGGCGTGAGTGACTGTGCACAAGGAATCCCGATCAAGAAAGGGCCGCAATGGCTTTGCGCAAGGCACAAGTCCAGTTGTAGAGTTTCTGCAACTGGTTTCGCATATGTAAAATGACAAGAAAACTGGCTTTCCTATCTGAGTTGATGTTCTTGCTCCTAGGCGTGGAGACTGTTGGCCAAATCCATATGCAGTTAGCCCAGAATCTCAGGGAAGAAGCGAAGAAAATGGAGGATTTCAGAGAAAAGCAAAAACTCCATCGTAAAAAGGTGAGGAATTGGGGGGGGGGGGAAGGTATTGTTGGAAGAAAAATGCAGGTCCAGTTCAAAGCTGGGAATAAAATGGAAGCTGCTTAAAAAAGACGGTTTATGGATGAGCAGAACCAACCACAGCATGCAGTTCTAGGACAGCTGACAAAATGGCTGAATGAGTGGATGGATCTTTATAGGTTTCTGGGGTTTTGTGTTTGAGATGCTCCAGGGGGTTGCACAATGTAATGAGCCTTGTGCCTTTTGCTATTCTAATGGTGGTAGATAAAACCTATTATGTCCTAAAGGTCATGACCTGTTCTTAGAATTTGGATGAGGGATATAAATTCATAATCCCATGATCTGGAGCTGAAGGTGTTTTGTTTAGGACTAGATTGGCCCAGTCTTTCTTAATATATCCATCTCTAAAGTCTTCAAGCATCTGATGTAGGCTGTTTTACTATGCAGGAAGACTGGGGCTGCTTTCTGCCTTTAAGAACATGTTTCTCCATTTCTCCTTTGAGCAAATATTCTATCCTGCCTCTCTTAATATTAAGAACAAAGAATATTTAATCTGGGCAAGGGGGGGCTGTCTTCCTATATTTGCACCTGTTGCAAGTGTCAAAAATGGTCATAAGTCACTTTTTTCAGTGCTGTTGTAACTTCAAATGGTCACTAAGCAAACTGTGAGAGGGATCTTGGAGTCTTAGTGGACAATCAATAAAATATGAACCAGTACTGTGCGGCGGCAGCCAAAAAAGCCAACGCAATCCTAAATTGCATTAACAGAGGGATACAATCAAGATCAATTGAGGTACTGATACCACTTTATTAAGCCTTAGTAAGACCACACCTAGAGTACTGCATCCAGTTTTGGTCACCACACTATAAAAAGATGTTGAGACTCTAGAAAGAGTGCAGAGAAGAGCAACCAAGATGATGAGGGGACTGGAGGCTAAAACATACGAAGAACGGTTGCAGGAACTGGGCATGGCTGGTCTAGTGAAGAGAAGGACCAGGGGAGACATGATAGCAGTGTTTCAATATTTGAGGGGCTGCCACAAAGAAGAGGGGGTCAAGCTATTTTCCAAGGCATCTGAAGGCCAGATAAGGAATAATGAATGGAAATTGACCAAGGAGAGATTCAACCTGGAAATAAGGAGAAATTTTCTGACCGTGAGAACAATCAACCCATGGAACAGAAGTTGCCTTTGGAAGTTGTGGGAGCTTCATCACTGGAGGCTTTCAAGAAGAGACTGGACTGCCATCTGTCAGAAATGGTGTAGGGTCTCCTGCTAGGACGGGGGGTTGGACTAGATGACCAATGAGGAATGACCAATGAGAAATGAGGAGGAACTTTCTGACAGCGAGAACAATCAACCCATGGAACAGAAGTTGCCTTCGGAAGTTGTGGGAACTTCATCACTTGAGACTTTCAAGAAGGGATTTGACTGCCATCTATCAGAAATGGTGTAGGGTCTCCAGCTTGGGCTATGAGATCCCTTCCAACTCTGTTAATCTGTTAAATCTGTTAACAGTTAGGAGCATGGTTGTTAAGTGAATCTGGCTTCTGTTAACCTCTTAAGGTGATGCTTAGGTTATATTTCAAAGTTCAGAATGAAAAGCTGCCAATTTTTAATTTTTTATTATTGAAGGACATCCCAATGGGATGGGTTTTTTCTTTCTTTCTCCACTAGACATAAGTTGAGTTTGAACAAAGCACAGAGTAACCAAATGCCCAAGAGTATGTAGAGGAAGAAACAGGACTATTACAGAAAATGTTCTCTGGTGTACGGCGGTGTTTCTCAACCTTGATAGCTTTAAGAGGTGTGGAAGTCTCAGACTTCCCCAGGAAACATGGGCAGGTTCCTACGGGTGAATTCCCATGGCTGTCTGGGAAATTCTTGAAGTCAGCAGATCTTCAAGATGCCAAGATTGAGAAACATTGGTTTACGGGAAGGAAGGGGAAGCAAAAAAAAGAAACTCAGTGTAACTCAACAGATAGAACATAGTATATAGGGCTGAAAGGGACCTCAGAGGTCTTCTAGTCCAACCCCCTCCCCAAGGCAAGAACCCTTATAGCATACTGGTTAAATGGTTGTCCAGCCTATTTCTGAAAACTTCCAGGTATGGAGCACCCATAACTCCAGGAGATAAGCCCTTCCATGGATTAATTGTTCTCCCTGTCAGAAAGCTTCCCCTTATTCCTAGTGTCAGAACTTCAACCTGCATTTACTCTAGTGCTGACATAAGAAGGAGAAGAGCGGGCAGCTGGCAAGAGGACGCTTGACTTCTCACCTACTTACTTTCCCTGAAGATAATATCCCCTAGGAGATGAGATGGGAGGGGGGACATTCCTGGGAGCTGAAGTAGTAGATATGGGGAGAGTGATTTGGAAGAGGGCCAATGAGACGCAGAGAATTGGGGAACGGAAAGGGAAGGTTTGGGGTCAGGAAGTCAGTGTTGGCTACGCCACAATCGGGGACAGGTTGTCGTGCTTAATAAAATGAAAGATTTCTTCAAAGACTATTTGTTTGGAAATGCAATTTATTTTATTTGAGACGACATCGAAACCTGACACCTAGCTTGGATCACTCCTATTCTATTCCAGAATAGAATAACAGAGATAGAAGGGACCTTGGAGGTCTCTAGTCCAACTCCCTGCTCAAGTAGGAAACCCTATACCAGAGGTGTCAAACTCAAAGCCCGCGGGCCAGATCTGGTCCCTGCGGCAGGGGTGGGTTCTAAATTTTGTTACTACCGATTCTGTGGGTGTGGCTTATTTTGTGGGCATGGCTTGGTGATGGGGGGGGTAATGTGACTGGGTGGGCGTGACCACTTTTTTTTTTTTTTTTACTTTTAAAACTATTTTTTCTACAACCTTAAGAGGTTGCAGAAAAAAATGCTTTGAAAAGCCTCTCTGCCGATCAGGCAACTCGGCTGAGATCGTCAGAGGCTTTTCAAAAGCATTTTTTTTACCACCTGTTCGGCTGAAAAGGAAGGAAGGAAGGAAGGAAGGAAGGAAGGAAGGAAGGAAGGAAGGAAGGAGATTATAATGAGAGTTAGGGACGGTTTGAAGGAAATCCTGCCTTAGCACTTGGCACCACAGATGCCCCCGACATGACTGATGTCGAGCTGGCCCCGCACACCCCAGCCCCCCTGAGGTTGTAGAAAAAATGCTTTTAAAAGCCTCTGACGATCCCAGCTGAGTTGCCTGATCGTCAGAGGCTTTTAAAAGCATTTTTTTTACAACCTCTTTGGCCGAAGAGGTTATAGAAAAAATGCTTTTAAAAGTAAAAAAAAAGAAAAAAAAGTTGGCCACGCCCACCCAGTCACATTATTCCCCCCCACCAAGCCACACCCACAGAACCAGTAGTAGTAACCAATTTTATATTTCACCACTGGTTGAAACTCTCTATGGGTTAACAGAGAACTGTGCTTTGCAAGGTTAAAAATAAAAGAGTGGTGTTTTTTTTTTTTTTCCCATTCTTGTTGTGCGGTCTTCTATTTTTAGAAGGGGGAAATGTTTTGCTTGGAAACAAAGAGTGGGTTTTTTTTTATTTTTATTTTTTTTTTCTTTCACAGATTGAACTAATAATGGACGCCATTCACAAAAACCGGAATCTGCAGTACAAGAAGGCCATGGAAGTGAGTGGTTCCTCCCTTCTGTTTATTAAAATACGTGATAATTGTCTGTCCCCGTCAGCTCGCTCTGTTCTGCAATTCCCCAGGCCAAGAGGCTCTACGAACAGCGATGCAGGGACAAAGACGAAGCGGAGCAAGCAGTTCATCGGAGCACCAACCTGGTCACACCGAAGCAGCAGGAAAAGGTAAGAGGAGATCCATGCAGGGCAATGAATGAACAGCTGCAAAGTTTTGGGCTTCAATTCAATGACCGTTTTGCCCCTAAATGTTCTGACCCAGCTCCCCAAACACGACAAACCTTCTGTAGTTGAAGCAATGATTCCTTTAATTAAGAGGGCCAGCAGCCTCGGCAACAAGTTTCTGTCTCACCGCAGGTTAACAAGTCCGTCCGGCAGGGAGATGAATTAGTTGTCTGTTACATCTATTCATCTCCGCTCCCTGCCTTTTATCCCCAGAGTTAGGGTGGGGCTTCGCTAGTAGCAGTGTCTCTTCCGTCCCAAGGACCGTCCCATAGATTTCCACTGCTCTCCTCTCCTCTGCCTTCTGTGCATCTGTGCGTCAGGCACTAGACCCAGCTGTTCCTCCTCTTCCTCAGCTACCACCTCCAGACCTGGGGACTGTTGGCTCTCCGTCTGAAGGTTGACGGACGGCCAAGTTCCGCCTCTGACTCTCTTTCTGCCAGGTCCATTCCCTCTTCCCCCTCGGAGCTTCCAGGTTGCCTTGACGCTGACGCTGACTCTCACGCCGCCTCCTCCTCTGATTTGGCTGTCAGAGGGGCCATGTTGTGGCCCGTCAGCGGCCTGTGCGGATTGTAGCTGATTCTGACAGCGAGGAGGCTGGTATGGTGTTGCGCCAGCAGCCTGTGCAGCTGGCACTCGAGTCAGACAATGAGGAGGCTGGAGAAGATGTGGTGCCAGAGGCGGGGATTCAGCCAGGGCCTTCAGAACCTCCAGAAGCTCCCTTAAGTGACGAGGACGAAGGAGGAGGAGCCTCTTCTCGATGCACGGGTGCGCAGAGCGGCCAAAAGGCAGGAGTGGCTCCTCAGGAGGAGGTCTCCTCAAGAGTAAGGCTTGGGGCTAATTGGCCACTCCCTTAGCCTATTTAAGGAGGAACACCCACTGAAGCAAGTTGTAGGGAACAACTTTAGTTCATTCTCCTTCGCGTCTGGATTCTGTGCAAATTGCTTCTGGGCTTTCTGCCAACCTTAGTAAGATTTTGATTACTTTCTCTTTGGTTTCTTGTAGGCTGTTAAGAAAGTTTCTTAACAGCCTTTGTTTTGAAAAAGACTGAGTTATTTTAGTAAATTAAGTTTTGTACAAACTTTGTGTGTGCTGTGTTTTTTGGGGTCCATAGCTGGGGCAGAAGAGGCCAGCGGCCGATAGGCCACAAAACAAAATGGCATTTACAGGTAGTCCTCAGGTGACAAGCCCCCTCTAATGGTTTACTCTGCCCCCAACAATCTGGGTCCTCATTTTATGGACCTCAGAAGGCTGAGTCAACCTTGAGTCCCTTCAGGATCGAACTCCTGACCATGGGCAGACTGAGCCTGCAATACTGTACTTGAACTGCAGGTAGTCCTCAACTTACAACAGCTCGTTTAGTGACCATTCAAAGTTACAATGGCACTGACAAAAGTGACCTATGACTGTTTTTCACATGAAGGACTGCGGCAGCAACCCCTTGGTCACGTGATCAAAATTCAGATGCTTGACTCTTATTTATGACCGTCGCAGTGATCTCCCTTTGCGACCTTCTGACAAGCAAAGTCAGTGGGGAAGCCAGATTCACTTAACAACCGTAACTTTACAGCTGCAGTGAATCGCTTATTGTGGGAAGAAAGGTTGTAAAATGGGGCAAAACTCACTTAACAAATGTCTCGCTTAGCAATGTAAATTTTGGGCTCAATTGTGGTCGTAAATCAAGGACTACTTGTATTAATTTCATTATGCTCAATCCAGTTGTAAGGGAGTCTTTATTTTTCCTATCCAAAAATTGAAATAATTCTTCCCTCTTTTTTCTCCTTTTCAGAATTAACATGTTCCTTGCCTACTGTTATTTATCTTCCCCAATTATTTTTTCTTCCTTTTCAGTTGTTTGTGAAACTAGCTCAGGCCAAGTCTGCCTTGGAAGATTCAGGTGAGTTGTTCTGCCTTCTGAAGAGAATTGCCAACTTTCAAACCAATTTCCACTTAGAATAGAATATCAGAGTTGGAAGGGACCTTGGAGGTCTTCTAGTCCAACCCCCTGCTTAGGCAGGAAACCCAACACCACTTCAGGCAAATGGTTGTCCAATCTCTTCTTAAAAAACTTCCAGTGTTGGAGCATTCACAACTTCTGGAGGCAATTCATTCCACTGATGAATTGTTCTAACTGTCAGGAAATTTCTCCTTAGTTCTAAATTGCTTCTCTCCTTGATTAGTTTCCACCCATTGCTTCTTGTCCTGCCCTCAGGTGCTTTGGAGAATTAAGATTTTGTTGGAAGAAACATCCTTCTAGGTTCTGCTCCAAGTGGGGAAACAGACACTGGAAACATGGAGACTGCTTGGAAAGATGGTTTAATGGTGGACAGGATCACATGGCTTGAGTTCCTGAACAGAAAAGGGGGCAGATACAGTAAATCCTTGGGTTTTTATGCTCTCTCTGGCTCTGCATTTCTTGGGGCCCCGAAAGAGTATCCTGATTGGTTGTCAGACTCCCAGGGGGTGGGGGGGTCTTAGCTAGCCGATGGTCACATGTGCTTCCCAGGTCACATGTGGTGAGTTTCTGCTGCTATTGTGTAGAGGGCTAATCCTATCTTTGTTGGATCTTTGGCAATTCCTACTATGGCTCTGCCTGAAGGAGGTAGATCTTTGTTATATAGAATAGACTGGCCCAGGCCTTAATGGCCCATTGACAAAGGGGGGGGGGGGCAGGAAGGTGGGAGCTGCTTTGTCTGTAAAATATGCTTCTCCATTTCTCATCCAGGGAAATATAATATTCTGCCTTTTTCATATATCCTAAAATATTTCACTCTTCCAGGAAAGGGGTGGGTGCTAACTTCCTACAATTTCTCAGTCTTAAAGGAAGAGCAAATTGAATGCACAGAGAGGAAAAAGTAGATGGGCTGACTGAAAGAGACTAGGATCATATCACTTGTTAAACAAACATTACCCAACTTGATAGCTTCTAGATGTATAGGCTCAACTTCCAGAATTTTCCAGTCAGTGTAAGAATTGCTGAGAATTCTGGGAGTTGAAGTCAACATGTTGTTCCAATTGTGGAAGATTCACTTGGCTGGTTGGGGAATTCTGGGAATTGGAACCACATTCCTGAGGTTTACAAACAATGTTCCTGAGGTTTAGAAACAAGGTTTAGAAACAGTGATATGTTAACCCGAGTTTAGCGTGTTATGGGACTGGAGTTATTATGGTTAGTGATAGGAAGTTGCGGGGGGGGCGTGGTGTCAGTCATTGTCTTAGCCTGTCCTGTGGGTCAGTCCATGAGCTTAAGTCAAAATGTGATTTATTTGGGTGAACTTTGTGTGAACGCAGCAATTGTGGGTGAATTCAGATTTAGGAGTCATTATTTGGTATAATGACTTGGCTGTAGAGAATATGGTTTTTAAAAAAGGAATAGGTAGGAGTGAAAAGGGGAAGGAAATTGCCTAAAATGTAGATAAATATAGACAGTTGAAGGAACTTCAACCCCATTGGTTAAATATCTTCTTCCTTCATGGTGTTCAGACATGGGTAGAAAAAGTGAATCAACAAGAAACTCTGTTAGATATTTTTAAAATTCTTCCTAGGAATGATTTGACCGGGATGATTAAAAACTCTCTTTCCTTGATCAGGTGGTCGGTCTAGCAGACCTCAAAGGTCCCTTCTATGTTGAATCTATGTTCTATGTATCCGTGACATTGATCAGATAAGAATTTCCAAATTTCTACAGGAAAAATCCAGAAGGAAACATTTATTCATGATCAGCATGACTTTTATTAAGACTTTAATTTTTCTTGCTTATTTTTTTTTAAAAGTTGGATGTCAACATTTCCTCCAAAATCTGTTCATAATGATGCTCTGCATATTTTCAGCAAAAGTTCTGCTTTCAGATCTTGAAATGACCAAGAAAATTATGCATTTTGCTAGAATTAGAATTAGAATAGAATAGAGCTAGAAGGGACCTTGAAGGTCTTCTAGTCCAACCCCTTGCTCAAGCAGGAGAATTTATGCCATTTCAGACAAATGACTGTCTAGTCCAGTGATGGCTAACTTTTTTGCCGTTGCGTGCCAGAAGTGGGGGGTGGGAGTGTGGGGGGTTGTGCGCGTGTGCTCACACCCATAATTCAATCCCCCCATGCCCCGCCCCCTGCACATGCATGTGTGACACCCCCCCCGTGCCCAATTTTGGGCCTAGCAGGCCTCCCTGAAGCCTCCGGAGGCTGGAAACAGCCTGTTTCCTGACTTCCGGTGGAACCGGAAGGCCTGTTTTTTGCCCTCCCCAGGCTCCAGAAGCTTTCTTGGAGCCTGGGGAGGGTGAAATGGCCTCCCCCACCCCCCCGGAGGCCGAAACAGGCCACGTGGAGACTCCTGGGAGGGGAGGCCGGTGCGCACATGTATGCAATTAATCCCCTGATTAATTGTTCTGTCAGGAAATTTCTCCTTAATTATAGGTTGCTTCTCTCCTTTATTAGTTTCCATCCATTGCTTCTTGTCTTGCCTTATGGTGCTTTGGACAATAGGTTGACTCCCTCTTCTTTATGGAAGCCCTGAGATATTGGAACGCTGCTATCATGTCTCCCCTAGTCCTTCTTCTCATCAAACTAGACATACCCAGTTCCTGCAATCGTTCTTCGTATGTTTTAGCCTCCAGTCCCCTAATCATCTTTGTTGCTCTCCTCTGCACTCTTTCTAGAGTCTCCACATCTTTTTTACATCGTGGCGACCAAAACTGGATTCCAAGTGTGGCCTTACCAAGGCATGATAAAGTAGTATTAATATTTCACCTGTTCTTGATTCTATTCCTCTGTTAATGCAGCTTTAGGATTGCATTGGCTTTTTGGGCAGCTGCAGCACACAACTGGATAACTTCTTTGTTGTTTCCCATTTGCAGACAGGATGTATCAAAACAACGTCAACGCTCTGGAGAAGATCAGAGAAGAATGGCAGAACGAGCACATCAAGGCTTGCGAGGTAAACAAAACTCAACACCACACAAGTGAAGCAGAAATCTTGTTTCTCAGTGTGAAGATTTAAGGCGGAGGCGATAGAGAAGTTTCTGAGATTTTTGTGCCAACGTTTGGCAGGATTTCCCATTGTTTCTAGGTTCCGTTCTCTCTCCTTCTCCTTCTGTGTTGTTGTTACAAAAAGCAAGATATTCAGCTGAACCAACAATTTAGTTGCTGATTCAGCTACATGGCTGAATTGGTAGAAACGTTTGTGGACGCAGCCTGTAATTTAACAGCTGCATGTAAAATACTTCCACATATGGGGTATAGTTTATTTTGGAAAACCCAAAGAAGGAAGATTGATTTACCCAACGAAGGAGAAGCCAACGAGGCGGAAAGCCAAACAAGTTTAAGAAAATGGATCCCCCCGCTCTCCCATCCCAAATAGATCCTAGAATACATTTTTAATAAAATTTAGTTCTTTCCGCAGATTATATCTACATCCCTTCTTGGCACTTGTGGGGACTATCCAAAGGTGCTTTTTTTGTGTTATTGCTTCTCCCTTTTGGAATAGCATTGCCTCATAAAATTTATTTATTTATATATCGAATTTGAAAACCACTGATTTCCGGCAAAAAAAAAATACCCATTGGGAAAAATAGATTCACTAATGAATTGAAGCTCTGACTGGATGGTGCCGAATGGACAGATTTATATTCCTTGCAGACAAGCTGGTCATTTGCATCCTTTTTGAGGATGGTTGAGGCCACTTGGAGGTTTATCTGTGTCCTCAGGGTCAGTAGTGCAAATGCTTTCAGCAGTTCCAAGAAGGCTCCACACCCATTTGCACTACTCAAGTGACGCCGAGGACACAGAAAAACCGCCAAGTGGCCTCAACGACTCTCTCAAAGAATGCAAATGACCAGCTGTCTGCAAGGAGGATAAATCAGGGATGAAATCCAGCAGGTTCTGTAGAACCGGTAGCGAAAGTTTTGAGCAGTTCGGAGAACTGGTAGTGGAAATTTTGAGTAGTTCGGAGAACTGGCAAATACCACGTCTGGCTGGCCCCAGAGTGGGGTGAGAATGGAGATTTTGCAATATCTTTCCCCCAGGAGTGGAGAGGAAATGGAGATTTTGCAATATCCTTCCCCCAGGAGTGGGGAGGGAATGGGGATTTTGGAGGATCCTTCTCCTGCCACGCCCACCAAGCCACACCACGCCCACTAAGCCACACCACGCCCACAGAACTGGTAGTAAAAAAATTTAGATTTCACCACTGGGATAAATCCTTCCGTTCCCCACCATCCAGTCAGAACTGAAGAAGCTTCTTGGATGAGAAGCGAAACGTCTTCAAAAGAAAAAAATAGAAAGTCCAGTTGCCTCTTGAAAAAAGCTTCTTTGGGACAACCATGACCTGGATGACTGAGAATCTCCATAGCCCCCCCAATATAATGCTGCTTCTTTGAGTTCTGTAACTGATCTTCTTCTGTGTCTCCTGCAGTTCTTCGAGAGTCAAGAATGCGAGCGGATCAACTATTTTCGGAACGCTGTGTGGTTGCATGTCAATCAGCTGTCGGAAGGTTGTGTCAAGAATGATGATGTAAGAAAGGAGCGTCAATTCCTACCCTTCTGTATTGCATTGACTAACTTTTTGGGGTTGGCACTTTCAGACTACAGGTCGTCCTTGACTTATAACTTTTTGTTTAATGATTGTTCAAAGTTATAAAAAATAAATCCGTCTTGCAATCCATCCTCACACTTACGACCACCGCAGCATGTGAACCATGCGGTCGTTAAGCGAATCTGGCATTCCCCCCTTGACACTGCTTGTCAGAACCTGGCTGGGAAGGCTGCAAAGGGTGATCACATGATCCCAGGATACTATGACGGTCATAAATTCAGACACCAAGTGCCTGGATTTTAATCACCTGGCCACGGGGGAGGCTGCAATAGTCGTAAGTGTGAAAAACGGTCATAAGTCACTGTTGCAGTACCGTTGTCATTTTGAATAGTCACTAAACAAATCATTGCAAGCTGAGGTCTAAACATCTCTCTCCGTCTCCGCTAGACTACCGTAATTAATTCTATGTGGGTCTGCCATTGAAGATATAGAGCGATTCGGGGTATGTCATTTTCCTGCCGCTAAACGCGATGTTCTCTTCCCTATGACAGAATTACGAAGAGATCCGCAAAGCCCTCGAGCAGTGCAACATCGGGAACGACATAGAGTGTTTTGTACATATTCGCAAGACCGGCAACCTCCCTCCAGGTAAAGTGACGGAAGTCCGAGGACTCATGTTCAAATGGTGCTCAATTCCGGTCTTTGAAACACGGTTCTGTAAAGGAACTTGGTGATTTGGGTGTGTGTGTGTGAAGGGATAAGGGACTGTCGGCAGAGGAAGAAAAGGTGACAGTCCAGAGCTAGACAGGAGCATGAGAAAGAAACTCAAACTAATCTCATCTTGATTTTCTTTGGTATCAGTGGAGATAGGGAGAAATTTGGATGGATTTTCAAGTTATTCTGCCCGACTGCAATCCCAGAATCCTTCTGTGCCTCTTCCTTGATCTGGTTTGAACTCAAAGGGCTGAGATCAATTCTAAAAGTTTGTGTCTCGCCACTTCCTCTTACTCCACTCAAGGGGTGAAATGCTACCAGTTCGGACCAGTTCGTCCGAACCGGTAACGATGGCAGCGGTTGGTTCGGAGAACTGGTAGCGATGGCAGCGCGAGGCTCTGCCCAACCACCTGATCATTGTTACTTCCTGGTTTTAACCAGGAAGTAAAGTAGCCTGTTTTTTACACTCTGCGCATGTGCAAAAGGGTTTGCGCCTGCGCAGAGGGTCCGCGTGTATGTGATGCACGCGGGCGCGCAAGTGGCGCGAGCCCATGCACTTCTGAACCGGTAGGGAAGGTAAGTAGATTTCACCCCTGCTCCGCTCCATTTTAATTTTTTCTGGCTGTATAGCAAATTGTATAGCAAAATTCATAACGTGGGGTAGTCATCTCCATCTATATAACAATCAATACAGCCACTTCACAAGCTCTACCAATACTCCGGAGTCCCCTGTTTGGTTAAGGACAGTGATGGCTAACCTTTTTCTTGTCGTGTGCTGAAAGCGCCCACACGTGCATCCGACAGCACACGCGCATGCCGGCACCCATAATGCAATGTGCGCATCCCTGTGTGCGTGCCCACAACCCCCATGCTCACCCCGTCCCCGTGCATGCGCGTATGACCCCCCACGCTCATCCCTGCTCCCTGCGCATGCATACATGACAGCCCCACGCTCACCCCGCCCCCCCTGCATGCACGTGTGACCTCCCCGCCCCCTGTTTTTGGCCTAACAGGCCTCCATGCAGCCTCCTGGCCCAAAAATGGGCCGTGGGGGGCAGGCTGCACCCCCTCCCCCCATTTTGGTCCAGCAGGCTTCCCTGTAGCCCCCCGTGCTCAGCCTTGCCCCCTGCGCATGTACGCGTGATCCTGCCCCTGCATGCGTGTGACCCCCATGCGCATGCGCAACCATCTCCCCATGGGACCTGCCCCCGCGCATCCTGAAAATCAGCAGGCCGGTGGGAGGTGCGTGCATACCCAGTGGAGCTTAGCTGGGCAACGGCTCGCATGTCCGCAGAGAGGGCTCTGCGTGCCAGCTATGGCACACGTGCCATAGGTTCGAAACCTGGCTAGAAATCAGGAATCTGTGATTTCTAGTCCCGCTTTAGGATTGAAATCTGACTGGGTGACTTTGGGCCAATCACCAGGAGACCGTGAATTCTCGTCCCGCCTTAGGCTTGAAATCTGACTGGGTGACTTTGGGCCAGTCACCAGGAGACCGTGAATTCACCTCCCGTGTTAGGCTTGAAATCTGACTGGATGACTTTGGGCCAATCACCATGAGACCGTGATTTCTAGTCCCGTCTTAGGCTTGAAATCTGACTGGGTGACTTTGGGCCAATCATCAGGAGACTGTGAATTCTAGTCCCGCCTTAGGCTTGAAATCTGACTGGGTGACTTTGGACCAATCACCAGGAGACCATGATTTCTAGTCCCGCCTTAGGCTTGAAATCTGACTGGGTGACTTTGGACCAATCATCAGGAGACCGTGAATTCACCTCCCGTTTTAGGCATGAAATCTGACTGGGTGACTTTGGACCAATCACCAGGAGACCATGATTTCTAGTCCCGCCTTAGGCTTGAAATCTGACTGGATGACTTTGGACCAATATCAGGAGACCGTGATTTGTAGTCCCGCCTTAGGCATGAAATCTGACTGGATGACTTTGGGCCAATCACCAGGAGACCGTGAATTCACCTCCCGTTTTAGGCATGAAAGCCAGCTGGATGACTTTTGGCCAATCATTCTCTCTCAGCCCAACCAAATCTAGAGTGTTGTTGTTGTGGAGAAATTTAGAGGAGGAAGGTGTGCTGTATTCAGTATGTTTCCTGCCTTGAGTCATTCATACAAATAATAAAAGCAGGTTATAAATAAACATGTATCCAGGACCATGTTTGGTAGAAAAAGTATTATAATTCAGAATACTACTACAGACCCCAGAATCCTTCTCTCCACTGGCTCAGAATTCTAAGAATTGCAATTTCAGCATCAGAAAGTACCACATCCCATCCAACGTGGGCCCAATGTTAGTTTTTTTTTTTTAATTTGATTTATATGCCGCCCTTCTCCGGAGACTCAGGGCGGCTTACAATATGCTCAGCTTACAAGGCGCTGAGCAATAGCCTTCATCCTTTTGTATATTTTATACAAAGTCAGCTTATTGCCCCCACAAACTGGGTCCTCAATTTACCTACCTTAGAAAGGATGGAAGGCTGAGTCAACCTTGAGCCTTGGAGAGATTCGAACCTGCAGTAATTGCAGGCAGCTGGTCTTAATAACCAGCTTAATAACAGGGTGCCTTAGACCACTGTACTACCAAGGCTCTTATTAGGCTCTTAGTTGAAAAAGAAGTTGGTTTTTTTTTTTCTAATTTCTTTTTTCCTTTCTGCTTTTTGCAGTTCCTGTAGTCTACGAAAATTATTATAACACACAGAAGAACACAGTGCCCAGAAGAAGCCAAGTTCCAGTGCCTGGCACGTAAGAATGAAAAATTACATGTTATTTTTTTAATGCTAATGTTGTTATTTTCAGTTATTTACTTAGTTGCTTTATGCTAACATCCTAGTGTTCTGCCAAGAACAATGATATTATTATTGAATTAAAAAACGCACTAATCCTTCACTTATGTCTACAAACTTCTTCCTTTGAGCAACTTACAGTCCTGTAAAAAAAAAAAAGAAAGAAAGAATAGGAGCCAAAATGCATCCTGGCATATACAGGTCGTCTGCGACTTACGCCCATTCATTTAGTGGTTTTTCACACTTACGACCTTTGTAGCATTTCCCCATAGTCACGTGATCAAAATTCGGAAGCTTTTGCAATTGGTTCATATTTATGACGGTTGCAGGCCCCGAGGTCATGTTTTTGGGACGTTCTGATCAGCAAAAGTCACAATGGGGAAGCCAGATTCACTTAACAACCGTGTGACTAACTTAACGACTGCAAGGATTCACTTAACGACAGAGGCAAGAAAGGTCGTAAAATGGGGCAAAGCTCGCTTAACAACCGTCTGGCTTTGCGGCAGAAATTTTTGGGCCCAGCTGTGGCCATAATTCAAGGACTGCCTGAATTCAAGTGTCATGTCCTCTATTGAGGCTTGCTTGAGAGTAAGTGGTGTTGACTTGGCTTAAACCAAGTTGTCTGAAGCAGTGGTGGGTTCCTCCTGGTTCGGTCCGGTTTGATATGATGTCACCGAACCGGTTTTGCCCCCCCGCCCCCCTTGCGTTATTCTTACATTTTATTTGGCCCCACCCCCAATCTGTTGCTGCCTCCTGAGTCCCAGCTGATGAGCTATAAGGAAAAAAAACTGTTTAAACTCTTGCCGCGGGGCTTCAAAGGGCTGCCCTACAGCTGATCAGTGGTAAAAGGCAGTTTGGTGGTAGACCAGTGCCTTCAAAAACAAATGAGTAGACCGGTGCCTGCAAAAATAAATGGGTAGACCAGTGCCTGCAAAAATACATGAGTAGACCAGTGCCTGCAAAAATAAATGGGTAGACCGGTACAGCTCTTGCAAGCAGTTAAAAGCCTGGTAGACCAGTATCTCTGCTAAATCCTAAAGAATTGTCACATGACCATCAAGCCACGCCCACAAAATAAGCCACGCCCACAGAACCGGTAGTAAAAAAATTTAGAACCCACCCCTGATCTGAAGGTGTGTGAAGTTGGGTTGGATCGATTTACCTGCATCTCTTCTCCCCTGCAGGAGACCCCAGATGCCCATCCCTTCCAGTGAACCAGGTGAGTAAACCTTGCACCCCCTCGCGGGTCTTCCATCTTTTTGAAAATTGGGGGAACCACAGATGGAGAACTTTGAAGCAGAATTCCAGCCTTGTTAAAAATGGAATAGAATAGAATAGAATTCTTTATTGGCCAAGTGTGATTGGACAGACATGGAATTTGTCTTTGGTGCACATGCTCTCTGTGTACAGAAAGAAAAAAATCAAATAAATTCATCACGAATCATAAGATACAGCACTTAGTGATAATCATAGGTTACTAATAAGCAATCAAATCATACTAGGAAACAAATACAACAATATAAATTGTAAAGATACAAGCAACATGATTATAGTCATCAGTGGAAGGAGATAAGGTACTAGGAAGGATGAGAAGAATAATAGTAATACAGTCTTAGTAATTAATTTGACAGTGTTGTGGGAATTATTTGTTTAGCAGAGTGATGGCATTCAGGAAAAAAACTGTTCTTGTGTCTAGTTGTTCTGGTGTGCAGTGCTCTATAGCATTGTTTTGAGGGTAGGAGTTGAAACAGTTTATGTCCAGGATGCGAAGGATCTGTAAATATTTTCACAGCTCTCTTTTTGACTCGTGCAGTATACAGGTCCTCCATGGAAGGCAGGTTATTGTATTATACTATATACTATAATTACAATTATAGTAATTGTAAATTAGTAAAAATATTTTTTTACTAAACAAAGTAAATAGTAAAAACAATTACTACCAACCTGCCTTCCATGGAGGACCTGTACGCTGCACGAGTCAAAAAGAGGGCTGTGAAAATATTTACAGATCCCTCGCATCCTGGACATAAATTGTTTCAATTCTTACCCTCAAAACGACGCTATAGAGCACTGCACCCCAAAACAACTAGACACCAGAAGAGTTTTTTCCCGTATGCCATCACTCTGCTAAACAAATAATCCCCTCAACACTGTCAAACTAGTTACTAAGTCTGCACTACTATTAATCTTCTCATCGTTCTTATCACCCATCTCCTCCCACTTATGACTGTATGACTGTTAACCTTGTTGCTGGTATCCTTAAGATTTATATTGACTGTTTCCCTATGACTATCATTAAGTGTTGTACCTTATGATTCTTGACGAATGTATCTTTTCTTTTATGTACTCCGAGAGCGTATGCACCAAAGACAAATTCCTTGTGTGTCCAATAACACTTGGCCTATAAAGTATTCTATTCTATTCTATTCTATTCTATTCTATTCTATTCTATTCTATTCTATTCTATTCTATTCTATTCTATTCTATTCTATTCCATTCCATTCCATTCCATTCCATTCCATTCCATTCCATACTATTCCATTCCATTCTACTCTACTCTACTCTACTCTACTCTACTCTACTCTACTCTACTCTACTCTATTCTATTCTTTTTTCTGCAGTTCTAATTATCCTCCGAAGTCTGTGTCTGTCTTGTTGGGTTGCAGAACCAAACCAGACAGTTATAGAGGTGCAGATGACAGACTCAATAATTCCTCTGTAGAACTGGATCTATTGAGCAAGGAGAGAGAACTTGTGATGGGGGAAGGCAGAGATTTAATTTCCCCATCCCCTTCTGCTTTCCCCCCCAACATTATGGCAAACAGGTGCATGAAAATCTCCCATACAGGTAGTCCTCAACTTATGACGGTCGCTTAGCAATTGTTCAAAGTTACAACGGACACCCCCCCAAAAGAGGTACTTTTTATGACCCAGAGTCGAAGTGCCAACTGCTGCCTCTCTCTGTGGTCATGTGATCACATTTGGCCACTCAGCGAACAAACCACATTTACGGCCATTTGTAGCATCCTGGTCATGTGATTGTGGTTTATACTGGGTTTTTTGGGGTTTTTTTTTGCGGGAAACTGGCATTTATTTCTGGTTTCCAGCAAAAAAAGATCCACGACAGACAATGACTTTCCTTAACAACCATGGTGATTCATTTAAGAACCATTGCAAAAAATGTCCTAAAATCAGGAATTGGTCACATGATGATCTGCTTAATGACCATGATGACTTCAAGCTGTCGAAAGGTTGAGGAATACCTGCAATTGTGGACCAAGAGCACCTTAAAAGGAGGGAGGGCTTAATTTTGGATCCTTAAATGATAACGTTTAGTTCCTGACCTTGATTTGAATTGCCTCCAGCTGCTTGTAATAAACATTCTGTGAATCTCCTAATCTTAATTAGACTTTACACCTGCCTATTCCCTAAAACGGTGGTTCTTACCTAACTTGTTGGTTAATCAAGCACAGTTTTTGCCATTTTGAATTTGGGTTCAGATATTTTACCTTGTGGATTAATTGTCACCTTTGATTTTATAGGGGATGCTAACTATGCTTCCGTGGATGGATATAGCTTAATTCATCCCCACTAGTGCAGAGATGGTAAGTTTGGTCATTTAGAAAAGGAACTTAAAGTGCTTATCTAATTAAGCATATTACTGGAATAGAATAATACAGAATATCTCTGTGTTTATACAACGTCTTAAGGCAGTGTTTTTCAACTTTAAGATGTGTGGACTTCAATTCCCAGAATTCCCCAGCCAGCCACACTAGACTAACAGAATAACAGCATTGGAAGGGACCTTGGAGGTCTTCTAGTCCAACCCCCTGCTCACACAGGAAACTATACCAAAGATGGCTAACCTTTTTGCCATCACGTCCAGGAGCGGGTATGTTTGTCTGTCATGCACAATAATTCTATGCACCCTGCCCCCGCACATGCCCCCACCTGCTCCCCCCGCTCCTGGCACGCAATGGCACAGTAGGCCCGTTTTTTGCTGTCTCCAGCCTCCAGAGCCTTTCTAGGAGTCTGGGGAGGACAAAAACAGCCTCCCCCCACCACCCAGAGGCCCTCCGGAGGCTGAAAACGGCCAATCCCACCGGAAGTTGGCAAACGGGCCATTTCCAGCCTCCAGAGGGCCTCTGAGGGGGTGGGGAAGGCCATTTTTGCCCTCTACAGACTCCTAGAAAGACTCTGGAGGCTGGGGAGAGAGAGAAATGGACCTCCCCACCCCCTGAGGTCCTCCGGAGGCAGGAAACAGCCTTTTCCCCTACTTCTGGTGGGCCCAGAAGGCCCGAAAATCAGTTGGCCAGTGTGCGCATGTGCGCCAGAGCTGAGCTCGCGTGCCCACCGATATGGCTACATGTGCCATAGGTTCGCCATCACGGCTCTATACTATTTTAGACAAATGGTTGTCCAATCTCTTCTTAAAAACCTCCAAGGTTTTTAATGTTGGCTGAGGAATTCTGGAAATTGAAGTCCAGGCATCTTTAAATTACCAAGATTGAAATGTGTTAAATTATGGTTTAATTGACAATTATACTTTGGCTGTTCTTAAGTACGAATAAACAAGATTTGCTGATTGTACACTAAGCCCTCAATCATAAACCACAGCTTACAAAGAGTATTGCTAGATTAATGCAAGATGCTAAACCATAAACTAACACATCATATTAATCTCCCCAAATAAGGTTTGCTCGATCTGGGCTTAATTTATTGCAAGAATTCAACGCTTGCAATTTGGAAGTATGGATCTTGGCTTACCACAAGGTGTAAAACTCGATCAGCAAATCACAGATCATGGCTTAGTTTAGTACAGGTAGTCTTTGACTTATAATGGTTCATTTAGTGACCATTCAAAGTTACAACAGCACTGAAAAAGATGACTTATGACCGTTTTTCACCCTTACGACCGTTGCAGCATCCCCTCCCCATGGTCACATGATCAAAATTCAGATGCTTGGCAACTGACTCATAGTTATGACGGTTGCCGTGTCCGTCTTCGGACAATGCTGGCTCTTCGGCTTTGAAACGGAGATGAGCACCGCCCCCTCAATTAACAAATGTCTCACTTAGCGACGAGAAATTTTGGGCTCATTTGTGGTCGTAAATCGAGGATTACTTGTAGATGGATCCCAGTCTGTATTTTTCTCACTCTCTGATCCTTTTCTTCCCTCTAGATCTTGGAATCTTTCATTCGACGATACCTCTGTGAGGAAATCAAATAGCAGCATTTTAAAAGCTGTCCCACTCTACTTCCCCAAATGGAGTTTTGCTCTTTCTGGGGTGCATTAATTATTATTTTAAAAACGCAATTGGAGAAGAACATTTTGGGAAGATGGAGGATGGTTCCACGGCAGAAAAGTAACGAGAGAATGCTGATTTTCTGGCAAATAACATCAATATTCTGTTGTTTTATTCATTTGAAGGAAGGGATAACACCCCCCCTCCCCCGCAGGGGTTGTTTGCAGGATGTGGTCGAAAAAGTCAAGATGGCAGCTGTAGCATCAACTGCACTGTTAGAGCCACAATCTTGCCTTTTTTTGACCAGATGCTTGGACCCCTTGCCCTTTTTAATTAGTAAAAGGGGGGGGGGGGTTGACATCGGAAGGATTACACATATGTGTGAGTTACCTTAAAATCAGGCGTCTTGGGAAACACTGCAGTTTTTAACCTGACCTACCTCACAGGGTTGTTGTGAGGATGGAACAAGACAATCCCATGTTATTAGCCTTAATTCTTAGATCTGACTTAATTCTGTTGGAGAGTGGTAGGAAAGCTTATGGAGTTTTGATTACCTTCCTTTTTGTTTTTTAGTCTCGGCCAAAATCCAATGAAATCTAAAGCAAATGGACTCTTCCTGATTCAATAAGCAATAATAATTAAAATACTTATTTGTCTACAAATGACCCGGGAGCCAGTCTGTGGGAACTGCAGTAACATGCAGGTTAATCCTTCCCCTGGACTTTTGAGTTGTGATGGTGCGGAGTCAGCGGCCTGTGAAACCCTCCTTTTAGTTAAAAGCAAGTTTCTAGTCCTCATGATTACGAGGGACAGAAAATGCGTGGCTGCTATACTACCCACTCATGGAAAGTTCTGGAAGCCAAAGCAGGTTGCTGCAGGATTTCTCTGTTGCCTTTTTTGGGGGGTCATCCATACTTTTAATCCTACTCCATTTCCTACCCCATTGGTTTTAACTGGGTTGTTTTAAATTGCGGGCCGAAATTATTTAATTACCTTTTAAACTGTTTTTTAAATTTTGTATGCTCTGTTTTATCTCGGCTGTTCACCACCCTGAGTCCTGCTGGAGAAGGGCGGTATAAAAATCAAATCAAATAAAAAATAAATAAATACATTTCTATTCTTACTATTCTATTTTTGGAAGATGAATTCTAAGAGTTGTTTTAGGAAAAAAAAATAAGCAATTAATATTAAACCGTGTTCTTGATGTGACAACTGTTTTGTTGGGCATAGGTGGGCTCTGTTAATTTAGGAAACTTTTTCCATTCGTATAGGTTTTTTTTTCAGATTTGAACTGTGGGATCGTTGTTTTCTCACAGACATCTCGTTACCAAACTGTGTAACATCATCGGTGCTACAAGGGTGTGGGGTTTGCTCTCAGTTTATATACAAGTAGCTTGCCCTGTCAGCTTGGTGCTGGGAGTAGTTTTGGTGGTTTTCTTCATCAAGACCAACCATTGTATGGAAATTGAGAGCAAACTCACTATTTACTATCACGGATGATATTACCTAGTTTGGTAATAAAACGTCTGCAAGAGAAACAACTAAGCTCAGACACCACACACCAAAAAGGTGTTCATCATATTGCCTGTTGTAAGTGGTTTTTTAAGATGTTGATTGGGGTGTGTTGATGGCTGGTGTTTAAGTCATTCGCTGTCCTTTTGCTTGTGCGAGATCTGCAAGTGGGCATCGCACACCGACCAGAGACTCTCATACGAGGACGAATTATGCATTGTAAAGATTGCTTGGAGGTGGGAGATACTTCCAATGTAATTTACCACATGGGTTTGCAACCTTGGCAACTTTATGACTTGTGGACTTCAACTCCCAGAATTCCTCAGCCAGCGCATGTGCTGGCTGAGGAATTCTGGGAGTTGAAGTCCACAAGTCATAAAGTTGCCAAGGTTGAAGACTAGTGGTGGGTTGCTACCGGTTCGCCCCAGTTCAGACGAACCAGTAGTAGCGGTGGCGGGAGGCTCCGCCCACCCTCCCGGATGTCATCGAATACACTCTGCGCATGCACAGAAGCTTCTGCGCATGCGCAGTAGTGGTGCACGCACAAGCGAGCCGGTAGCAAAGGTAAGTGAAACCTACCACTGTTGGAGACCCTTGATCTACCGGATCTCCTGAATGGATTTCCCCCGTTGACTATGTAGAACAGGTAGGGAGGAAGCTAGCATCCAGACTGCAAGAACACAAGTGAAGGGTCAGATGAGGAGATCCGAACTCGGGTGAAATGCTCCCGGTTCTGACGGGATCGCCCGATCTGGTAGCGATGGAGGCGGGTGGTTCGGAGAACCGGTAGCAAAAATCCCTGCCCCCGCCCCCCCCGCCCAGCTGAGCCGTACAATCTCGGAGGCTTTTTTTTTTACTTTTAAAAGCATTTTTTCTACAACCTCTTCAGCCGAAAAAATGCTTTTAAAAGTAAAAAAAAAAAGTCTCTGATGATCGTGCGGCTCAGCTGGGATCGTCAAAGCCTTTTAAAAGAAAAAAACCCTTTTTTTCTTTTAAATGCCTCTGACGATCAGGCAACTCAGCTGGGAGATCCTCAGAGACATTTAAAAGAAAAAAACCCTTTTTTTCTTTTAAATGCATCTGATGATCCAAGCTGAAGTCAGAGGCATTTAAAAGAAAAAAAAGCCTCTGCTGATCAGGCAACTCAGCTGGGATCGTCAGAGCCTTCTGAAAGCATTTTTTACAACCTCTTCGCCGAAGAGGTTATAAAAGAAATGCTTTTAAAGCCTCTGACGATCCCAACTGACTTGTCTGATCAACAGAGGCTTTCTTTTTTTAAAAAAAAGCCTCTGACGATCCCAGCTGACTTGCCTGATCGGCAGAGGCTTTTTTTCTTTTTAAAAACATTTTTTCTATAACCTCTTCGGCCGAAGAAGTTGTAGAAAAAATGCTTTTAAAAGCCTTTGATGATCCCAGCTGAGCCGCGCGATCATCAGAGGCTTTTTTTTGTTTTTTACTTTTAAAAGCATTTTTTCGGCCAAAGAGGTTGTAGAAAAAATGCTTTTAAAAATTAAAAAAAGCCTCTGATGATTGTGCAGCTCAGCTGGGCAATGGGGGGGGGGCAGGGATTTTTGCTACCAGTTCTCCAAACCACCCGCCTCCATCGCTACCGGATCAAGCGATCCGGTCCGAACCGGGAGCATTTCTCCCCTGCTTTGGTGGTCTGCAGGAATCGAACTCTCAAATCAAAAGTTGTTGAGTGAGGCAGCGGGTTCAATGGTGTGATTCTCTAAAATGGTTCCCTCCAGATGTAACAGTAACAGAGTCGGAAGGGACCTTGGAAGTCATCTAGTCCAACCTCCTGCTCACACAGGAGACCTATACTAGGGATTCGAACCGCCGAACTGCCGACCTTTCTGATCGACAAGCTCAGTGTCTTAGCCACGGAGCCACCTAGTCATGCTTTATTGTGTTATTGGGCTGGGAATTACATAGGCCAAGAAAATAGACGCGGTCTAGGAGGTCTATAAAATTGCACATTAAGAATTTGCACAGGCTAGGCCGAAAATCTGAAAAGAAATGAGCAAAACTCATATTAAAAGCAAAAAAAAAAAAGAAAAAAAAGAAGAGAGAGAAACTTTTCCCACCCCGACCGCCAGGGGTCGCTCTTCCACGTTGCAATGTTATGACTTTGCAGGACTCCCTTCCTCGATGGTGATTGGTGGAGAAGAAATTCGGTAGACTTAAAAATGGGTAGATGTGCAGAGATGGACAAATTAACAAAGGAGATACAAGAAAAAGAGGAAACAGAATATTACTTAGTGTGGGAGAAATGGTATGAATGGTTGGAGGAGAGAGAGAAAAGGCAAGGAAAAATTAAATAATGGTCGAATAGGGAGTAGAAGTATAATTGTAAATATGAGGAAACAAAAATTGTAGAAATGAAAGTGTGTACACGGGTATTTTTATGTATACATGTAAATAAATATTAGAAGTATATGTATAAAAGATATAATAGAAATAAGGGAGGAAAAATGTATAAGTATGACATTTTTGACTAAGGCGAAACTGTTGAAATAGAAAAAGTGTTAAAGCTTTCTTTTTGTTTTGTAAAAAATGTTTAATAAAAAAATAAAATAAATAAAAATGGGTTAGAGGGGCATTTTTGCAAAATTCTGGTTTGCAAACATTGAATGGCGCCTGGAGATTCCCCGAAAGAAAAGCCCTGATCCTTCATCGTCGCAAATAAATAAGATGAAAATGTCAAAACGAATTGAAACCTTATTTTTTTTCCCATTGCTTTCCTTTATTGCATCCACGAAGGGGGGGGGGGACAGTCCTTCATTTGCCTCCATTCCCAGAAAGCCCAGGGTTGGGGCTAAAGAGAAAAGAAGCCGGAGCCTTGATAGTACAGTGGTCTAAGCACCCTGTTATTAACACAGCTGCCTGCAATTTCTGCTGGTTCGAATCTCTCCAAGGCTCAAGGTTGATAAGGTAGGTGAAATGGGGACCCAGTTTGTGGGGGCAATAAGCTGACTTTGTATAAATATACAAAAGGGATGAAGGCTATTGCTTAACGCATTGTAAGCCGCCCTGAGTCTCCGGAGAAGGGTGGCATATAAATCAAATTAAATAATAATAATAATAATAATAAAAAAATTCGCCTTCAACTCCAATGGACGTCTAGGGACAAATTCAGAGTTTTGTCAGAAACAAAAACGGAAAAAGTTTCCCATGTCTTCCCCTGGGATGTTTTCAGATTAACCAGCCTGGCCTGGGATTTCCTGGTGGTCTCCCATCCAAGCAGCCCCTCCCACTTGCTGAGCTGTCCCAATAACGCAGAAGCCTGTCAGGTGCTGCCATTTTAAAACAGGGGAGGCTCTCTTCGCCAGGGGTCTCCAACCTTGGCAACTTTAAGATTTCTGGACTTCAACTCCCAGAATTCCCCAACCAGAAGAGGTGAATTCTGAATTCTAAATTCAGAGCAGGGAATTCTGGGAGTTGAAGTCCACAAGTCTTAAAGTTGCCAAAGTTGGAGACTCCTGCTCTAGGCCATTCTCTTCTAGGAGTGTTTTTAGCAGCGTTTCTGCATCTCAGAAGCCCTGAAGAAGCGTGTGGACTTCACCTCCCAGAATTCCCTGCTTTGAATTCAGAGCACAGAACTCATCTCTTCTGGCTGGGGAATTCTGGGAGTTGAAGTCCAACCCTCTTCCAGTCTCTGTGAGGGAAGAAAGCGAGGCTGAATTCAGAGGTGGGCGCGGCTACGCCGGAGGAGGGCGTGGCTATGCATATTCGGAGGTGGTGGTGAAATTCAACGTTCTCCTCGGCTTGGGACGCGGAAGCTGAGGGCGGGTTGGCGCCTCTTCCCTTTTCCTACGTCTAGGGCCTCGGGTTTTTTTTCGATCACGTGATCCTGACCACGCCCCCTCCGCCTCTTCGGGCACTGCAGAAACAACAAGCCCGGAGAAAGAAGGAGGCGAAGCGGCGGCCGGACGGATGGCGGAGGCGGTCAAGCCCCGCAGCCGGAGCAAAAGCACCCGGGTCAGAGCGAAGGTAACCCGGGGAGGGGCCACGGGACTACAATACCCATCGTCCCCTACCAGAAAGCCCCCCCCCTCTTTTTTAAACCAACCCTAACCCTGTCCGCTTTGGATGCTGGGTCGGACCAGGGAGCCCATGCTTCCCAGCGGACGTCGATTGGGGTGGACTACAACTCCCATCGCTCCTCTTCCCAGCCAGCCATTGGGGGGGGGAGAGAGAGAGAGAGAGAGAGAGAGAGAATGGAGGCTTCATCTTCCCCCACCCTCCTCCTCCCCCAGTGACCCCAAAAGGGTGGGCCGGCTGTGGATGCTGGGAGTTGTAATCCCATCCTCAGATTCCTCCCCCACTTTTTTTGGCTGTGTGTGGTGGGGGGGGGGTAGGTGCGTGAAACCCAGAAAATATCATTTCAAGGGCTCAGGTAAGATAGACTGCTCCTGGCCATGGAGGTTCTATTGGCTCCTCTAATGAGGAGCAGGGATATATATATATAATTTTTGAAAATAAATGAATTACACACACACACACACATATATAATGAAAATTATATATACAGTCTATCTGACCACTTGGGTGGGTGGGATAGGCAATGTAGCAATTCAATAAATGAAAATTATATAGATATATACAAATATAAATTTGTATATATCTATATGATATCTATAAAATTATATATACATATACATATACATACATACATATATATAATTATGTGTTTTTCTATCGCACCTGGTCTACCCCAACATGTGGGAGGGAGCATACTGCATCCCTTTCGCCTTTCAGCTCCAATCCAGGAGCCCTCAAGCAGTCACATTCACGACAAACCATTTTATTCCAAATTTATATTAAATTTGCAGGCAGCCCAAGTTCGAATCCGAGTAAGGGTATGGCTAGCTGATGAGAGCTAAATATCTTGAAATAGATCTATACTAGTCTCCCTTTATTTCTTTATCAGCGAAATATAAATATATAATTTTAACTATCTATCTATCTATCTATCTATCTATCTATCTATCTATCTATCTATCCACAAAATTATATATATATATATTTCATTTATTGAATTGCTACATTGCCTATCCCACCCACCGAAGTGGTCAGATAGACTTCTCCTTGTCCAGAAAGAAAAGCCTCCCTGGATCACATCTGGGTTTATTTAAGCCTTGAAAAGCCATTTCCTGGCCTTGTAAATTGGAGCGAAGTCATCACAGCTGAGTCTCATTAGAGCAAAATCATCACAGCTGGGTGTGTGTCTCCACCTTGGACCAGGTGAAGAGGGCTGGGACTTCAGCTCCCAGAATGCCCCCAGCCAGCCATACTGGCTGGAGGAATTCTGGGAGTTGAAGTCCCAGCCCTCTTCACCTGGATGAGATTGAGAAATCCTCATTCTTGCAAGAGTGATGGAGGGAGGGAAAAGCCTCTGGTAATGCTGAAGCCCAGCCAGCCCTGGGATGAAAGGGGGGTATAGGTAGTCCTCGACTTACAGCAGCTTGTTTAGTGATGGTTTGAAGTTACAGCGGCATTGAAAAAAGTGTTTTATGACCGTTTTTCACACTTATGACCGTTTTTATGACTGTTGCACCATCGCCATGCTCCTATGACCAAAATTAAAGATGCTTGGCAACTGGCTTGTATATATTTGTGCACCGCCCTGAGTCCCTCGGGAGAAGGGCAGTATAAAAATTTAAATAATAGATAAATAAATAAATAAATATTTATGACGGTTGCAGGTGTCCCAAGGACATACAATTTATACCTTTTGTGACCCTCTTAACAATGGGGAAGCCGGATTCACTTAACAACCCTGTTGCTAATTTAACGCTCGCAGCGATTCACTTAACAACTCTGTCAAGAAAGGTTGTAAAATGGGGCAAAACTCACTTAACTGTCTTAACAATGGAAATTTTGGCCTCGATTTTGGTCATAAGTTTAGGACTACCTGGGATCCCGTTCCCCATACATCCCAGGGGATTTTTGGGGCTGAACCTACCCAAACAGTTGGGGTCAATTTGTCTGCTAGCAGAGGAGAGGAAGTCCTAGATCCGTGATGGCGAACCTATGGCACGCGTGCCACAGGTGGCACACGGAGCCATGTCGCCTGGCACGCCAGCTTAGCTCCGGGAGTCTCTGGAGGCTGGGGACAGCAAAAAACTTCACTTTCTGTCCAACTGGAAATTGGGAAATGGGCCGTTTCGGGCCTCCGAGGGGGTGGGGAAGGCTGTTTTCGCCCTCCCCAGATGCATAGAGAGGATCGAGCCAGGTGAGAAAGAAAAACGGGCCATCACATGCCAAGAGCGGGGTGGGGGAGCGGGGTGTGGGGCGCAGGACGCATAGAACTATGGGTGTGGGCACGCGTGCGTGCGAACCTCCCTTGCCCCCCCCCTTCCTGGCACGTGATGGCAAAAAGGTTAGCCATCACTGTCCTACATGGTCCTTTAGCAGTTAGGGAATTTTGTTTTTCTGAATATTTTTCATTGCTTGCAGATTTGTCTGTGTGTGTGTTGTTGTTGTTGTTATTGTTGTTGGTGTTACAAGTAGTCCTTGACTTACAACTACTCCATTTGAAGTTATAAAGGCACTGGAAAAAGTGACTTATGACCCATTTTCATACTTAACAACTGTTGCAACAATCCCAAGATCATGTGGTCACAATTCAGGCATGTGACAACAGGTGTGTCTTTATGATGATTGCACTGTCCTTATATATCCATTTGCGGCCACCCTTTTGTGACCTTCCCAGCCAGCTTCTGACGAGCAAGGTCAAGGGGATTATCTAGATTGGCTTAATGATCCCATGATTCACTTGCAAACCGCCGTGATCCGCTTAACGACTGTGGCAAACGGTGTTGTAAAATGGGGCACAATTCACTTAACCTTGCTTTTAGCAAACTTGAAATCTTGGGCTCAATTGTGGTTGCAAGTCAAGGACTACCAGTAGGGATGGGGGGGTTGATGGAAGGATAGGGTGTGGTTGTAATGATCCCACCCTCAGATTTCCCCCTTTGGCTGTAGGGGAAGTGCGTGAAGCCCAGAAATATCATTTCAAAGGCCCAGTAAGAAACAGTGCTCCTGGCCATGGAGGTTCTATTGGCTCCTCTAATGAGGAGCAGGGATATATATATATATTAAAAAAAAATATTTTCATCACTTATCCCTTCATCAGAGATGGCACCATTCTGAATTGGAAGCTTCTAGAAATGGCATTTTATCAAAGGCACACCTTTCCCCGAGATCCTGAAAACAGCTGCTGTGTGTTTTTTCAGGACATCCGTGATGATGTGCCACTAGCACAAAGGTGTGTTTACCTGAGGAAATTTAAACACTAGTCGTGGCACGCGGAACCATATTGATGGGCACGCGAGCCTCAGCTCCAGCGTTTTGGGCCTTCCGGGCCCACCGGAAGTCAGGAAACAGGCTGTTTCTGGCCTCCGGAGGGCCTCTGGGGGATGGGGAAGGCCCGTTTTTTTGCTCTCCCCAGGCTCCAGAGGCTTTCTAGGTGGGACTGGAAGTCGGCAAACGAGCCATTTCTGGCCATGGGGGATGGGTGGGGAAGGCTGTTTTCGCCCTCCCCAGGCTTCCTAGAAAGAGAGCGAAAAATGGGAGAGCGAAAAACGGGCCTTCCGGTTCCACCAGAAGTCAGCAAACGGGCCGTTTCCGGCCTCCAGAGGTCCTCTGGGTGGGGGAGAGGCCGTTTTTTATCCGAGCAAAAAATGGGAGAGCGAAAAACGGGCCTTCGGGTCCCTCTGTGCCATCGCATGCCAAAAGGGTGGGGTGGGGTGGGGAGTCGCATGCGCATGCGCGGGGGGGGGCAGGGTGCATTGAATTATGGGTGTGGCACGCACATGCGTAACCTCCCCTCCCCCCCGCTTTTGGCACGCGACGGCAAAAAGGTTAGCCATCACTGCTCTAGACTATCCTCCACACCATCCATCTGCCTTATAAGGCACTGTCTGCTTGGGTCAGTGTACATATAGTCCTCAATTTACAACAGTTCATTTAACAACCATTCGACACTGAAAAAAAGTGGCTTATGGCAATTTTTTCACACTTATGACCACCAGCATTCCTGATTTACATTCAGACGCTTGACAATGATTCACATTTATGACGGTTGCAGTGTCCCAGCAGGGTCATGTGATCCCTTTTGCGACCTTCTAACAAGCAAAGTCAATGAGGAAACCCATTCTGGGTAGATGTTGTTTATCTCTATGTGTCTGTTGATGGCCGAGTGTTTTATTGTTACCTTATGTTCATATTATCAAATTCTCAACCCAACCTACACATAACCAAACGTTTTCTGACTTTGGGCCAGTCACTCTGTCTCTCTCATCCTATCCCACCTCACAAGGCTGTTGTTGTGGTACAAATAGGAGGCAAGAATGTTATGTATGTTTTTTTTGGCCCTCAGTTGACCAATATAGAAAAACGGGCAGGATAAAATGGCGATGATGATCCACTGACTGAGGGAAGGCCTTTTTCATTCAGTTGTCAGTCATGATGTCAGGGTTAGTTTTGAGAGAGATGGCTTGCTGTCAGGATTCCGACAGATGCCCTAATTAAATCATGAGCCCCGAGCCAAGCTTCAAAAGAAATCCAGTTGTTTATTAGGAGCTTCATGTCGGCACAAGTGTAGCCAACTCTGACCCCACGTAATTTACGGCCCAGACTTGACACTGTTTCCCCCCTCCCCCCAGGGTGTGTCATCAGTCACATTCGCCAACGGAGCAATTTCAGGGGTTGTAGAGATCACTCCCCTCCGGCCGCTCTAGGTAACCCTGGGAGACATCCTTGAGAGAGATATGTCTGGAATGTGCTTTTGTTTTTGGCTGCTTCGCTGTTTTCTCATCCCCCTTACCTTGTGGCAACTCCAGAGCAGGCCAGGGATGCTTTCTGAGTTGTCACATGATTTCTTACCAAAGTTTACACAGATTCAGATCTTTCCAAGAATCATCCTAAACTTGGATTAGTGGGTATAGTAATTTGTTTTACTAAATATACTTGATATTGTACACTGGCCAGAGCCCGTCTCCGGGGTAGATGGACAATTAAGAAATATGAAGTATAAATGAAATAAAATACAGGTAATCCTCAATTTACAACAGTTCATTTAGTGACTGTTTGAAGTTACACCGGCGCTGAAAAAAGTAACTTGTGACCATTTTTCACATGCGTGTGTGCATGTGCGCCAGCCAGCCAGTCTTCCGGTTACTGCTGGAAACCGGAAGTTCATTTTCCTGCATGCGCATGCCATCTGGGTAGCTGCTCTTCCTGGTGATGGCCAAGATGAGTGCGTGAAGTGCTCCCTTTTCGGCACGTAGTGCCGCACGTGCGCACTCCCTTTTCGGCACCCAGTGCCGAAAAGGTTCGCCATCACTGCTCTACACCATTTCACATGAATGGTTGTCCAGTTTCTTCTTAAAAACCTCCAGTGCTGGAGCACCCACGACTTCTGGTGGCAAGCTGTTCCGTTGGTTCCACTGGCAACTGGACTTCCTGGTTTTTTCTTTGAAGACGTTTCGCTTCTCGTCCAAGAAGCTTCTTCAGCTTTGACCGGAGAGTGGAATAGTTCAAAGAACCAGTAGCGGAAATTTTGAGTAGTTTGGAGAACCGGTAGTAGAAATTTTGAGTAGTTCGGAGAACCGGTAGTGGAAATTTTGAGTAGTTCGGAGAACCGGTAGTAGAAATTTTGAGTAGTTCGGAGAACCATCAAATGCCACCTCTGGCTGGCCCCAGAGTCGGGTGGGAATGGAGATTTTGCAATATCCTTCCCCCAGGAGTCGGGTGGGAATGGAGATTTTGCAGAATCCTTCTCCTGCCACGCCCACCAAGCCACGCCCCCAAGCCACACCATGCCCATGGATTTCACCACTGGCCATAAGTGCGAGTAAGTCGCTTTTTTCCAGTGGTGGTGTCACACTAAATGAACTGTTGTAAGTTGAGGATGGCCTGTACCTATGAGAACCTGGAAGCCTTTTGATGTTCAAAAACAATGGTGGTTTGTGAAATCAGAGTTTACTTGGGAGTTAAAACCAAGGCTGATTGAGTAACATGTGATTTTTTTTTTCCTTGGCACATACTGGCTGTCTTGTGTGTCTTGTGATACCAAGCTTTTTTATTAACTAGGGAAGTCTTGCTAGAGAGGAGAGATCTTTCAAAATAACAAGAAGTTGCTAAATAAGAATCCCCCCCCCCCCCGTTTGTTGCAATAGCTTAAATAGAGACAAAAATACCAATTGCTGGAGCAGCAAAATGGGCAGATGAGAAAGGAAGGATCTTCTGGTCAGTTTTTTGGGTGTGTGTGTGCTTTTAGTATTTCAGTTGTTTTTAAACATATAGCCCACACAGTGATCAGAACCATGGAAAAAAATTACGTAGCTGCAATCCAGATAGAAAAATGTGATTTATGATGGTTTTTGACACTTATGACCGTTGCCAGCATCCTGTGGTCACATGACCAAAATTTGGACACTTCCCCCCAGCCTAAAGGGTGAATGATTCTTACTAATTTGGGTAAAACGAATGTTGCTATCATTTGATTGTATCGAATAGGACTTTTCCGTTGTGCCTTACTCCTGATGATTAGGCTGTCTTTTTTTTAAAAAATGTGTTTTAATTCCCACTAGGAAAAAAAGAAGAAGAGCGAAGAGAAAGAGAGCGAGACAAGCAAATCGTCTTTGTGCAAAAAGATTGACGAAGAGGTTTTGCGGGAGAACAGCACGCCCGAAGGACTCGTTTCGGAATCCAGGCCCTGCCCTCAAGCCGCCCGGAAGGAAACCGGGAACAAGGCCCCCAAAGTGCCACCAAGTGTGCTCACTCCTGAAAATGAAGTACCTCCGGCAGTTCCCCAAACTCAACCTCCCCTGGGTGCAAAAAATTTGCAGGCGGAGAAAGACGCGGCAACGGCAGATGGGCGGGATCTCGAGGAAGGAGCAGTTAACAGCAAGAGAACTGGTGACTCGTCGGAAAAAAACATTCCACCCATGGAAAGTGCACCCTGTAGTAGCCCTATGGAGCATCCGGTTGCTCCTACCTCCGAAAAGATCCATGCCCTCGTCTTAGTTCCTGAAATGGGAGTGAAAACACCCATGGAGACCCCCGTCTTTAAAAAGCTGTACCCCGAAATCTCGATGTTGTTATCTGAAGGACTGCCGGATTTTACTTTCCGGTTGCCGCATCGTACGGAGAGATTGTATCCTGAACTTCCAGTAGATCCCGAACCGATTCCTTTTACCAAAGAGCAGCTGAAGGTTTTCGAGCCCTGTTCCTGGCTGGGGAACGTCGAGGCTTATGTGGAGGAATTCAGCAGCAGGGCCTACCAGGACCGGCATGAGTTTTATGAGCTGGTGTTGAATTACTGCCGGTGTCGGAAACAGCTGTTGCTAGCTGAAGCCAAATTGCAAAGCCTTTACCTGGATTGCGAAAGCGTCAAAGAGCGCCTGTGGACTTTCAGGGATAAACAGCAGAGTGCCCAGGTGAGGGTTAGGGAAGCTGGTTTTGGACAGAATAACAGAAGAGTTGGGAAGGGACCTTGGAGGTCTTCTAGTCCAACCCCCTGCTCAAGCAGGAAAACCAATATTTCAGACAAATGGGTTGTCATTAAAATCCCAGGGTTCAGATCAGGGGTGAAATGCTACCGGTTCGCACCGGTTTGGGTGAACCGGTAGTGATAAAAGCTACCAGTTCGGGCTCACTGGTAGTAAAACAAAGTACCGGTTCGTTAGAACCGGTATTTCTGACTATCAGCTGTGCCGCATAATTTATATTCGCTAGAAAGCAGGAAATCCTGCTTTCTAGCGAATCTAAATCGCGCGGCATAGCTGTTCTCCCCCCCCGCTGTTCTACTTATCTTGTTAAGCCTCGTTTTTCCATGCGAAGCACATGTTTGGTACGCACTGTGCATGCGCGTGCTTGCAGTGCATTTGGCACGTACTGCATGCGTGCGCAGCATGTGTTTGGCATGCACTGCACATCGGGACACCCTGCGCACGGTCACTCATGCCCTCATCATTTCCCGACTGGACTACTGCAATGCTCTCTACATGGGGCTTCCCTTGAAGAGCAGCTGGAGGCTCCAACTGGTCCAAAATGCGGCCACGCGGGTGATTATGGGAGCGGCGGGACGCTCCCATGTAACTCCTCTCCTGCGTGAGCTGCATTGGCTCCCAGTGGTCTTCCGGGCGCGATTCAAGGTATTGATTAACATCTTTAAAGCGCTCCATGGCTTAGGACCTGGGTACTTATGGGACCGCCTTCTGCTACCGACAGCCTCCTGCTACACTCACCTGCCAGCCATTTTTTGGCCTCCACATGCCCTGTTTTCGGGCCTTTTTTCGGGCCAGTTTTGAGGCTTTTTTTGGCCTGTTTTTGAGGCTGCTTTGGCCCGTTTTGGAGGCTTTTTCTGGCCCGTTTTTAAGGCTTTTTTGCCCATTTTTTCAGAAAACACGGGATGAAAAAAGCCTTGAAAATGGGCCAAAAAAAAGCCCAAAAATGGGCAGAGAAAACCCCCCAAAACAGGCCGAAAAAAGCCCCCAAAACAGGCTGAAAAAAGCCCCCAAAACAGGCTGAAAAAAGACTGGAAAAGGCCCGAAAAAAGGTAGGCCAAAACCTTTTTTTTTTTTTAATTTTTAATTTGATTTATATGCCGCCCTTCTCCGAAGACTCAGGGCGGCTTACAATGTGCTCAGCAATAGCCTTCATCCTTTTGTATATTTATACAAAGTCAGCTTATTGCCCCCACAAACTGGGTCCTACCTTAGAAAGGATGGAAGGCTGAGTCAACCTTGAGCCTGGTAAGATTCGAACCCTGCAGTAATTGCAGGCAGCTGGTCTTAATAAGCTTAATAACAGGGTGCCTTAAACCCCTGTACTACCAAGGCTCTTTTTGTTGTTGTTTTCATCTTCTAAATTTAGGTGCGTCTTGTAGTCTGAAAAATACGGTAGTCCTTGACTTACTACAGTTTGTTTAGTGACTGAAGTTACAATGGCATTGAAAAAAGTGACTTCTGTCCATTTTTCACACTTAACGACCTTTGCAACATTCCCATGGTCACGTGATCAAATTCAAACGCTTGGCAATTGGTTCATATTTATGACGGCTGCAGTATATGGAGGTCATCTGATCCCCATAACTGTCTCACTTAGCATCAGAAATTTTAGGCTCAATTGTGGTTGTAAGTTGAGGACTATGCGTACAACTATAGGATCACTGAAACAGAAAGATGGATGGATAGAAAGCAGAAAATGGGGGGAGGGAAGTGGGAGTCTGCCATCAATCCAGCAGCCCCCTCCCTTTGAACCCCAATGCAATCTATCTGGACCCCTAATACAGGAGCTCCGGAAGTTCCTGTCCCAAGTTTTTTTTTTTTTAAATAGTATTTATTGAATTTTCCAACATTTAGAACACAAAACACATATTTACACTTATAAAAGCTTTTCCATATCGGCATCCATAACAATCATTTACAAAAATTATATTTATATACATCACTATCCTATGTTATATCCTTATTTAAATTATAATAATATCTACTCATAAATCAAAATAATATATTTCTTATACATTTTACATTCTATATATTGATACTTTTTACAGCTTACACCTTAAGTTTTACGTTTACCCTCAAGCCAGGAATACCATCTATTCCAAATTTGATAATACTCGGTTTCTTCCCTCTCCTTCATTTCCATAGACAGTCTATCCATTTCTGCACATTCATAGATTTTCTTCATTATCATGTGGTCTGGAGGAGTGTCAGTCTGTTTCCAATTCTGTGCTAAAGCGATTCTACTTGCCGTTAATATATTTTAACATTATGTATTGTAATACTTAATGTCCCACGTTTTGAAAATTTTACTACTTATACCTAATTCTTGTATTAAAAACATCTCAAAAGAAGTTGCACAATGCTCACTTCCTTAATTGTGCCCTGTTGTGAGGAGTTTGACAGACACTCCGTGGGGTATCTCGGCCCCCTCTCCTCTTACCGTTGCAGCTATTTGCTGAGTGTATTTTTCCCCCCTTTGTGCCTCCTTCAGGGTGTCTGTGCCGACCAGTGCAAAGTGTCCGGCTTCCACCGATACCAAACGGTTGAGTTGAACGAAGGCGCTTTGGGAGAACTGAAGAAGCTCTTCGATGCCCAGACTGAACACCTGCACCAGATCCTCGCTCTGCACTTGTACACCTCGGTGTTGTCCCGCTTGCAAGTAGAATCTTACCTCTACAACCTGCTGAGGGGCTCTCCCTTGCTAAGGTCGGTGGTACTTCAGCAGCAGGAGTCGGCAGGTGGGTACCTAACAGCCCACTACTGTGTTTCCCTGAAAATAAGACCCAACTGTAAAATAAGCCCTAGCATGATTTTTCTGGATGCTTGTAATATAAGCCCTACCACCCAAAAATAAGCCCCAGTTAAGATCGTCAGCCAGACGGAGGCATTTTAGTACTATAAGGTAAAGGTTCCCCTCGCACATGTGTGCTAGTCGTTCCCAACTCTAGGGGGCGGTGCTCATCGTTTCAAAGCCGAAGAGCCAGCGCTGTCCAAAGACGTCTCTGTGGTCATGTGGCTGGCATGACTCAACGCCAAAGGCTCATGGAACGCTGTTACATTCCCACCAAAGGTGGTCCCTATTTTTCTACTTGCATTTTTTTAACATGCTTTCGAACTGCTAGGTTGGCAGAAGCTGGGACAAGTAACGGGAGCTCACTCCATTACGCGGCACTAGGGATTTGAACCGCTGAACTGCCAACCTTTCGATAGGCAAGCTCAGCGTCTTAGCCACTGAGCCACCACATCCCTTTTTAGTACTATATGTTCCCCAAAATAAGACCTAACCAGAAAATAAGCCCTAATGCGTCTTTTAGGGCAAAAATTAATATAAGACCAGGTCTTATTTTCAGGGAAATACAGTAGATAGACCAGATCATCAAATCAAACCCTGCGCCCTCCTCTTCCCCAAGGCTAAAACCTCCTTTACAGGTAGTCCTTGACTTTTACAAAGGTGCTTTTTCTTGCCACTTTTGGTAATACCACCCGGTGGTCTTCCGGGTGCGCTTCAAGGTGTTGGTTACCATCTTTAAAGTGCTCCATGGCTTAGGACCTGGCTATCTACAAGACCGCATTCTGCCACCGATTGCCTCCCATTGACCGGTACGCTCCCACAGAGAGGGCCTCCTCAGGGTGCCGTCAGCCAAACAATGTAGACTGGCGACCCCCAGGGGGAGGGCCTTCTCTGTGGGGGCCCCTGCCCTCTGGAATGAATTACCCCCGGACATACGAAGGATCCCCGACCTCCGCGCCTTCCGTCGTGCAGTGAAGACCCTGTTATTCCAGCAAGCCACTCTGATGGGATAAATGATTTTAATCTGGTTTTAATGGGGTTTTAAAATTGGTTTTAAAATGAGAGTTTTAAATTCGGCCTATGATTTAATTATTTTAATCTGCTTTTAAATTCTATTTTGTACAGTGTTTTTGTTATGGCTGCTCACCGCCCTGAGTCCTTCGGGAGAAGGGTGGTATAAAAGTAAAATAATAAATAAAATAAAATAATAAATAAAATAATAAAATAAAATAAAATAAAATAAAATAAAATAAAAAAAATAATATAAAAAAATAAAATAATATAAAATAAAATATAAAAAAATAAATAAAATAAAATAAAATATAAAATAAATAAAATAAAATAAAATATAAAATAAATAAAATAAATAAAATAAAATAAAATGAAATTAAAAAAGTCCATCTGTGTTTTTGGGTGGTTGTGGGGGATTTTTTTTTTTTTTGACCGCATCTTCTTGAGGGTGAGTTATTCCAGTGTGATTATTTTTTTTTAGGGCAAGGGGGAAAAAAGATACATATCGGGGTCTATTTTGTTTACAAAAATGCTCCCTTTAATGGTATTCATTTTATGTATTCAATTCATGCTTATACTTATATATATTATCTAATATGTACTTGACAAAATAAAATAAAATAAAATAAAATAAAATAAAATAAAATAAAAAAAGTCCATCATTGCAGTTAAGTTATGAAATTATTAAGCTGGCTTTCCCCATTGATTTTGTTTGTCAGAGGGTCCCAAAATGGGATCACATGACCCTGGGACACTGCAACCAATATAAATGCATGATTCTCAGTCATCCAGGTTGTAATTGTCCTAACGGTGCTTTTTTCAAAAGGCAACTGGACTTTCTGGTTTTTCTTTGAAGGCGTTTTGCTTCTCATCCAAGAAGCTTCTTCAGCTCTGGCTGAAGAAATTGAAATTGAACAGCCTTCTCTCAACAGAGGAGGAGGGATACCACATCATCTAGCTCCAGTCTACAACACAGTCCTTTCAGCAATTCCAAGGAGGCTCTATACCCATTTGCACGTGACCCTGAGGACACAGATAAACCTCCAAGTGGCCTCAACGACTCTCTAAAAGGATGCAAATGACCAGCTGTCTGCAAGGAGGATAAACCCTTCCATTCCCCACCATCCAGTCAGAGCTGAAGAAGCTTCTTGGATGAGAAGTGAAACGTCTTCAAAAGAAAAAAACCAGAAAGTCCAGTTGCCTCTTAGAAAAAAAAGCACCTTTGGGACAATCACAACCTGGATGACTGAGAATCTCCATAGACATTTAGTCCTTGACTTACAGCTACTTGTTTAGACTTAGAATAACTTTATTGTCACTTTAAATGTACACTAATCAGCATGAATTAAAATGAAATTTCATTGCATACAGCTCTCAAAAGGTCACCACCTCCAATGTACACTACATAAACATGACAAATGAATAAATAAAAAATTACGCGTGTACTCACATACCCACATATATTATATGACACAGAGAAAAACAACACAGTCTAATTCGGATGTATCCATGTACATGGCTTAGTGACTGCTCAAAGTTACGACGACACTGAAAAAAAAGTGACTGTTTTTCAGATGACCATTACAGCGTCCCCGTGGTCATGTGATCAAAATGCAGATGGTTGGCATCTGGCATGTACCGTATTTTTCGGAGTATAAGACACACCTTCCCCGCCCTAAAAGGGGGTGAAAATTTAGGCGCGTCTTATACACTGAATGTAGCCCCGCCCACCCACTGGCCCCCATCCTTTGGCCTCTGCCTCCCAGCAGTTACCTCCTTGCAAGCAAACAGCAAGAAAAAACAGCTCCTTTCAGCTTCAGCACAACCTAATTAGCACAAGTTGATTGGATCGGCCTCCTGACTTTCAACTGATTTGCTTTCAGCTGTTTTGCGCAGGGCTCTGCTGCTTGCTGCAAGGAGGTAAATTGCTGGAGCAGATTTTTCCCCCCCCCCCTTGTGCTAATCAAGCTATGCTGAAAACGAAAATGAAAGCAAAGCAGGCTGTTTGCTGTTTGCTGCAAGGAGGCAAAATTGCTCAGAGGCAGAGGGAGATTTCTTTGTCTTCTTTTCCTCACCAAAAAAGGTAGGTGCGTCTTATACTCTGAAAAATACGGTATTTATGTCAGTTGTACTGTCCCGGGGTCACGTGATTCCATTTTGCGACCTTCCGACAAGCAAAATCGATGGGGGAAACCCACTTCACTTAACAGCCGTCTTACTAACTGAACAGCTGCAGTGATTCAACTTTACCCACGGCACCAAGAAAGGTTGCAAATTGAGGCAAAACTCCCTTAACCACTGCCTTGGTTAGCAATGGGAATTTTTGACTCCCGTTGTGGTTGTAAATCAAGAATTACTGTATTTTTCGGAGTATAAGACGCACCCTTTCCCCCCCTAAAAGTGGGTGAAAATTTGGGTGCATCTTATACACCGAATGTAGCCCCTCCCACCCACTGGCCCCCCACCCTTTGGCCTCTGCCTCCCAGCAATTTACCTCCTTGCAGCAAGCAGCAAGAAGAAACAGCCCATTTCAGCTTCAGCACAGCCTAATTAGCACAAGTTGATTGTAGGTTGGATCGGCCTCCCAACCCTCCGCTGTTTCAGGCCGCAGGGATTGCCATCGCCTATTGCTGCGCGGGCCTCTGCTGCTTGCTGCAAGGAGGTAAATTGCTGGGAGGCAGACTTTTTTTTTTTTCTTGTGCTAATCAAGCTATGCTGAAAACGAAAATGAAAGTAAAGCAGGCTGTTTGCTGCAACGAGGCAAAATTGCTGGGAGGCAGAGGCAGTTTTCTTTTTCTTGTTTTCCTCACCAAAAAAGGTAGGTGCGTCTTATAGTCTGGTGCGTCTTATACTCCGAAAAATACGGTACCTGTATTGGGAATTTTGCCGTTGATTTTTTGAGCTGTACCTCCTCCTCTTCCTCCTCCCTCCTGCTCCTCCAATTAAGGAGATGTCTAAATGAGCTGCTTCGGAATGTAATCTGTAGCCCTTTTTCATAGGCAATAAATCCCCCTTCATCAAGAGCATCTTCCTTCTTTCCCGTGACGAGCACATAGGAGATAGCCAAGATGTGGGATGCTAATCACGTTCTGCGCCAAGAATCCCAAACAACCAGGATCACCATAAATTATGGTCTTCCCCACCTCCATGGGTCTCTTAGAACCATCCCTCCCTACTTTTTTGCAGCTCTGAAGACAGTGGAGTCCCCTTCCTCAGATTTGGGGTCCTTGAAAGACTGCATCAGCGTCCTCTTCAGCTTCACCCGTCGAGTCACTGAAGATCCCCAGTTCCACAGTGATGTTCTTTTGTGGCTTCGGAGGCTGGTGAGGATCCTCGTTTTATCGACATTTCAAGTCACAAGTCAGAGCTGGACGAAAAGTGTGGATTTCATTGAGCCTTAAGGCCTGACTTAAGAGGGGCCTCTCCTCATTGGCTATGCATCTTCTAGATCAGGGCTCTCCAAACTTGGCAACTTCAACGTTTGTGGGATTTCCTGGCTGAGGAATTCTGGGAGTTTGAAGTCCCACAAGTCTTAAAAGTCGCTAAGTTTGGAGACCCTTGCTCGAGATCATTTTTCCCAACCTCAGCGCCTTGAAGATGTCTGGACTTCAATTCCCAGAATTCCCCAGCTGGGGGAATTCTGGGAATTGAAGTCCAGACATCTTCAGGTTGCTGCTACCTGGGGAGCACTATTATAACTGACAGATGGACAAACTTTAGCAGATGTTTTTGTACTTTTTTTTAAAAAAAATTGCGTGCCAGAAACACAGCATCCATAAGCATTATTTAGATGATTGTAGAGGCCTTGAGGATTACAGGTTTTTTTTTTTTTTTTTAAAAACACTCATGAATTTTTGGCATTTTATTTTTTTTTGGGGGGGGGGGGGGGGGGTTTTGAGGTTTTTTGAGCGCCTAATTTAAACACAGTGAGTTTTTACACAATTCCAGGTGACTTCATGTGGCTTTCTCAGCAACTCTACAAAAGTATCTCAAAAGAGTTTTTTTCCAAAAGGCAACTGGACTTAATTGTTTTTTTTTTTTTTCCTTTTAAAAATGTTTTGCTTCTCATCCAAGAAGCTTCTTCAGTTCTTTAAAAAGGAAAAAAAACCCCAAGGGAGTCCAGTTGCTTTTGGGAAAATGCATCTTTGGGACAACTGTGACCTGGATGATTGAGAATCTCCATAGACATCTATACACAGGTGTGGTTTCCACTGTCATTTTCTGGGGTGTCCTTTTGGTTGTAGACTTAGCCTAGTCTACAGCTGTAGGATTTTCTGCTGGTCTCCCATCTCGGTATTAACCAGGCCTTATCCTGCTTAGCTTCCAAGGCCAGATGAGGTTGCCCAATGCTGCTGTAGATTTTTAATAAATTAATAACAATGGTTGTCCCAAAGGTGCTTTTTCAAGAGACAACTTGGCTTTCTTTGAAGATGTTTCGCTTCTCATCCAAGAAGCTTCTTCAGCTTCCTGGATGAGAAGCGAAACGTCTTCAAAGAAAAACCAGAAAGTCTAGTTGCCTCTTGAAAAAAGCACTTTTTGTTGTGGTCCGCCAGCAGCCTGCGGAGCTGGAAGCAGAGTCGGACAGTGAGGAGGCTGGGGAGGAACATGGGCCAGTCCTGGAGTCTGGGGAACTCTCAGACGAGGGCTCTGCATCAGAGGCAAAGATGGGGCCAGGGCCATCTGGGAGTTATGCGCAGACTCCGGAGCCTCCAGAGTCAGATATCAGAGAGGCAGAGGAACAGGAGGAGCCTGTTCCTAGTGCACGCATGCGCAGAGCTGCCAGAATGCACAGTTAAAACAAAAGGGACGACTCAGGAGTAAGGCCTGGAGATGATTGGCCCCTCCCATATGGCTTAAAAGAGGAGCAAAGGCATGTGGGCCCTTTGCAGGAAAGCAACATTGTTAGTTCTGTTCCCAGTCGGCATCTCTGTTTGATTCTGGACTCCGTGTGGCTTTGCCAAGTAGGTCTTCGGCAGTGTGTCAAGGGAGATAAAGGTGGGTGATTATCCCAAAGGATTTCTCCCGAAGGACTTCTTGCAACTAATTGGGACTCAGCTGTGAATGAACGTAATTCACAGCTGTTGCAATAAAAGAGGTTTTTGGGACTACTCGTGTGTTTTAATGACTCAGGAAACCTCTGTCACATCACCTTTGGGACAATGATGACCTGGATGACTGAGAATCTCCATAGACAATAACGATGGTGCTGGTTTTTGACATGGTCTCCCTCCATTCCAGGTCTCCATCTTGCAAAGGGTTGCTTCTCCAGGAGACCACCTTTTCCTCTTAAACCACGTCCTCCGGTGTCCAGCCGGTGTCAGCAAATGGGCTGCTCCGTTTGTTCAGGTGCCTAGACTTGATTTACTATTGTAAGGAAATGTTTCTTAAGCTGCGGCCTTTTCGTGATGGAGAAAATCTGCCTGTCTGGTTGCTTGGAGTCCAAAATGAGTCAACGGCAAATATTCGTACACAGGTGGTCCTTGAGTTGTGACCCATGTCAGCCGTCCCTTTGGCACAAGCAGCAAAAGAAAGTCCTGGGACAGTATTTTACCAAGAGGAATAACTTTACTGATAGATCCACATAGGGCACAGAAGAAGCAAAGCTGGCTCTGAGGTTTTTCGCACTTAAAGCAGCTTAATTAATTTCCCCTTTTCCCCATTTGGGCCACTGCTTTTCCATTGTCCACCAATCCAGCTTGTTTCTTTTTGTTTTGGGAAAACAGTTTGTGCCTTTGGAAGTTCCTTCCGAACGGCCTTGAGGATTTTCTCAGGCTGCCAACGGCTCCCGTAAATTCCTCACCTCCCTCCCAGCTCCCGATACAGATAGTCCTCAACTTAACCACCAATCGAGCCCAACATTTAGGTTGTTAAGTGACCAATTTGTTAACTGAGTTTTGTCCCATTTTACGACTTTCCTTAATGCATTCGTTTAAGTAAGGGCCTGGTGACTCAGCAGACTGATAGCATTGTGATTAACACCAGCTGTCTGCAATTACTGTAAGTTCGAATCTCACCAGGCTCAAGGTTGACTCAGCCTTCCATCCTTTCTAAGGTAGGTAAATTGAGGACCCAGTTTGTGGGGGCAATAAGCTGACTTTGTATAAATATACAAAAGGATGAAGGCTATTGCTTAACGCATTGTAAGCCGCCCTGAGTCTCCGGAGAAGGGCGGCATATAAATCAAATTAAAAAAAAAAAAAAGTAAATCCCTGCAGTTGTTAAATTAGTCACATGGTTGGTATGCGAATCTGGCTCCGCCCCCTCCCCCCCCCGTTGACTTTGCTGGTCAGAAGGTCGCAAAAGGGGAGATCACATAACCCCGGGACACTGCAACCGTCATAAATAGGAGTCAGTTGCCAAGCGTCTGAATTTTATTCACGTGGCCATGGGGATGGCTGCAACGGTCATAAGTGTGAAAAATGATCATAAGTCCCTTTTTCCAATGCCGTTGTCACTTTGAATGGTCACTTAGTGACCGTTAGTGACCGGTCACTAAACAATTTTTTTTTTTAAAAAAAAATGATTTATATGCCGCCCTTCTCTGGAGACTCAGGGCGGCTTACAGTGCGTTAAGCAATAGCCTTCATCCTTTTGTATATTTATACAAAGTCAGTTTATTGCCCCCACAAACTGGGTCCTCAATTTACCTACCTTAGAAAGGATGGAAGGCTGAGTCAACCTTGAGCCTGGCGAGATTCGAACTTGCACTAATTGCAGGCAGCTGAATAACAGGCTATTTAGTCTGCTGCGCCACCAGGCTTGTAAGTCGAGGACTACCTGTACTCTACAGTTGTATAGTTACAAATTTCAGAATTCTGAAAATTCAGCATCTGTGATGTTGAGCTCCAAATTGGTGCTGTATTATTATTATTATTATTATTATTATTATTATTATTATTATTATTATTAAAATCACACATCCTAATTTTACCCTTTTCTTTCAGATCCAGATTCTGGGCAATCCGTCTGGTGTCTTTCACTTCATGCAGGCCCTCGCTTTGCTCATGTCTCCTGCCAAGTAGGTTTCAGAGTGCAAAACGTGTTTCTTGGGGGGAAGAAATAACAGAGTTGGAAGGGACCTTGGAGGTCTTCTAGTCCAACCCCCTCTGCTCAAGCCTATACCATTGCAGACAAATGGCTATCCAATCTCTTCTTGAAAGCCTCCAGTGATGGAGCACCCACGACTTCTGAAGGCAAGATGTTCCACTGATTAATTGTCCTCACTGTTAGGAAAGTTCTCCTTAATTCTAGCTTGCTTCTCTCCTTGATCAGTTTCCACCCATGGCTTCTTGTCCTGCCTTCAGGTGCTTTGGAAAATAGTTTGTCCCCCCTCCCTTCTTTGTGGCAGCCCCTCAAACGCTGCAACACTGCTATCATGTCACCCCTAGCTCTTCACTTCATTAGACTAGACGCACCCAATCCCTGCAACCGTTCTTCCTATGTTTTAACCTCCAGCCCTCTAATAATCTTTGCTGCTCTTTTCTGTACTTTTCCCAAAGTCTCAACATCTTTTTTTTAATAATAATGATGACCAAAACTATATCTTTATCTTTCTTTTATCTTTTATTAGATTTGTATACCGCCCTTCTCCTTTCGGACTCAGGGCGGTGAACAGCCAAAATAAAAACATTTGTACACAAAAGTTAAAATAATTTTTAAAAATAATTAAATGAAATTTGGCCCATAATTTAAAACATTTCAATTAAAAATCAGTATCAAACGTTAAAACCAACATGGAATCAGGCCAGCCTGACTAACTGAAAAAACTAAGTTTTTAGGGCCCGATCGTTCGGGGGTAGATCGTTCCAGAGGGTAGGTGCCACCACAGAGAAGGCTCTCCCCCTGGGGGTCGCCAGCCGACGTCTGGCTGACGGCACCCTGAGGAGGCCCTCTCTGTGGTGGCACCTACCACAGAGATGGAATATTCCAAGTGTGGCCTTACCAAGGCATTATAAACTGGTACTAACACTTCACGTGATCTTGATTCTATCCCTCTGTGAGTGCAGCCTAGACAGGCTGTCTGCAAAGTGACTGGTACTTGGGCTGTGGGTGCCCTGTCCCTTTAAGACCCCTCCCTAGCCAGCCCAGCAGTGGGTAGCTATAAAAGCTGAGCAGAGAGGCAGCTGGGTGGGGTGGATGTGGGAGCCAGAGGGAGGGTGGTGTTTGATTGGGGAATTTAAACAGCCTGAAGCTCTTTTCCTAACCTGTCTCCCTGTGATAAGACTGAGTAGCCCAGTCTTAGGAAAGGCTGCCTTCTCTCGGTTGAATTGAATTGTGTTGGTGAATAAATAAATAAAAAAATCAACTGGATAATAGGAAATGTCTGATTCGAAGAACAAGAATTCCATTTTGGGTAATGTACGCAGATGACAGTAGGTTAAAACTTCATGTTGCTGAGTCAGAACTTCAACATGTTTGAGAACCTGTAGATTTATCAACGTCTAACATATAGGTAGTTCTCGACTTATGACTGGTCGCTTAGCGGCCATTTCGAGTTTCAGTGGGACCTCCCCAGGGGGATTTATGACTTGGTTTTGAAGTTCTGACAGCTGGTCATATGTTCGCATGTCGGGCACTCAAAAACCGGTATGCATCCATCCGTCTGTCGGTCTCTATTTCTATCAACCTTTTACTATCTATTTCTATCTATATCTATCTCTGTCTGTCTCTCTGTCTGTCTCAGTTTCTATCAGTCTTGTGCTCTCTCTCTCTCTCTGCCTTCTCTCTCTCTCTCCCTCTGTCTGTCTCTGTCTCTCTCTCTCTGTTTCTATCTCTTTATCTCTCTCTTTCTCTTTCGCTCTCTCTTTCTCTCTCCCTGTCCTGTCCTGTCCTGTTCTGTCTGTCAAATCTATTGTATATGCTATCCATCTCAGTATCAGGCAGCTCTGAGCAGCATATAAATTTAATAAATAAATGAGGGTTGGTTGCTGAGCACCTCGCATGTGGGGGGGGTATGTCATATAATCACGCCACGGGTGTGTGAGTGTCAGAATTTCGGAACTTGGCATTGGCATTCTTCAGTCTCAAGAGACTATGGTATTGTGCTCTGGAAAGAGGTCCTAAAACAGCATCTAGTGTGACTAAAAAGGCCAATTTGGAACTAAGTTGTTATTCCTGGGGAGGTGACAGCATTTTATTTATTTATTTCTGATTTATTTCTGGTTTTGGGCAAAACCAGCCCAAAGAATTGAACAATTCACTCAACAACCTCCCGCAGCTTTCACGTAACTGCTACAAAAATGGTCGCAAAATTGAGTTGGCCACATGGACGATCCAACACTACAATTTATGACCGTAATTGTCAGAGTCCATTACAGCAGTAAGTCTATATACATTGCTTGTGTTGCCTGAAATATCAAAACTTCGTGGAGTCAAAAAAAAAAAAAAAAAGGCACGTTTTAATGTTCCATTCTGTGGAGCGTTAGGCAGAGAAGTCACGATAACGTGGGTCACTCCATTCTAATATAGCAACGAAAGAAAATGGAACCATTTTTACCCACATGCGTAGATGCGTCTTCCTAAACCCGCCGTGTTTTATATCCTGCAGAAATCGAGCGGAATTCATGTGCCATATGAAGCCGAGCGAACGAAGGTCTTCGTCCTCAGGGGCGGAATCTGGAAACTGGACTTTAGTGGACGAAGGTGGAGAAGAGGTATTTTGAAAAGAGGATTTTAATGTCCCTTGAGCTCAAACTCACTATAGCAGGGGTGTCAAACTCAAGGCCCGTGGGCTGGATCCAGCCTGTGAGGTGCTAAAATCTGGTCCGCAGGTCTGGCCTGGAAATATCAAAGGACCGGCCCGTGGTGCCTCTGCTGGCCAAAACAGGCCATGGGGTATGTGTGTGTGTGTGTGTCATTTTCAGCCTGCCCGGCCTCCAGCAGCACCCTGCCAGCCAAAAACGGGCCTCGCGACGGCCTCGCAAAACTCCCGCGTGGCCCGTTTTTGCTCGGCAGAGTGTTGCTGGAGGCCATGGAGACTGAAAATGAGGCGTGGGGGGCCTGCACGCAGACCCCTTGTGTCCCGTTTTAGCCGGCACAGTACTACAGGAGGCGGCCGTCACCCCTTCCTCCCCCAGCCACCCTACGGAAGAGAACTACAACTCTGATCCATCCCTCGAAGACATCCAGTTTGACACCCCTGCATTATAAATTTCTCTCAAGCTTTACGGTTAGTTTTGGGTTTAGTTTTCCAGCTAGATGAGCAGAGAAGTTTGTTATAACTTGGCTGCATTTTTAAAAATACTGATCAGTACCGTATGAATGCCATAGCAGGAAACAGAGTGAGGTTATTATTATTCTCTGATGGAATACAGTTAGTCCTCAACCTACGACCGCAACAGAGCCCAACATTTCTGTTGCTAAGTGAGAAATTTGTCAAGGGAGTTTTGCCCCATTTTACGACTTTCCTTGCTGCCTTTGTTAAGTGAATCCCAGCAGGTGTGAAATTAGTAACACGGTTGTTAATCTGGCTCCCCCCCCGTTGACTTTGCTTGTCAGAAGGTCGCAAAAGGGGGATCACCTGACTTCCCCGTGACATTTCAGCCGTCATAAATGTGAGTCAGGTTGCCAAGCATCACGTGACCATGGGGATGCTGCAATGGTCGTATGTGTGAAAAATGGTCCTAAGTCCCATTTTCCAGTGCCGTTGTAACTTTGAATGGTCACTGAGCGAACTGTTGTAAGTTGAGGACTACCTGTAAGACGGATACCGTTGGAGTTGCTGTATGGCCCTCAGTTCTGATACAGCCTAGAGAAGTATTGGAGAGGCTAACCCTTTCTCCCTTGACAGTACTAGTGCTGAGTCTGTGTGTGTTTGTGTTTGTGTGTGTGTTTGTGTTTGAGTGAGTGTTAACTCCTGATAACTGCCCGGACAAGTCCCTGCAGTTTTCTTGGCCAGGTTTTTTGGAAGTGGTTTGCCATTGCCTCTTTCCTAGGGCTGAGAGAGAGTGGCTGGCTGTCAGGACTGCCTCCTCACACCCGCGTTGTACTTTTGCTTTGGTGCCAGCCTGCCATGAGCTCTCGCGGGGTGCAGGTGGGGAAAGGTAAACGAATGGGGGGGGGGGGAAAGAAGGCTCCACTATTCACCGTGCCGGCGGAGATTCAACTGTCTGAGGAGAAATTTATCCGCCTATCAAAGAAGACCAACAACATCTGGTTTGAGTTTGATTGGAGAATTGGGAACCAAAGGCGGGGAGAATCTTGAGGGAAATGCAGTGGGGAATTTGGCGCGCGAACCTCAGATCTGGCTTTGCTTTACTGTAGTCTGCTTGACCTTTAGTAAACCATACCTTTTTCACCAAATGGAGTCAAGAATCTTTCTTACTTAAAGTTTCGAGCTGAGGCAGGGCTGACATCGGCCCAAGGGGGTCTAGGACTTTTCGGCTCGAACCCTTCTCCTTGCCTGTTTTACCTCGAGGTTTTCGCCTCTGGGTTATTAGCCACAAACTTTTCTCCTCGGCTGGCCCTCCCCTAGTCTTTCGCCCTGGCACAACGGTCACGGCCACTCCCTCCTAGGTACTTCGCCGCAACCCATACACCGAAGAAGGTTTTGTCCTAAGTTTTTCGATACCTTGGACAGTTAGGGCCCAATAAATCAGTTAGAGGGGGAAGGAAGGAAGGAACAGCCTTGGTGAAATGGGAGGGAGAAGGAGGGAGAAGGACGTGGGGAGACTTCCACCTCTGGCTTTTTTTTTTTCGAGAGAAGGAAGAGCCCTTTTCAGGCCAGATATCCAAATCGATAACTAATGACATTGAATAATTTACAGCATTGATTCCCCCACCCCCCGAAAAGGGGGGAGATGTTGGCAAATATCCCATTCAAGATTTAGAAAGGAAGAAAAGGAACTTGTAAAAGCGCTCCGTTCCCCCAGTTCAAAGGGAAGCACTCCTGGATTTATTTTTAATTTTTAAAATTACTGCACCACCATGCCACATAAGTATAAGAACCTTGGTGGCGCAGCAGACTAAAGTGCTGTTAACTGGCACCAGCTGCCTGCAATTACTGCAAGTTTGAATCTCACCAGGCTCAAGGTCGACTCAGCCTTCCATCCTTTCGAGGTAGGTAAAATGAGGACCTGGATTGTGGGGGCAATAAGCTGACTTTGTATAAAAAAGAACACCGCTTGGGGGGCCAAAAAGCCCTACTAAGCAAGTATATACAAAAGTATGAAGGCTATTGCTTAACGCATTGTAAGCCGCCCTGAGTCTCCGGAGAAGGGCGGCATGTAAATTGAACCAATAAATAAATAAACAATAAATGGTTGATGTCTAGGGTAGGACATGAACTCCTGGTCTCCGGTTTTAGCCTAGCGCCTTAACCACTACACCAAACCGGCTCAACCTTAACCGTACAAAACGCAGGTCCTTGATTCAGGTTTCTTTCACCCCAGGATGAAGATCCTGAATCTAGCTGGGTTCTTCTTCTGGAAGATGACTTGGTGGCCCTTTTGTCTCAGTTCCCCTTCCACGAACTCTTCCAGCACATGCTTGGCTTCGATGCTGAAGGTGAGCAACTTTATAAATCTAGCTCTATTCACGGGGATTTTAAAAATTGAATTAAGATGAGAAATGGCTGCCTTTTCAGCAGAACTCATTCGGGAATGTAGACCTCATGAGGTTTGGGCCAGCAGAAGTTTCTCTGTCTGATTTTTTTAAAGCGTCTGTTCTTTTCCGTTGATGCTCGCAATATTGTATTTGACTCTGCGTTGTATGAAGACTTCATTGTGTTTATTTGCTGAGGTCTATGTGGGGGGGTGTACAAGTATATTAAAAAATAAGAGGGAGAATGGAGAAAAACATAGCATCCACATAACATAATGGCATTCTGTGCGCCTTGGCGTAGAGCAGAGGTGGGGAACGATGGTCCTTTTAGGACTTGTGGATTTCAACTCCCAGAATTCCTGAGCCAGCATGGGGGAAACTATGGACCCTTTATGACTTGTGGACTTCAACTCCCAGAATTCCTGAGCCAGCAGGGGGAAACTATGGCCCTTTATGACTTGAGGACTTCAACTTCCAGAATTCCTGAGCCAGCATGGGGGAAACTATGGCCCCTTTATGACTTGTGGACTTCAACTCCCAGAATTCCTGAGCCAGCATGGGGGAAACTATGGCCCCTTTATGACTTGTGGACTTCAACTCCCAGGAATTCCTGAGCCAGCATGGGGGAAACTATGGCCCCTTTATGACTTGTGGACTTCAACTCCCAGAATTCCTGAGCCAGCATCGAGGAAACTATGGCCACTTTATGACTTGTGGACTTCAATTCCCAGAATTCCTGAGCCAGCATGGGGGAAACTATGGCCCCTTTATGACTTGTGGACTTCAACTCCCAGAATTCCTGAGCTAGCCATGCTGGCTCAGGAATTCTGGGAATTGAAGTCCAAAAGTCATGAAAGGGCCATTGTTCCCCATCCCATTCCTCATGGTGCCTCGCATGGGGAGTGCCGCAAGGATCGGTCCTCTTGCCCCCTCTTCTTCAACATTTATGTGAAGCCGCTGGGTGAGATCATCCGTGGTTTTGGGGTGAGAGTCCATCAGTACGCTGATGACACTCATCTGTACATCTCCACCCCAGACCACCCCAACGATGCCCTTGATGTGATGTCTCGCTGCCTGGAGGCCGTGCAGGTCTGGATGGGGAGAAATAGGCTCAGACTCAACCCTTCCAAGACTGAGTGGCTGTGGCTTCCGGCATCCCGATATAGTCAGCTGGTGCCATCGCTGACTATTGGGGGTGAATCTCTGCCCCCCACAGAGAGGGCTCGCAATCTGGGTGTCCTCCTGGACGCACGGCTGTCTTTAGAAGAACATATGACAGCCGTGGCTAGGGGGACTTTCTATCAGGTTTGCCTGATTCACCAGTTGCAGCCCTTTCTGGACCGGGACGCCTTGCGCACAGTCACTCACGCCCTTGTCACCTCCCGGCTGGACTACTGTAATGCTCTCCACATGGGGCTCCCCTTGAAGAGCAGTCGGAGGCTCCAACTGGTCCAGAATGCGGCCGCGCGGGTGGTTATGGGCGCAACTCGTGCCCATGTGACACTCCTCCTGCGCGAGCTGCACTGGCTCCCAGTGGTCTTCCAGGTGCGATTCAAGTTGCTGGTCACCACCTTTAAAGCTCTCCATGGCATAAGACCCGGGTATCTCTGAGACCGACGAAGGGCGGTATAGAAATAAAATTATTTATTTATTTATCTTTATCTTTATCTGATTTGTATACCGTCCTACTCCCGAAGGACTCAGGGCGGTGAACAGCCAAACAGTAAAATACATAAATACAAAATTTAAAAACAGGATAAAACCGACTTAAACAATTTGGCCCAGACAAATTAAAACACCCCAATCATTTAAAAAACAGATTAAAATTTGCATATTAAAAAGAAAAGAGGGAAAAGATTTAAGCCAGGCCTGCCGGGTGGAATAAAAAGGTCTTCAAAGCGCGGTGGCGGTGGAAGGTGCACAGATCCGGGATCCTCCGTATCTCCGGGGGGAGCTCGTTCCAGATAGTAGGTGCCCCCACAGAGAATGCTCTCCCCCTAGGGGCTGCCAGTCGACATTGTTTGGCTGACGCACCCGGAGGAGCCCCGCTCTATGAGAGCGTACCGGTCGGTGGGAGGCTATTGGTGGTAGTAGGCGGTCCCGTAGGTAATTTATTATTTATTTATCCCTGGCATAAAGTTATGCTGTCCCGGAAGTGTCTTTGAACAACCTTGGTTCCCTTGGCGAAGAAACAGAGATCAGCACCATCCCTTAGTGTCAGACATGACTGAACAGGGGAAACTTTACCTTTACTTTAGTATTTACACATAGGTAAAGGTTCCCCTCGCACATATGTGCTAGTTGTTCCTGACTCTAGGGGGCGGTGCTCATCTCTATTTCAAAGCTGAAGAGCCAGCGCTGTTCAAAGACGTCTCCGTGGTCATGTGGCCAGCATGACTAAACGCCAAAGGCGCACGGAACGCCGTTACCTTCCCACCAAAGGTGGTCCCTATTTTTCTACTTGCATTTTTTACGTGCTTTCTAACTGCTAGGTTGGCAGAAGCTGAGACAAGTAACGGGAGCTCACCCCGTTATGCGGCACTAGGGATTTGAACCGCTGAACTGCCGACCTTTTGATCGACAAGCTCAGCGTCTTAGTTACTGAGCCAGCACGTTCCCTTTTGAGTATTTACACATAGGTAGCCTTTAATGAGTTTTCAACAGGACCCTGAAAATGTTCATGATAAACACAGTTGAAACAGTCCCCAAAAAATTATTGGGGAGAAAAGCTAACATTGAAGGAACAAATGCAAGAATGGAACGAAAATCACTTCCAGGGTTACAAGAGGCCTGCAAACGACCCAGAGTTACTCTGTGGTAAGATGGACAGCCAATACATTTTATAAATTAAAAAAAAAAACATAATAAAGAGACTGAATTTGTGGCTTAGGCTAAGAATACTAGGCCTTCTCAAAGGTTCTCAAGAACCTGGTTGTGCCAATTGGCCTGGGGCTGCTATGGGTCCATGCCACGTTGGAGGTTGTTAGTGGGCTCTGAAGAAGATCTTGTCTCTACCGCATTGTATTTTGGCGCTCTGAGGTGTGAAAGATCAGGTCCACACACACACGGTCCAATCAAACTGATTTATTGGTAATCATGCCTATGCATAGGAATCTTCTCAACTGTTAGCACCTGCTTGGAGTTAGCAAAATGAAGGGTCCTCCATTCCTCTAATCACAATAAAATACTTTATGCCACCAGACTCCAAATTTTGGGCTTAGGCAACTTAGAACTATGCTGACTTCAGTCTGACCTAAGCATAGTACATAAAATTATCTCCCACGATGTCCTACCTGTCAACGACTACTTCAGCTTCAACCACAACAATACACGAGCAAATAATAGATACAAACTCAAGGTAAACCGTTCCAAACTCGATTGCAGAAAATACGACTTCAGCAACAGAGTGGGCAATGCCTGGAATGCACTACCTGACTCTGCAGTTTCTTCCCCAAACCCCCCAAACTTTAACCTTAGACTGTCTACTGTTGACCTCACCCCATTCCTAAGAGGTCGGTAAGGGGCGTGCATAAGAGCATCATCGTGCCTACCGTCTCTGTCCTAATATTCCTTTTTACTTACTCTTCTCATGTATTCAAATTATGTTTATACTTTTACCTGTTATCTTATATATGCTTGACAAATAAACTTATGATTATGATTATAAAAAAAAAAATAAAAATAAATTCAACACAATTCAGGGGAAGTAACCGCTTGTGGCGACATAGGGATTCTAGGCTGATCCCTCTTTTAACTCCAACCCCAATTCTTCCACTCCTTCTCCTTAGAGCAGGGGTGTCAAACTCGATTTCATTGAGGGCTGGATCAGGGTTGTATTTGAGCTTGGGGGGCCGGGGTGGGCGTGGCCAGCTCAGCATCACTCGTGTCAGGGGGCGCCTGTGGTAGCTCAAGTGCTCTGCCAGTGAAAATGAGCTCCCAAGCTCCGTTTTCGGTGCAACGTCCTCCTGCAACCCCCTGTCAGTGAAAACAGAGCTCGAGAGGGCTGCACGCGGCCCTCTCGAGCTCTGTTTTCACTGACAGGGGGTTGCAGGAGGACGTCGCAGCCGAAAACAGAGCTCGGGAGCCCATTTTCACTGGCAGAGGCACTGCAGGCCAATCCTTCACTGTTTCCAGGGTGTCCCCGTGGGCCAGATTGAAGCACCCCGTGGGCCGAATCCAGCCCCCGGACCTTAAGTTTGACACCCCTGCCTTACTAACTTATCAAATTTTATAATTTTTAAAAATAATTTTTTAATTTCTCATAAGCATATTTAAGTGTACAGTCTCTTATCCATCATTAATCATTGATCATTCATCTTATCCTTTAACTTTCATTTTTATTTGTTCAGGGCTGCTCTTTTACCATTTCCTCTTCTTTGTTTTACCACAATCTTGCCTTTTCTCCTTCCCTCCTCTTTCTTCTTCTGTCCCTTTCTACTTTCTTCGTTCCTCCTCTCCTCCCCTTCTACTTCCCCTCTCCTCTCCTCCCCTTCCCCCACTTCTCTCTTCTTCCTCCCTTTCTAACCCACTCTCCTATTCATCTTTCCCCTCCCTTTTCTTCCTCTCCTTTTCCCTCTCTTCTATCCCTCTCTCTCCTTTCCTTTCCTCTCTTCTTCCCTCCTTCCGTCTCTCTCTTCCTTTCTCCTTTCCCACTCCTTTGTTGTATCCATTGTCAGTTTAATCTAGAACGGTATTCGAGCAGTCCCGATTTTCTATTTACATACATCTTCATTTCAAATACTTTTTTTAAAAATAATTACATCTGTTTTATCATTCCTGTACACTTTTATAGTAACACTTTTTCTCTTCCCCCCCTTCCCCCCTTTCCATTTGTTTTATAATATTTAATGTTTTAATGAATTGTATTTGCATTTTATGAAGTTACAAGCTGCCTTTCACATAACAGTGAAATGAGCGGCATATAAATTTAATAAGTGATAAATTTTTTCTTTCTTCTGCCTGCCTATTAGCTCGTGCACTAATAGCCATTTTCCATTCTGAAATGCTTTCCTGTGAGCAGGCAGCTACGCCTCCGAGAAGACAACTTCCCAAGAGATGATGAAGATACTTACCTTTGCTAATTCTGTGGTGAATCTCCTTGCTGTGGGGCTGGAAACCTTCAACCGAGCCCGTTACAGACAGTTTGTGAAACGGATCGGCCATCTCATCAGGTGAGGCGCTTCTGTCCGTTTTCCCTCATGGGCAGACCCAGGTGAAGGAGCCACGATTAGGATAGCAAAATGAAACCCCTAGCTGAGTTGCGGGGGGGGGGGGGATAATGGGAATTAACGTATTTTTTTGGAGTATAAGGCACACCGGAGTATAAGATGTATCTTAGTTTTGGGGGAGGAAAATAGGAAAAAAAAATTCTGCCTACCAGGTATTCGTCTGACTAGCGTCCTTAGCCTGCTCAGCTTCAGCACATTAGTTCGCTCGCTGGTTTTGAGGTTGGAGCTGGTTTGGGGCTAAAAAGCAACTTCAAAAGCACAGCGGATCGTCGGAAGGAACTCCAGTGACTAAAGCAGGCGAAGCGCGGAAAGGTTAAGAGAAAGCAGTAGCCATTTTGGGCACCGCACGTCTTGTTTTCAGCCTCTAAATGTATTGTGTTTTTGGGTGGCGATCCGTGGCGACGTGCTTTGGCGATCCCCGCAGCCTTGAAGGGCTCTCAAACGAAGCGTTTGGAAGCTGAAAATGCGTCGCGCGGAGCCCAAAAACAAGCCATTGTCGGCAATCTCTGCAGCCAGGAAGAGGACACGCGGAGGACGAAGGGTGGGGGCCGGCGGATGGGCTGGGTTACATTCGGAGTATAAGATGCACCCAAATTTTCAGCCTCTTTTAGGATAAAAATGCGTCTTATACTCCGAAAAATACAGTAATAACAAATAAATAAATTAAAAAGAAAACAGAAACTCAGAAGGCAAATTCGAAGGACCACTAGGTCTTTTTCTGGTGTTGGTTTTCTATATTGCTCTGTTTGGCGGGCACAATGGTTCAGCGGTTTAAAGACGCTGAGTTTGTCAGCTGGAAACTTTGACAGCCTGGGTTCAAGACCCGAGTGCTGTGCGAAGGAGTGAGCTTCCATTCCTTGCCTCACTCCTGCCCACCTAGCAGTTTGAAAGCATACAAATGCGAGTAGATCAGTAGGTACCACTTTGGTGGGAAGGTAACAGAATTCCATCCCCCTTTGGCATATAGTTTGCTGGCTGCATGTCCACGGAAGCATCTTTGGACAAAGCTGGCTCCCTCGGCTAGGAAATGGAGATGAGCACCGTCCCCTTGAGTCGGACATGACTGGATGGGGGAAATATTCACCTGTACCTATATTTAATGTAGTGCAGGAGTACCCCAACCTGTGGGGTGTGGGGTTTGCAACTGGGCTGTGGAAACAGCTGGTGAGCATGCACATCCTCACTTGTGTGAGCAGTGGGCGTGGGCTCCATTTGCATGAGTTGGGTTGAGAGAAAGGGCCTGGCCCAAAATCATCCAGTTGGCTTTCATGGTTAGGGTAGGACTAAAACTCACTGTCTCCTGGTGATTGGCCTCAAGGTCACCCAGTTGACTTTCATACCTAAGGTGGGACTAGAACTCACTGTCTCCCACTTTCTAGCCTGGTGCCATAAACACTACACCGAACTGGCTCTCTAGTACTTTAAGCAAACCCCAAACTCCCAGATGAAGTTACCCAGTTGGGTCACGGAATGTCTGCAAGAAAACCACCAAGCTCGTAGAGCACCAAGGACCCCACAGTTCAACCCTGAGCTACAAATATTCTCTCCTGTTGGAACCCTTCTTCTCTTTTTTCTGTCTCCCAACTGTTCCTACAGGATGACCCTGTGCTACGTGAGTGATCACTGGGCCCAGTTTGTCAGCCGGGCCAAGGAGGGTGGCTCTGTGATGCAGCCGTATTCCTTGAAGAAGCTGCAAGTGGAATTCGATGAGTTTTTCCTGAGGGCTATACTCCATGTCCTGAAAGCAAAAAGGTTGGCAAATAGTGGAACAGCACTGGTTCCAGTCTGGGGTAGCATGTTATGAGTCTATGGGAGGAAATCATCCCCGCTGGGGAAATTTCAGCAAGCAGATACCTTGGTTTTTTGGGCTGGTTTGAGTTGGGTTGGGTTGGGTTGGGTTGGGTTGGGTTGAGTAGAGTAGAGTAGAGTAGAGTAGAGTAGAATAGAATAGAATAGAATAGAATAGAATAGAATAGAATAGAATAGAATAGAATAGAATAGAATAGAATAGAAAATATGGCATGGCATGGCATGGCAGAGTTGGAAGGGACCTTGGAGGTCTTCTAGTCCAACTCCCTGCTTAGGCAGGAAACCCTACAGCATTTCAGACAAATGGTTGTCTAACCTCTTCTGAAAAATGTCCAGTGTTGGAGCATTCACAACTTCTGGAGGCAAATTGTTCTACTGATTAATTGTTTTAACCGTCAGGAAATTTCTCCTTAGTTCTAAGTTGCTTCTCTCCTTGATGAGTTTCCACCCATTGCTTCTTGTCCTGCCCTCAGGTGCTTTGGAGAATAGCTTGACTCCCTCTTCTTTGTGGCAACCCCTGAGATATTGGAACACTGCTATCATGTCTCTCCTAGTCCTTCTTTTCATTAAACTAGACACACCCAGTTCCTGCAACCGTTCTTCATATCTTTTAGCCTCCAGTCCCGTAATCATCTTTGTTGCTCTTCTCTGCACTCTTTCTAGAGTCTCCACATGATTTTTACATGGATGAGCCACGGTGGCGCAGTGGTTAGAATGCAATATTGCAGGCTGCTACTGCTGACTGCCTGCAATTTGGCAGTTCGAATCTCACCAGGCTCAAGGTTGACTCAGCCTTCTATCCTTCTGAGGATGGTAAAATGAGGACCCAGATTGTTGGGGGCATTATGCTGACTCTGTAAACTGCTTAGAGAGGGCTGTAAAGCAGTATATCAGTCTAACATATATTAGACTTATTGCTATTGCTATTACTACATCGTGGCGACCAAAACTGGATGCAGTATTCCAAGTGTAGCCTTACCAAGGCATTATAAAGTGGTATTAACACTTCATGCCATCTTGATTCTATCGCTCCATTAATGCAGCCTTTATTAAAGGTTATTGTAATAAACAAGCATTTCCTTGTTGGCTTTCAACTCCCGGCAGACTAGGAGTCTGGCTCTTCATGTCTGAGATGCCTTACGGGACAGTGTCCAGCGACATGCTTTGGAAGCTCTTCTCCATCATGCACTGTGATGAAAGCGAAGATCTGGAGAAGTTCAGTTCCACCATGCAGCTGGCTGAGTGCAAGCAGAAACTCAAAGGTTTCCCTTCTTTCTTTATCCTTCTTGGGTGGAAGCGCTTGGACAAGGCCCAGGGGTGAAATCCAGCAGGTTCTGACAGGTTCTGGAGAACCGGTAACACAAATTTTGAGTAGTTCGGAGAACCGGCAAATGCCACCTCTGGCTGGTCCCAGAGTGGGGTGGGAATGGAGATTTGGCAATATCCTTCCCCCTGGAGTGGGGTGGGAATGGAGATTTGGCAATATCCTTTCCCCTGGAGTGGGGTGGGAATGGAGATTTTGCAGTATCCTTCCCTTGCCATGCCCACCAAGCCACGCCCATCAAGCCTAACCACGCCCAGCAACCTATGCCCACAGAACCGGTAGTAAAAAAAAATTGGATTTCACCACTGGCAAGGCCTCTCTTCCAAGCCCAGATTTGGGGGCCCACAGGCTTTTGGTGCATGTTTTGGATGTTCAAGGCCAATATAGGCAGTCCTCGAATTACAACAGTTCATTTAGTGGCCGTTCAAAGTTACGACGACTGACAATTTTTTATGAATTTTGATTTTTGATTTTGACTTTTAAAACATTATTTTTCGGCCTTTCTCACTTTTTTTTAACTTTTTAATTGCATTTTTACTTTATTTTACCTCACCATTTTTCATACTTAATGATCTTTGTAGCAACTCCACGATCATGTGATCAAAATTCAGAGGCTTGGCAACTGATTCCTACTTATGACCCCTGCTGTGTGCCAAGGTCACATGATCCCCTTTTGCAACCTTTTGACAAAGGCAAAATCAGTGGGGAAGCCACTGAACAACTGGTTACCAACTTATCAATTGCAGTGATTCACGTGGCAGGAAAGGTCGTAAAATGGGGCAAAGCTCATGTAATAAATGTCTCACTTGACAATAGAAATATAGGGCTCAATTGTGGTTGTAAGCTCACTTAATAAATGTCTCACTTAACAACAGAAATTTAGGGCTCTATTGTCATATATTCACTTAATAAATGTCTCACTTAACAGAAATTTAGGGCTCGATTGTGGTCATAAGTTCACTTAATAAATGTCTCAACAACAGAAATTTAGGCTCGTCATATGATCACTTAATAAATGTCTCACTTAACAACAGAAATTTAGGGCTCAATTATGGTCGTACGTATTGAGGACTACCTATACAGTCTACTGTTTCTAACCTGGCGTCTTAACCCTAGATCTAAACTGGCTTATATGGGATTTCAGAATTAATGTAGACGTATTATTAAGTTTAGAGTAAGAGCTGGATGTATTTATTATTTATATCCGTACCAAAGAAAGATAGAAACCATAGATTCCCGTGGACACTAAATGGACTGGACATAACTGCAAGGAAAAGAAATTAAAAACCTAGCTTTGGTGCCGCCAACAGATCCGGCCAACCTGGAGACCTTCGAGCGCTACCTACAATCAATGAACAGCTCCGAGGAGATCTGCCTGCTGACCACCTTCGCCCAGATGGCCCAGACCAAACGGGAGGACGTTGATGAGGACTTCGTGAAAGTGGTGGTGCTGGAGATCTACGAGGTGAGCAAGAAGGAGGCGGAGGTGGAAGAGGGAGTGGCGGTGGGGAGGTGGGTGGGATGCTTTCCTGAGAGCATTTTCAGGGCTTGGGGTTGCTAGACCAAGGTGGCAGCGCTAGGAAGGATGCGGTGCGATGTTTCCCTAGGTTGAGGTGGTCCTAAGTTAGGGGTATCCAACCATGGCAACTTTAAGACCTGTGGACTTCCCACTCCCAGAATTCCCCAGCCAGCCATGCTGGCTAGGGAATTCTGGGAGTTGAAGCCCACCAAACTTAAAGCAATAGAGATGATATTTTAATTTTAATTTTATATTTTATTTTATTTTATTTTTTATTTTATACTTTATTGTATACTTTATACTTTATATTTTATCTTATTTTACATTTTTTATTCCATTCCATTTCATTGGGTTGGCCTCCCCCTCATCGTTACTGTCACTGCTGTGAATCTGGGATCCCCCCCTCCACCATCAACCGGGATTTTTATTTTTATTTTTATTTTTATGTTAAATTTATTTTATTTTATTTTATTTTATTTTATTTTATTTTATTTTATTTTATTTTATTTTATTTTATTTTATTTTATTTTATTTATTTTTTATTTTATTTATTTTATTTTATTATTTTATTTTATTTTATTATTTTATTTTATTTTATTTTATTTTATTTTAATTTTATTTTATTTTATTATTTTATTTTATTATTTTATTTTATTTTATTTTTATTATTTCATTTCATTCATTTCACTTCACTTCACTTCATTTTTTTATTTTATTTCATTCGTTTCATTTCACTTCACTTCATTTCATTTTTTATTTTATTTTATTTTTTATTTCATTTCATTTCACTTCACTTCATTTTTTAATTTAATTTTATTATTTTATTTTATTTCACTTCACTTCATTTTTTATTTTATTTTATTTTTTATTTCATTTCATTCATTTTACTTCACTTCATTATTTTATTTTATTTTATTTATTTTATTTATTTTATTTTATTTTATTTTATTTTATTTTATTTTATTTTATTTTATTTTATTTTATTTTATTTTATTTTATTATTTTATTTTATTTTATTTTATTTTATTTTATTATTATTTTTTATTTCTATCCTGCCTTTATTATTTTTACCAATAACTCAAGGCAGTGAACCTTCCATCCTTCCGAGGTCAGTAAAATGAGGACCCATATTATTGGGTGGGGCCAATGTGCTCTGTAAACCGCTTAGAGAGGGCTATAAAACACTGTGAGGGCAGTATAGAAGTCTCAGTGCTATTTCTGTATTCAACACAACTTCTTTCTCTTTCCCCATAACAACAACCCTGTGAGGTGGGTTGGGCTGAGAGAAAGGGACTGGCCTAATGTCCCCCAGCCAATTTTCAGGCCTAAGGTGGGGACAAGCACTCACAGTCTCCTGCTGATTGGACCAAAATCACCCAGCGGCTTTTATGGCTAAGGCGGGACTAGAACTCACAGTCTAGTGGCGATTGGCCCAAAGTTTCCTAGACAGGTTTCATAGCTAAGGCGGGACCTATCCTTAATCATTCCCCAGTCCTCCACAGTGTCAATCATCATGTCACTTGTCAGGTCCACTGTGGTCCCCAAGCCTGAAATAAATGCAGACTCGCACATGATGAATCCTTAGTTCATAATGTGTGAGAAGCTGTTGAGAAGGGCATTAAGTCTTGGTTACAGTTTGTGGAGGGGCTGTGTTTCTGGAATAATCTTTTTTTTTTTTTTTTTTTTTAAATTCCCCTCAGGTATCTTATGTCAGCCTTTCCACCCGAGAAACTTTTTCCAAAGTTGGCCGAGAGCTCCTGGCTGCTATAACGGCTGTCCACACAAATATGATTTCTGTCCTGCTGGATCGAGTCAGGGAGACCATTGAAAGTGTCGGCATGGTAAGAATGGCCCAAATCTTTGAGCGAAACTACAAATGAACTCAAAGCCCATCTAAAAGGAAAATTCTGTGCCAAGACCCAAGAATTCCTCCCTCTCTCTTTCTTTTTCCTTCCTTCCTTCCTTCCTTCCTTCCTTCCTTCCTTCCTTCCTCTTCCTTCCCTCCCTCCCTCCCTTCCTCCCTTCCTCCCTCCCTCCATTTTACTTTCTTTCCTCCCTTCCTCTCTCCCTCTTTCTTTTAACTTTCCTTCCCTCCCTCCATCCCTTTGTTTTTCTTTTCCTTCCTTCCTTCTTCCTTCCTTCCTCCCTCCTTCCCTCCCTCCCTTTTGTTTTACTTTCCTTCTTACCTTCCTTCCTCCCTTCCTCTCTCCCTCTTTCTTTTAACTTTCCTTCCCTCCCTCCATCCCTTTGTTTTTCTTTTCCTTCCTTCCTTCTTCCTTCCTTCCTCCCTCCTTCCCTCCCTCCCTTTTTGTTTTACTTTCCTTCTTACCTTCCTTCCTCCCTTCCTCTCTCCCTTTCTTTTAACTTTCCTTCTCTCCCTCCATCCCTTTGTTTTTCTTTTCTTTCCTTTCTCCCTCCCTCCCTCTTTGTTTTACTTTCCTTCTTTCCTTCCTTCCTTCCTTCCTTCCTCTTTTTAACTTTCCTTCCCTCCCTCCATCCCTTTGTTTTTCTTTTCCTTCCCTCCCTCCCACTTTCTTTAACCCTCTTCTTCCTCCTTCCCTCCCTCTTTTACTTTTCCTTCCTCCCTCCCTCCCTCTTTCTTTTAACTTTCCTTCCCTCCCTCCATCTCTGTTTTTCTTTTCCTTCCTTCCTTCCTTCCTTCCTTCCTTCCTTCCTTCCTTCCTTCCTTCCCTCCCTCCCTCCCTCCCTTCCTTGAAATAAAACCCCTCTACAAAACCAAATAAATCATGACCCACCAGTGGCAACAATCAGATCAACCATTTGATGGGCTCGGTATCACCCTGGGGTCCCCAGCATGGCTGGCAAAACCATGTCTTCAGTGCTTTTTGGAGAGTGTCAAAGTGGGGGGCCAGCATTATTTAAATAGATAGAATAACAGAATTGGAAGGGACCTTGGAGGTCTTCTAGTCCAACCCCCTGCCCAGGCAGGAAACCCAGGCAGGAAACCCTATGCCATTTCAGACAATTGTTGTCCAATCTCTTATTAAAAACTTCCAGTGTTGGAGCATTCACAGCTTCTGCAGGCAAGTTGTTCCACTGATTAATTGTTCTCATTGTCAGGAAATTTCTCCTTAGTTCTAAGTTGCTTCCCTCCTTTATGAGTTTCCACCCATTGCTTCTTGTCCTGCCCTCAGGTGCTTTGGAGAATAGCTTGACTCAGGGATTTCCGCAGGGATGATGTTCCACAGGGAGGGGTACTTACGGGACCGCCTTCTGCCACCAATAGCCTCCCACCGGCCAGTTCGCTCCCACAGAGAGGGCCTCCTCAGGGTGCCGTCGGCCAGACAATGCTGGCTGGCGACCCCCAGGAGGAGAGCCTTCTCTGTGGTGGCACCTACCCTATGGAACAATCTACCCCCAGAGATACGAGTGATCTCCGACCTCCGGATTTTTCGTCGGGCCTTAAAAACTTATTTTTTTCAGCTAGCCGGTCTGTCCTGATTTTAGGGTTAGTTTTAAAATTTTAATATTTATTTTAATTGACAAGTTTTAAATTATGCGCCAAATTTATAAATTATTTTAACTTTATTTTTTAACTGTGATGTTTGTATAGATGTTTTTTATCTGGCTGTTCACCACCCTGAGTCCGAAAGGAGAAGGGCGGTATAGAAATTCGAATAAATGAAATGAAATGAAATGAAAAAGGCCCTTCTTCTTGGTCCCATCAGGAGGACCATTTTAGGACAGGAGAACACGTCCCATTCCCTGCCTCCCCACTATGGTGGGTTGAGTCGATGTAAGCAGCCCTTCAAAGTAACTTGGCTCCCTGCCACGTAGGAGGATAACTTTTCTATCATTTGGAAAACGGAGCAGCTTGTACATTTAATCTTTTCTTCCTGGCTCTGATCCATTAGGTAAATGTCTTCCTTCTAAGCATCACAAAATAAGAAAGTGCCATAAATAAGTTTTAGCCAACCCATACATTGATTGTGTGTCATTAACTTCTGATTGACGTTTAGTGACCATGCCTTTCAAGATCACCTTCATAACTCCACGCAATTCTGTCCTCACGTTTGTCTTCATCATTTTTAATCTTGTCAGGTGACTCTCTATTTGTTTAAAGAGCTGCCAATGCTTCTCTGGGAACCATCGGCTTCCGAGGTCGCCTTGATCCGTGACTGGCTTCTGAATCACAGTCTGACCGAAGTCGAAAACAAACTCGCTTGCATCATCCTGGAAGAGATGAACTGGGGCCCCGGCGACCAACACGTGCGTATCAACTTTAGTTTGTGAAGTAGGCAGCTTTTCTTTTAGCAATAGCAGAGCCTCTGTGTAAGTTCAGGGTTGAAATGTTGGGCTTTTGGCATTCTCTGAGCTTAGTTCTCTTGCAAATGTTTCCCGTCAATCATTTCAAGTGTTAGCCCTCATTTGGTAATGAAATGTTTGCAGGAAGAAAACCAAAGTGAGTGAACACCGGAATCCCAGCATTTCTCTCCTCTCCTCTCCTCTCCTCTCCCCTAGGTCTCCCCTCCCCTCCCTTCCCCTAGATATCCTCTCCTCCTCTCCTCTCTCCTCCCCTCCCCTAGGTCTCCCCTCCCCTAGGTCTCTCCTCTCCTCTCCTCTCCTCTCCTCTCCTCTCCTCTCCTCTCCTCTCCTTAGGTCTCCCCTAACCTAAGTCTCCTCTCTCCTCTCCTCTCCTCTCCTCTCCTCTCACCTCCTCTCCTCTCACCTCCTCTCCTCTCACCTCCCCTCCCCTAGGTCTCCCCTCCCCTCCCCTAAGTCTCCCCTAACCTAGCTCTCCTCTCACTTCCCCTAGGTCTCCCCTAACCTAGGTGGTTTCTCCTATCCCCTCCCCTAGGTCTCCCCTAACCTAGGTCTCCTCTCCACTCCCCTAGGTCTTCCCTCCCCTCCCTTCCCCTCCTCCCCTCTCCTCTCCTCCCCTCCCCTAGGTTGCTCCTCCCCTCCCCTCCCCTAGATATCCTCTCCCCTCTCCTCCTCTCCTCTTTCCTCCCATCCCCTAGGTCTCCACTCTCCACTCCTCTCCTCTCCCCTAGGTCTCCCCTAACCTAGGTGGTTTCTCCTATCCCCTCCCCTAGGTCTCCCCTAACCTAGGTCTCCTCTCCCTCTCTTCGTCTCTCCTCTCCCCTCCCCTCTCCTAGGTCTTCCCTAGGTCTCCCCTAACCTAGGTCTCCTCTAACCTAGGTTTCCTCCCTCTCTTCCTCTCTCCTCTCCCCTCCCCCCAGGTCCCCTTCCCCTCCCCTCTTCTAGGTCTCCTTTCATCTACTCTTCTCCCATCCGCTAGGTCCCCTTCCCTCTCTTTTCCTCTCCTCTCCTCTCCTCCCCACCCCTCCCCCTCCCATAGGTCTCCTCTCCTCTAACCTCCACCTCCCCTGAGGATCCAGATTGTTGGGGGCAATATGCTGACTCTGTAAATCGCTTAGAGAGGGCTGTAAAGCACTATGAAATGGTATATAAGTCTAAGTATTATTGCTATTGCTATGTCCCCTCCCCTCTCTCACCCCCTTCTCCCCCCCCCCCCAAACCATGAAGTCCAGGCATCTTAAAGTTGCTGTGTTTGAATAATGCCATTCTATGGGATTTACCAGTCAGCAGTCTTACCTTCTAAGGTTGCTTTCAGTTGAAAAGAAGATACCCGAGAATGATTCTTTGAAACACACAAGGCTTAACAAATGATTTTTCTCTAGTAATTTTGGCTTAGTTTAAACCTACCCAGCCTATAAATTTGTTACATAGAACTCCCTGTGTCCTATTTCTGGAATGGTTTTTGGTGGCCGAAATAAATAAACGAGATATTTGAAAGAGCAACCACCTAACTACCAAATGGTTAGGTAGCCCCACGGAACAGAAAATGTCTCCTTGTCTTGAAAAATCAGCTGGATGTTTTTTTTTTTGAACAGGGTCACCTTCACATCAGCCCAGCCGTCCACGCGGAGGTTGCGTTGATGATCTTGGAAGCTTACCAGAAGTATCTCCCCCAGAAGCCATACAGCGGACTCCTCTCGGAGAGCTTCAAGCAGGTGCTTCCCTTTCATTGCTTTTAGAATCGAGTAGAATGGAGTAACAGAGATGGAAGGGACCTTGGAGGTCTTCTAGTCCAACCCCCTACTTAGGCAGGAAACCCTACACCACTTCAGACAAACGGTTATCCAACTTCTTCTTAAAAACTTCCAGTGTTGGAGCATTCACAACTTCTGGAGGCAAGTGGTTCCACGGATGAATTGGATCCGGACTTTTCGTCGGGACCTGAAGACACACTTGTTCCATCTAGCTGGGCTGGCTTGATCCCACCCTCTTAGTTTTTAATCGAATTTCGGTTTTAATTGGGTTGTTTTAAATTCGGGCCAAAATTATTTAATTGTTTTTTTAAATGTTTTTAAATTTTATATGCTATGTTTTATCCTGGCTGTACACCGCCCTGAGTCCCGCAGGAGAAGGGCAGTATAGAAATATAATAAAATAAAATAAATAAATAAATAAATTGTTCTAACTGTCAGGAAATTTTTGAATCTCTCCTAGTTGCTGGTTGAAATTATTTATTTATTTATTTATTTATTGAATTTCTATACTGCCCTTCTCCCGAAGGACTCAGGGCGGTGAACAGATTAAGATTTCATATACATATAATATATATATTTCTTACTTCTTCGTAGGGTTTATGTGTGTTTTTCTTCTAGCCAGGTTTTCCCTACCTTGGTTATGTAGGGAAAACCTGGCTAGAAGAAAAACACACACACACACACACACACACACACACACACACACACACACATATAAAAACAGTAAATAATAAATTGAGTCAACTTGGTGTATCTGCTAAGACCTTGGCATAGAATTTAGATGTTTATGCTAGCCCTGCTTGTTGAAACAGAAAGGTCTTCAGGGCACGTGGGAAAGTGCGAAGATTTGGGATTATTCGTATTCCAGGGGGTATTTTGTTCCAAAGAGTAGGTGCCCCTACAGAGAAGGCTCTCTCCCTTGGAACTACTAGACGACATTGTTTTAATGATGGTACTATGAGTAGGCCTACTCTGTGAGAGCGTATTGGTTGGTGGGAGGTTATCGGTTGCAGCAGGTAGTCCCGTAAGTACTCAGGTCCTAAATAAATAATAAATAAATATTTAACTAATAAATATTAGATCATATTTAACATAGTTGCCAAAAAAAAAAAAAAGAGAGAGCGAGAGAGCAATTTTATGGGTTCTCACAGTACTCTGAAGCATAAATTAAAAGAAACTGATCTGAGATATGGACTTGGTTCTCTATGAGCTTTTTTTTTTCTTTTCTTGTAGACATTATCCAACTAGGTAACATCATCAATGCTGGTGAGCATGGGATTTGCTCCCTATTTATGCAGTGTAAATTACTCTGTATAAACAGGGAGCAAAATCCCACATTCACTTAGCACTGATGATGTTAGCTAATTGGGCAATGAAACGTCTACAAGAAAACAACCAAGCTCAGCTCAAGAGCTCCGCAGTTTATCCCTGGACTACAAATTATTCTCTTTTATTGAAACTGAACTAGTTTAAGACATTGTGTCTTAAATGTCCCTTTTTCATACTTAACAACCGTCGCAGCATCCCCACAGTCACGCGATCAAAATTCAGATACTTGGCAACTGGATCACATTTATGACGGTCGCAGAGTCCCTAGTTCCTCCTTCTGCGACCTTCTGACAAGCATGGGGAAGCCAGGTTCACTTAACAACTGTGATCTTTACTTAACAGCTGCAGTGATTCACTTAACGACTGCGACCAGGAAGATCGTAAAATGGGGCAAAACTCACTTAACAACTGTCTCGCTGAGCCACAGAAAGTTTGTGCTCAATTATGGTCGTAATTTGAGGACTACCTGTAGCTCCTTACAGTCTTTTGGGCTGACAACCGGACAGTTCTTTGACCAGTAAAGGACGTTCTGTTGAGATGAACTAAGGAATATCGGACAACTATTTGTCTGAAATGGTAGAGGCTTTCTTGGTTTAGCAGAGGGTTGGACTAGAACAGAGTTCCCCAACCTTTCTGGGTTGGTGGCCTGGAGTGGGGGTGGGGTGGGAGAAATTGGGGATAGTTTTGTGGGAGAGGCAGGTGCATGCGTGTGCACATGTGTGAGCATGGCCCCGAGTGCTTGTAACACTTGCACGAGTGAGCCTACAAGCACCCACGATGCTCATACAAGTGAGGCCCCGTGACATTCACACGGGTGGGGCCCTGAGCCCCCGTGAAATTCACACGGGTGGGGCCCTGAGCCCCCGTGACGTTCACACGGGTGGGGCCCTGAGCCCCCGTGATGTTCACACGGGTGGGGCCCTGAGCCCACGTGACGTTCACACGAGTGGGGCCCTGAGCCTCTGTGACGTTCACACAAGTGGGGCCCTGAGCCCCTGTGACGTTCACACGAGTGGGGCCCTGAGCCCCTGTGACATTCACACGAGTGGGGCCCTGAGCCCCCGTGATGTTCACACGAGTGGGGCCCTGAGATCTCATGATGCACAAGTGGAGCTGTGCGTACATGTGCACGCAGCAGCCGGCCACTCACGCAGCCCGGTTGCAAATAGGCTGCCGATCAGTAGTGGGCCCCACAGGTTGAAGACCTCCAAGATTGTTTCCAACTCTATTATTCTGTTATGTCGCTTCTGTTTACCAGGTCTCCTATCTGGCCAGCATTGTCCGTTATGGCGAGACCGCAGAAAGCTCCTTTAATCAGTGGGCCTGGGGGATGATTTTGAGATTAAAGCTGCACATGAACGATTACGGCGTGCAGGGACACTGGGCTCCAGCACCCATACCTGACTTGACCGATTCACCCACCTTTCACCCGCTGTTGAAGGCGGTCAGATCTAGCCTCCCAATTGGCTGCTACCTTGCCTTGGCTATGTCCTCTGTTGGCCACAGGTAAATATTCATTTTCTTCGTGCTTGCAACTCACGTTTCCTAAACACATCTGTAGTTTCTTTGAAACTCTGATAACTTTTTTTCTTATGGCTAAGTTTAGATCTGAGGGATGGTCAGGATCTATATATATAAAAATGGCTCTGTGAGTGAGTGTGTGTGTGTGTGTGTGTGTGTGTGTGTGTGTGTGTGTGTGTTATGTTCCAGCATAACTCTGAACACCTCGAGCAATTTCAACCAAACTTGGTACAGAGATGACTTACTCTCTGGAAAGAAATACTTTGGGGGTAAGACACCTCTAACACTCCTTGGTGTGCGTGTCTGTGTCTGTGTCTGTGTCCCAGCATAACTCTGGAACGCCTGGGCTGCTGAAATGAAAAGGAATGAATTATATCTATAGTGTCAAATCACAGTACTTTTGACAGTGATACTGTTCATTTTGGATTCAAGTTCTGTTAAGATACAGCCTGTTGTACCTTAAAATGGCTTCTACTGTACAGCACAGTGGAGTTGCCATGATAACGGCTTCACAGTACTCCACAAGGGGGCTCCCTCTGTAAGGGGGATTGGTTCTTTAAAAACAACAACAACCAAACATCCTAGGCCCTCAGCTTCAAGCAAAGAGGGCAAGTTGTCGGGGGAGGTGCCTGCTAATTCAGATCATCACCAGGGCAATTAGGTCTCTAATTCTCACCACAAAAGGTTGAGCCTGTCCTTTTCCTGTCTAATACAGGATTGGGATAAATAAATACCCGGGCAACCCCAGGTTATCAGCTAGTTTTAAATAATTCTGCTTTAGTTACAAGGGTTTTCCTTTGTGAATTTCATGTGGCTTTTTCAATCGGCAACATTCGAGCATATCACCTGTGGTTTTTGTGGGATTGCTTTACAAATACGGATCATTGTGACTTCCTAATGTGCCATCTGCTTAAGAGCCATTCACTGTGGGTAGCAAAGAGCAGGGTTGGAAATTTACGGCTGAAAAAAACAAGACGGTACAATCCCAGTGACAGTTCTTCTTATCGCCCTTGGCAAAACCTGCCAATGAAGCCTCATACCATCAGAACAAACGTTAGCAAGTTGGAGCGTCTGTGTTGCTGATTTTATTGAGTTCAGAACGAGGTGTTTTGTTTTTTCCCCCATGTTGCTAAAGATTGCTTGAAATATTCCCATTTCTTCGTTTAGAATTACAATTCTCAAAAGTTCTCTTTACAGGAAACCATGGTAGTTAAGCCAATGTAGGGCTAATTAATTACAAGCAGGTGGATAGATGGATGGAACACCTGAGAATCCATTTTCCTATCTAAGCTAGATAGGAAAATGGAAGAGGACCTTGCAAAGGAAGAAGTTTGATACCAGGAGTTGGAAAGTATCTGTCCTCTTAACTTAAACCGGGTGTCAACTCTGAATTGAACCTGGCTGAAGCCATCTTGTACTGCTTCATAGTTGCCACACTCTATGAGGGAGAGGATGAGGGGGAAATAGCAAAATCGTCTCATAGCTTTCCTGTGGGAACCAAGCTGCTGCTTGGTTTGGACCGGTTCGCACGAATCGGTAGTTCCCACTATCAGCTGGTCCCCGCCCTATCCTGTCCTACATTTCCTTCTTTCTGGCTCAGCTGATTCGCACGGCACAGCTGATTTTTGTGCCTCCGCTGTTCTACTTACTGGGGCTGCCTTAGAAGGTAAGCAGCTGAGTTTCAAATTGCTGTATTTTGAACGCTGCACGCAAGCGCGTTAGGCGTGCGTGCGCAGTCCACACGCACGCACAAAGCTCACAGAACCGGTTGTTAAAATGGTTGCAGCCCACCACTGGAACCAAGGTCATCCCAACAGGTGGCCGTAGGAGGAGGAACAGAAGTGGTCGAGAGTGCCTGCCCACTGCATTGATTAAACAGTGTGACCTGTGACACCTGAGGGAGGAAACATTTTGCTTTTTCAACTACATGGTAACCGCAGGGATTTTTTAGAGTTGGTTTTCACTGGCTGTGCCGATAGGATGTGTCCATTAAACATGTTCTCTGAGGAATGTTCCTGCCTTGGAGTTCTGATTTCTTTAGCTGTGTTACTCGGAACGCTGATACCAAATTGGAAGCCCAGTTTTAAGTGTTATCCCTCAGTCCTTCCTCTTGTCTGTGAGAGCTAGTGTTGTGGCCCGCCAGCTGCCCACGGAGCTGGCGGCAGACTCGGACGATGAGTAGGTTGGGGAGGAACTTGGGCCAGTGCTGGAGTCTGGGGAAGGCACTGATGGATGCTCTGTGTTGGGCGGAGAGAGAAAGCCAGGGCCGTCCAACATAGCCTCCCACCAGCCAGTACGTTCCCACAGAGAGGGACTCCTCAGGGTGCCGTGAGCTAGGCAGTGTCGGCTGGCGACCCCCAGGGGGAAGGACTTCTCTGTGGCAGCACCTGCCCTCTGGAATGATTTGCCCCCGGAGATACAGAGGATATCAGATCTCCGGGCTTTTCACCGCGCCCTAAAAACTTTTCCATCAAGCAGGGCTGGCGTGAGCCCCCCCCCTCCATTTTTGAGATATTAGATTTTTAATTGTTTAATGGGTTTTAGTCGTAAGGTTCTTAATTTTTGGCCAAAGGGTATAATTCTTTTAAATTTTTAAATTTTGTATTGGATGTTTTTTACTTGGCTGTGCACCGCCCTGAGTCCACCAGGAGAAGGGCGGTATACAAATTTAAATAAAATAAAATAAATAAATAAATTTCCCAGCCACCGGAGAGGCAGCTGCCTTTGGAGGCTGATATGAGTGAGGAGGAAGAACAGCTGGGGCCTGTTCCAGAAGCACGTATGCGCAGAGCAGTTAGAAGAGTTGAACAACGGAGGACAAGGAGTCGACTCGGGAAGCAAAGCATACGTGGACACTGAATGGCCCCTCCCTGGCTGGGGAATAAATAGAAGGAAAGGGGAGCGGTTGTCGTAGGAGACAACAGTTCGTATTTCTGAAGATTTTGCTCATTGTGTTTCGTGCCACAAAGACTGCTTGCCAGAACTTAATTTGTAGCCATTCGTCTGGGAGCTCCCGGCCTTGAAATTATCACAAGGAACTGATAAGGTCTGTTACCGCAGTTAACTCCTTGAAGGACTCTTGCCTGGACTTTTCGGTGGGTGATTATGCAATTAACTCACAAGAGGAAACTTCTTGACTATTTACGGGACCGCCTGCTACCACCAATAGCCTCCCATCGACCAGTACGCTCCCATAGAGAGGGGCTCCTCCGGGTGCCGTCGGCCAAACAATGTCGACTGGCGGCCCCCAGGGGGAGAGCCTTCTCTGTGGGGGCACCTACTATCTGGAACGAGCTCCCCCCCCCGGAGATATGGAGGATCCTGGATCTGCGTACCTTCCGTCACGCGCTCAAGACCTTCCTATTTCATCAAGCCGGCCTGACCTAAGTCTCTCCCCTTTTTATATGGAAATTTTAAATTTGGTTTTAAAACTATTGGGGTTTTAAATTTGTTCAGCCAAATTATTTAATTTGTTTTAATTTATTTTAAATTTTGTATTTATAAGTTTTATTCCATGGCTGTTCACCGCCCTGAGTCCTTCGGGAGTAGGGCGGTATACAAATTCAATAAATAAAATAAAAATAAAATAAGAGGGGTTTTTCGTGACAAGGAGTCCGTTTCTTACTTCTGCTACGGCTGGGTCAGAACAGTTAACTTGGATTTAGCGTCCATGAATCTGCAAAATGAAATCTTACTTTGTTTTATTTATGTTGACAGCATTGAGAAGTTCTGTGCTGAAGGGATCCCTTATTTGGGCATTCTGGTTCAGTCGCGACATTTGAGGACCGTGGTTCACGTCCTGGATAAAGTGTTGCTTCTGTTCTACCCGTGCCATTATTACCTTCTCAAGAACGAAAAGTGAGTTCAGATTTACCTTGAACTTTATCATGGTTTGGCTGGTTTTTTTTTTTTATGAAGATATTTGCTATTGATGGGGGCAGATGGTAATTGAAGATACCGAACATACTGTTGGAATTAGGATGTGATGTTACCCTAACATGGGAGATGGAGTTAACAATCCAGCTGAAAGACATTACAGAAGATATCATATGGATTACAAGCTTAAAGTCTTTTTTAAGAGGATTTTATTTACATAAGGGAATATTTTTAGTGGTGTGGGCAGAAGAATAAAGATATTACGAATTATTAAGTATGGTAGTCTTGTAGGAAAGTGGGTGGAGACAGGTTAGTTTATTGATTGTTTAGTTTAAGAAAAGGGATATTACGTTTAGATATGAATATATGTAAAAGATTTGAGTTAAGAGATATAACGATGGGGGTGAAGGAAATGGGTAGACTATGAATTGAATAAATGTTAAATTAGGATTTATTATATAGTTTTATAGCGGAAGGTTGCTTTGAAATGTTATATTAATATACATAAAAGATTTGATTTAAGAGATATATGTATGGGGGGGTAGAAAAAGGGTAGATTATGAGCAGAAATCGCTAAACTGGGAGATATAATAATATTATTATGCTAAATTACAAGTTATTATATAATGTTATAGTAGAATGTCATTTTGAAATGTATAGTATAAGGGGGATATAATAATATTATTAGAAAGAAAGGGTCAGTATATGGGGATGGAGTAAGGGGATGGTAAAGTATTACATAATCTGTTATGAATTTGGGTTTTATTATGAAGAAGCCACAGGGGGGAGGGGATGGTGAGGGGGGGTTAGGGAGGAGGGGGGGGGAAAAAGGGGGAAAAATTTGTATTGGGTTTGGCTGGTTTTTTAATGACATTGGTATCTAACCCTTCTGAAAAGACCTCGGAATAATATTCCTGGTAGTTCTCGACTTACAATATTTGTTTAGTTAGTGTTCGAAGTTACAGTGGCACGCACTGAAAAAAGTGACTTATGGCCATTTTGCACCCTTACGACCGTTGCAGCCTCCCCATGGTCACGTGATTAAAATTAAGATGTTTGGCAACTGATTCGTATTTATGACGGTCGCAGTGTCCCGGGGTGGGTGGGTCACGTGATCCTCTTTTGTGACCTTCCGACAAGCAAAGTCAACGGGGGAAGGCGGATTCGCTTAACAATCGTCTTACTAACTTAACAGCCGCAGAGATTCACTTAACAACTGGGGCAGTAGAGGTCGTAAAATGGGCCAAAATTTACTTTACAACTGTCTCACTTAGCAACAGAAATGTTGGGCTCAAGTGTGGTTGTAAATCGAGGACTACCTGTACTGTCAACCTCTTTAACGGATAGTCCTCGAGTTACGACCACAATTGAGCCCAAACTTCGTGTTGCTAAGTGAAACATTCGTGAAGTGAGTTTGTTCCTTTTTTTTTTTTTAACGACTTTTCTTGCCGGAGCTGTTAAGTGAATCACTGCCATGGTTAAATTAGTCAAACGGTTGTTAAGTGATTCCCTCATGAGTTTGCTTGTCAGAAGGTCGCAAAAGAGGGATCCCATGATCCTGGAACACCGCATCCGTCATAAATATGAATTTTGACCACGTGATCCTGAGGATGCTGCAACGGTCGTAAGAGTGAAAAGCGGTCCTAAGTCACATTTTCCCGTGCCCTTTGTAACTTTGAATGATCACCGAACGAATGGTCGTAAGTCGAGGACTGCCTGTATATTGATAGCCAGGGGTAGTATTTACTTATCTCCACTACCGGTTCGCAAATGTGAGCGTGCGCATGCATGTGGAGAGCCTTCCGCACATGCGCAGAGCATCAAAAACGGGACGTGATGACATCCGGGCTGGTGGGTGGAGCCTCCCACAGCCACCGGTTTGCCCAAACCGGATAGAACCGAATACCACCACTGGATGGAGGGTGTTCTGTCCCTGTCTCACACACGCACACAAACAGACAGCCGGGGGTTAAATAAACTGGCAGACAACCAATTCTTCTGATAAGAAGCTTGGCAGCAACCCAGTAGCTGCTTGCCAAGAACTTTACTCATAAACAAAATACACACAGTTCAAGAATTGTCCAGTTCATAAAATAAATCCAAGGCAGATAATGTTGTTTCCAAAGATGCAATGTGACTCGATAGTAGTTAGATTTGTCCGTCATAGAGTCTGAATGGCCAGCTCACTTCCTTTTATACCCTGTGGGGTGTGACTCAGCTTAATCTCTGGCACGCCTCTTCTTCTGTTGCGCGCGCTTATCTCTGCGACGCTGCCGAGGATCCAGCCAAGACTCATCTCCCTCATTACTGTCCACCTGTGGCTGCGTGGACGTGCTTGGCCCCGGCCTATCTCTTGCCCTTCGGCGGGCACCGAAGGCATTGCCAGAGAGGAGGCATTGCCTTGCCAACTCCTCTCCTTCGCTCTCGGAGTCCTCTCCTGCCGATGACACAGGCTCAGGTAACGGAGCCACAACAGAGGAAGGATTTCAATTGGGGGATATGAATGGAGAAACATCTGCCTGTGATCGGATAATTAGATGGCCGTTTTGTTTGTGGCTTCCCTAGGTTTCTCTCCTTCTTCCACCAGTTCCTTCAGCTGGACAGCGGCGTTCCTCAAGGGATGACTCAGCAGATGACCCATCGAGTGACTCAACACTTGACCGGCACGAGTTACGGCAAAAACATTAAGCTGTTGAACTCCATGATTCAGGTCAGGAAATAGAAGCGCCTCGAGGGGTCCCCGAACATCCTTATTCTGCTTTCACTCAGATAAGGAGGACACAAAAACCGGGCATACAGTAGTCCTCAACTTACAACCATTCGTTAATGACCATTACAAGCTGCAATAGCACTTAGACTTATATACCACTTCACAGTGCTTTTACAGCTCTCTCTAAGCAGTTTACAGAGTCAGCCTACTGCCTCCAACAATCTGGGTCCTCATTTTACCGACCTCGGAAGGATGAAAGACTGAGTCAACCTTGAGCCTGGTGAGAATCGAACTGCCAAATTGCAGGCAGCCGGCAGTCAGCAGAAGTAGCCTGAAAGTACTGCACTCTTAACCACTGCGCCATCGTGGCTCATAACAGTGCTCACAATAGCACTAAAAATATGATTTATGACCAGTTCTCATACTTACGACCGTTGCAGTGTCCCCACAGTACATGATGAGTCTATGGGAGCTTGGCATGTATTTACGATGGTTGCAGTGTCCTGGTGGGGTGGGTGGGATTGTCGTTTCTGACTTGCTAGGGGAGCAGAGTCAATGGGGGAAGCCAGGATTGCTTAATGACGGCATGATTCCCTTAACAACTGTTGGGATACACTTAACAACCGTGGCAAAAAAGGGTCATAAAACGGGCCAGTGTTCTGACCTAGACTTCACAAAAGCACGAAGCAGACTCCTTCTCCCGACAAAACCCCTTTTTATTAAGCTAATGTGAATTCCTCTCATTCACAACCCGACAAACAGTCTTTCCAGTGTGAATTTACAACCACAGACCTTATCAGGTTTGGAGAGCTGCCAGGCCGATATCTTCCAAACGCCATGCTGTACAAGAAAATACTTGGCAAGGAGTCTCTGAGAGTCACAAACAGATCTTCACACTAATGAATTGAACTAATTGTCTCCTGCAAACTCCACTCCCCTTTTGCTCCTCTTTATTCTGTATGGGAGGGGCCATTCACCGTCCACTTGTGCCTTTACTCCTGAGTCGGCCCTTGTTCTTTAGCTGTTCCCTTCTCCTGGCAGCTCTGCGCATGCACACACTGGGAACAGGCTCCAGCTGTTCTTCTGCCCCACTGATGTCCAACTCCGAAAGCAGCTGACAACTGTCAGACGGTCCTGGCCCCCTCTCTGCCTCCGATGCAGAGCCCTCATCAGAGCCTTCCCCAGACTCCAGGACTGGCCCATGTTCCTCCCCAACCTCCTCACTGTCTGAGTCTGCTACCAGCTCTGCTGGTGGGCCACAACAGGCAGGGCTCACTTAACAACCACCTTGCTTAGCAGTGGTTATTTTGCCCTCAATTGTGGTCATAGGTTGAGGACTATCTATATAGGAGTTGAATCTTTTCCCCTTTTTACTGTGAGCCTAATAATCACTCTCTCCTTTATTTTGACAGAGCCACATTTTTATGAGCAGCCACCCAAGCGGAATTGGCCCGGCTGCCGTGTTAGAATTCTGGGTTCAGGTCCTGACCAGCCAACAGCTTTGGCACAAGGAGAGAGCTGTCCTCGAACTGATGGATGGTTTGTGCCAAGCCGCCTTTCAGTTCAACCAAGAGGATTGCGTGCAGAAATTGCTCTATCACCAGCACAAGGTATGGGTCCTCATCAGGGGTGGGTTCTACTTACCTTTACTACCGGTTCGCAATGGGGCCGCGCGCGCACGCTCTTCTGTGCCTGCGCCGAAGCGTTTTTATGACATCAGGGTCAGTGGGCGGAGCCTCGCATGGGTTTTACTACCGGTTCTATAGAACCGGTGTGAACCGGGGGCAACCCACCACTGGTCCTGATCCTCGCCGACTTTCCCACGGATTGGGAGAAGAATCCTGTTCTGACCCAGCTCCCCAAACACGACAAACCCTCTGTAGTTGAAGCAATGATTCCTTTATTAGGAGTGCCAGCAGTCCCGGCAACAAGTTTCTCCCTCACTGCAGGCTAACAAGTCCATCCGTCCAGAAGATGAATAGTTTTCTGCCACATCTGTTCATCTCTGTCCCCTGCCTTTTATCCCCAGAGCTAGACTGGGGCAGTGGTGGCTCTTCCGTCCCAAGGATCGGCCCATAGATTTCCACTGCTCTCCTCTCCTCTGCCTTCTGTGCATCTGTGCATCAGGCACTGGACCCAGCTGTTCCTCCTCTTCCTCATCAGCCACCTCCAGACCTGGGGACTGTTGACCTTCCATCTGAGGGCTGATGGACGGCCCAGGCTCCGCCTCTGTCTATCTTTGTGACAGCGCCATTCCCTTTTCCCCCTCGGAGCTCTCAGGTTGCCTTGATGCTGACCCTGACTCCCACGTCTCCTCCCCCTGATTTGACTGCTGGAGGGGTCGGCGGCCGATAGGCCACAACAAATCCACAGGCTTCTCCAGTGGATCGAGATCTTGTAGGTCAGCGGCCTCAAATCTTTCGGGTACCAGGGACCGTTTCTGCAGAGAGTGATTTTTCCGTGGCCTGGAGGGGGTGTGGTTTCACATGCTGCCTGGCTCCCACGGATGGGGCTTCACTTGTTTGTGTGGCCCGATTTCTGGCATGCTGTTCTGTCCCCGTCTCACACACGCACACAAACAGTCAGCCAGGAGTTAATAAAACCAGCAGTCAGGAATTCCTTTGAGATAACAGAATTGGCAGCAACCCAGTAGCTACCTGTCAGAAACTTTACTCACAAAGGGAGGTTTTTCTCCTCCGTCCGATAAACCAAAATAAGTCCACAAAGCCAAAGAATTGTCAAGTCCAGTCCATAATAAATCCAAGGAGGGCATATAACGAAGTTCCAGAAACGCAGTATGACTTGCTAGCTTTTCAGTTTTGTCCGTCACAAGGCCTGAATGGCCACCACACCCCCTTTTATCCCCTGTGGGGTGTGGTCCAGTGACTCAGCTTAATATCTGGCACGCCTCCTTCTCTGCTGTGCGTGCTTGTCTTTCCGACGCTGTCGGGGATCCAGCCAAGACTCATCTCCGTCACTGTCTAACTGCGGCTGCTCGGAAGTGCCTGTCTCCTGGCTTATCTCTTGACCTTCGGAGGACACCTGAGGCATTGCCAGAGAGGAGGGTCCTGGAGAGGGAGGCCTTGCCAACTCCTCTCCTTCACTTTCGGAGTCTTCTCCCTCTGATAAGACGGGCTCGGGGGTCGGAGTCACAACACATGCCGTGGCCCGGTGCTGGTCCATGGACCTGGGGTTGTGGACCCCTATTGTAGGAGAACAGCAGGCAGAACTGAGGGCAGAGTTAAATGCGTCATTAGCTTGGAGTCCTTACATTGCCACAAATGGCCTAAGACCAACCCCTCCTGAATTCCCTTGACCCTTATCTTGGGCCAATAAGTGTTGAACGTTAGTTGACTAGAAATCTTTTGTGCTGCAACTTGACGGATGGTCCCAATCCTTTGCGCCTGACAGATCTTACACAATGGGATCAGTGAAATGCCGCAAGATTCGTTAATCGTGTTCCTGAGATCTCTCATCAGATTTTGATGACCTTGGAATATTTTCTCCATAAAAAAAAAATACACATTTGAAAAAGTAATTTTGCCGATCCAAAAATATTATTTAAGGGAGTGGTGGCCTAGAGGTGGAGCTCTCACCTCACGATTGGGAGGCTGTGAGTTCGATTCTAGGGAGCGGCAGACATTTCTCTCTCTGGGCACAATAAGTAATTATCTGCTGCGAACTCTGCATTGGCAACAGGAAGGGCATCCGGCCAATAAACACTCAGCTCCATTCAGTTGCCCCGATTCCACCCCGATGTAAGGGATTACGGGGTCATTAAAAGCCCCCCCCCCCCCAAAAATATTTAAGGCTATTATAGGTCTGGCAGCTCCTGCAGGCAAGCCTAGGGAAATCTAACAGCCTGGATAGAAATATTTATATATTTTGCTTCTATGAGTATTTTTTTTAAAAAATTGAAACACTTTTTAATTTATTTATCTATTTTTTTTGCATTAGAAATCTCCTTTTGATTAGAACACATACAAAAAGTGGCGCACACAAATACACATAAAAAGAGAAACCAGGGTTCAATTTTCTTGTTTACAGAGAAAGGAAAATTGGAAGGAAAATCTCTCTAAGAATGAGTCTGTTAATGGGAGCTGATAAAACACAGCCTATGGATCAAGTACCGTATTTCTCAGAGTATAAGACACACTTTTTCCCCCCCTAAAAGAGGGTCAAAATTTGGGTGAGTTTTATACACCGAATATAGCCCTGCCCACCTGCTGGCCCCCACCCTTTGGCCTCTGCCTCCCAGCAATTTACCTCCTTGCAGCAAACCGCCCGTTTCAGCTTCAGCACAACCTGATTAGCACAAGCAGCTGATTGTCGGTTGGATCGGCTTCCCGACCCTCAGCTGTTTCAGGCTGCAGGGATTGCCATTGCCTATTGCCATTTGGGCCTCGGCTGTTTGCTGCAAGGAGGCAAATTGCTGGGAGGCAGAGGCAGATTTTTTTTTCTTGTTTTCCTCCCCAAAAAAGGTAGGTGCGTCTCATAGTCCGGAGCGTCTTATACTCCGAAAAATACAGTAGCCATATTTTTTGGAACGATGATTGTAAATGAATCCCCTTGTTGCATGTTAAACCCATCACATGATTTGCTCATTAGCTAAACTACAATTGTCTGAATTGGCACAACGCTTTCAGCCGTAAAACTGCATTTTAAAACTCTAACGGTTGCGTGTACAGAATGGACCCTGTCAGATCCAAAGAAGTCGCATGATGGATTGATCCAATTCTTTAAAGTGGATTTTCGACGGGTACTAAGCAGGGATCGACATCTTATTTTTAGAAATTTCGGTCCCAGAATTTATTTATTTTTTTCATGTTCTTTTGTCATGGAAGGACTCTGTAAGAAGGCAGCTGTCAGCGTTGCAACGCTGGCATAGAGAGAGCAGGGGAGAGCGAAAGATAAACTCTGAAACTTTTGCCTGCAAAATCCCTTTGGAGCTCAGTTGTCGTGGAAATCAGGGGAGGGTGCACATTTCTGAGAAATGACGAGGAAAAGAAGTCTGAAGAATGACTTGGAAGACAGCCAATGAGAAGCAAAGACTTGGGGATCGGAAAGGGAGGAATTGGGAGGCAAAAGGTCAGTCTTGTCCGCGCGGAGTCATGATCCGGTGGCTGAGCTCAATTAAAGAAAGATTTCCTTAAAGATTGGCAGTTTGGAAATTCATTTAATTTTGAGATAGCACCGCAGTCTCACAGCAGCTTTGTCTTAACCTACATATCTTCTCTTTTCCTGAAATCTCCCAGAATGCTCTGGGCTATCACAGTGACAAAGGGCTGCTGTCTTCCTTGGTCAGCTGGATTGTGGCAGGCAACATCACACCTTCCTTCATCGAGGGAAATGCTAATTCCATGCAGGTAAGAAAGCATCCTGCAGTTGATGAGCTAAAGTTTAGCTTGGGGTTAATGGCCCGTTCTGGTAGGAAATGTCCAGGTGGAGACTGAAGGTGGAGTCAAATATGCCATCAGTTTTGAATCTTTACCCACCATAAGAGACCTAAGTTCTTGCCACTGTGAATTCCATTGACTTTTATCTAGCACCAGTTTGCCTTGACCGTTAGTAGATCAGATTCTTGTGCATAGTTACCATGGGATAAATTTTTAGTAACTTTGAACGTAACTCTTTTTTTTTTGTAAAAGTTTTTTATTTTTATTTCTCATAAAACATATATAAATGTACAATCTCTTTAACCATTCTTATCACACATATTATCTTTTGGTTTCCATATTGATTCATTCTTCATCCTAAAACTTTAAAATACATTCGAAGTTGCTCTTCTACCATTCTGTATCTCCCTTCTTCCACAACAACCATTCCTCTCCTTCTCCCCTCTTACCCTTCCCTCCCTTCTTCTATTCTTTTCAACTTTTTCTTTCCTCCTCTCCTTCCCCACCTCTCCTTCCCCTTCCTTTCCCCCACTCCTCCCCTCTTCCTCTCTTTCTAACCCTCTCTCCTACTCTTATTTCCCCTCCCTTTCTTCTCTCTCTCTCTCTTTTCCTCCCTTCTCCTCTCCCCTTCCTACATGTCCCTCTACTCCTCTCTCCCTTCCTTCTCCATTGTTGTGTCCATTTTCAATTCAATATTTTATCAAGATGGTATTCGAGCAACCCCGATTTTATATTTACCCACATTTTCCTTTCAATTTCTTTTCTATTTTGCTGGCTACACATATATCATCCTTAACATACATTTATATAGTACCTCTTTTTTCATTTCCCCCCTCCTTCCCCCTTTTTCATTTACTCAGGTGTCATCTGGATTTCTACTTTTTTTGGTCTTTTCTCTCATTTATTTTTATTCATATTCCTTTTCTAGCCAATCATAAAAATGTCACCATGTCTTGAAATACACCGATTCCTCTTTATTTTTTATTCTTAACGTTAATCTGTTCATTTCTGCACATTCTAAAATTTTCTTTATTATCTCTCCTTCTGATCTGTCCTTTGAACGCGACTCTTCTTTCTGGTTAGTTGAGCCCAATACTTCTTAGCTTATCATAAAACCATCTTCCTCCGTAGACTTAAGATGGTCTTCCAGGACCACGTAGTGGAGACATTGTTGTGCTTTCTCCTAGAATGGGGAGGCAGGGAATGCTACAAGTCTCCTAAAACGGGTTTAGGACGTTTAGACATGGACTCTTGGCTGTGCCTCCTTCGCCCCCAGCCACCCGCCTCAGCCAATTAACAACCAGCTTTCCTCCTCTGCTGGCCCTCCCCCGGCCATTGTCCACAGCCAATGGGCCAATAGCCCTCCGCCCCTCGCCCTTCGTCCCTGCCCATTCGCCCAAACACCATTTGACTTGGGCCTTTGCCTGCACAGGACAAATAGCCTCCAACCAATCGGGTGCCAGGCAGAAGCAATGGGCCGGTGGGGGCAGCCTGTGATGCAAGTTTTTTATTAAAAAAAAAACCTACAGTGGCAGCTCCGCACGTTTCAGGGCCTTGCAGATCTGTCAGTAGGAGCAGATGGAGGGGGAGTAGCAGTCACTGGGGCCACTGGGCGGGCCGGGGGGGGCAGACAGAGGAGAGTGTGTTGTGGGTCACCAGGAAGGGAGGGAGGGCGCCTCAGGGGGGCTTCACAAAGACAGCTTGGCTCGCAACTCAGTCAGCTCCAATGAAAGAAGGGAGGAGGCGAAAGGCCGGTGTGGCTTCTGGTCTTGCAGGCGGGGGTCTAGTGGGGCGCGCAGGCGAATGACAAGGCTGGCACTGCTTCTCCAATTGCAGCTGGGCTGGGGGGGTGCGCGGCAGGCCCCATTCATGCGTGCACATTAGTAGTGGGATTCAACCGGTTCTATCCGGTTTGGGGGAACCGGTAGCGGCGGCTGTGGGAGACTCCGCCCACCCGCCCAGATGTCATCACGTCCCTTTTTTTGATGCTCTACGCATGTGCAGAACGCTCTGCGCATGCGTGGAGGTGGCATGTTCAAGCTCACATTTGCAAACAGGTAGTGAAGGTAAGTAAATACCACCCCTGGTGCACATGAGCGTGTAAAGGCACATGCCCCTCTCCCGCTCTGGGATGCCAACCCAGAAAGGTTGGGGACCTCTGTCCTAAGGAGATCCATCTAACAGGTCCAGGAAGGAGGGCTTTCATCACTGTGGCTGCTCCACTCTGGGCCATCATCCCAGCGGAGATAAGATCAGCTCCCACTTGAGGATATTTTATTTTGCAAGGTGCTAAACATCTGTTTTTGCCAATCGGCCTGGGGGCCTCAAAAACTTATAGTAGAGAAAATGTATATTTGAATATTCATGTAATAACCGCAGCTAGAATTGTATTTGCACAAAACTGAAAAAGTGAAGAGATCCCTCCAGAGGAGAATATGATCAGGAAAATATTAGAATGTGCGGAAATGAATAGATTAACACTGGCAATTAAAGAGAAGGAACAAACTGGTTATTACGCGATACAGGAAACATTTTATCGGTGGTTAGAGGACAAATATAAAAATTGGAAATAAAAGTAGATGAGTAAAATGTAAAAAATTGTTAATAGAGTTAAGCAGATTAAGAAGAGGATGTAAAGTGTTAGTTATTTATTGTATTAGTATGAAGCTAAGAATAGATTAAATAATGAATATGATTGTAAATTTTAACGGTTATTGCACAAATGTTTGTACCCAGACGACACATTGTTTAATGGAAGATGGATTATTTGTACTAAAATACAATAATATATATATATATGTGTGTGTGTGCAGGTCTTTGGTTATTTGGGTTTTCTCCTGCGTAAAATTGGAAGTGTCTTGGCAATGTTTCGATGAAGTCTCATTTGTCATCTCCAGGCTGGTGTTTTCGGCTTCGTGCTTCTAGGAGCAATGTGTGATCGCAGCTGTTTCTTCCTTTTAACTGCCAGTGGGGGTGTGAACTGATTGGGTGGGAGCTTGGCTGTGTTCTGATTGGGTGGAGGTGTGTTCTGATTGGTTGGGGGCTTGGCTGTGCTCTGATTGGCTGGGTGTGTGTTCTGTTTGGGTGGGGGCTTGGTTGTGCTCGGGTTAGTCTGAGTGGCAGGGGGATTATATATATATATATATATAAAGAATGGGATGGAGTCCGTCAAGGGGCTCCTTTGATTGTTGTTACTGGAGTTGAGTGGTGGGAGTTAATTGCTTTTTTGTTGTTTCTATTGGGCTTTCGTCCTTATAAGCTACCCGAAGCCATTAAGGCAGCAAAAGAAATTATTTTAAAATAAATAAATAGACAAGTGTTGCTTTGTAATTTATAGGTTTGGTTTGCCTGGAGTGTCCTGAATATGGAGTCCATATTTGAAGAGGATTCTCAGCTCCGTAGAGTTGTAGTGAGGGAGTTGGTTACCAATTCCGTTTCACCAGACCAGGCTCTGAAGGTAAATCAGAAAATTATTCTTTATTTATATAGTAACATCTCTCAGAACGGTGGCTTCCCTGGCCCACCACCTGACGAATGTGAGATATCGATAAAAGAGAACACTTCTAGCTCAGGGTTGAAATGAGGGATCCTTGGTGCTCTCTGAGCTTGGTTGTTTTCTTTCAGACGTTTTATTACCCAACTTGATAACATCATCAATGCTGGTAAGGAATGGACTTTGCAACGCTCTGCAAAACCCATTCCTTACTAGCAAGTCAAATCCTCAAATCAAAACTGCTTTTTAAAAATAGAGCCCTGGTAGTACAGTGGTCTAAGGCACCCTGTTATTAAGCTGGTTATTAAGACCAGCTGCCTGCAGTTACTGCAGGTTCGAATCTCGCCAAGGCTCAAGGTTGACTCAGCCTTCCATCCTTTCTAAGGTAGGTAAATTGAGGACCCAGATTGTGGGGGCAATAAGCTGACTTTGTATAAATATACAAAAGAATGAAGGCTATTGCTTAGCGCATTGTAAGCCGCCCTGAGTCTCCGGAGAAGGGCGGCATATAAATCAAATTAAAAAAAAAAAATCTTTCTCAAACAAGAAGCCCAAACGGGATCTCCAAATGGAAACAAAACTAAGCGTGTCTTCCACCAAAGTAGTGAGTTTTGGCTTCTCTGCCAATTCCATTAATTTCAAAATCCATTCTTCAGTTGTGGGAATTTTTTTTTTTTTAATTTCATTTATATGCTGCCCTTCTCCAGAGACTCAGGGTGGCTTACAGTGCGTTAAGCAATTTGTGTTCCTTTCCACCTCTGTGCATATAAAAGTCTCCTGAGGCCAGGGTCACGTATGGAAATAACATCCTATGTTTTCTTTCAATCCGCTTATCCATGTTACCTAAAAGAAAAGCTTCTGGTTTCAACTTTACTTTCATTTTTAATACATTTTTCTGACTCAAAACAAACATATCTGATTCCAGTACTTTTTGGCAGAACTTAGATTTCTACCAAACAGGTAAACATTTTAAAATAATTGTACTGTATGTCTGTTTTGGCAAGGCTTCCGAACAATGAAGCTGTGGGAATCAAATGTTATATAAAAATGAATGAATCAATTACTGGAGACCATCTGACCCACCCTTCCTTCCTTCCTTCCTTCCTTCCTTCCTTCCTTCCTTCCTTCCTTCCTCCCTCCCTCCCTCCCTCCCTCCCTCCCTCAATTTCTTCCTTCCTTCCTTCCTTCCTTCCTTCCTTCCTTCCTTCCTTCCTTCCTTCCTTCCTTTCCCCTCCCACCCTCCCTATTGTCCCTCCCTCCCTCATTTCTTCCTCCTTCCCTAATTTCTTCCTCCCTCAATTCCTCCCTCCCTTCCTTTCTTCCTCTCTCTCCCACCCGCCCTATTGTCCCTCCCTCCCTCATTTCTTCCTCCCTCCCTCCTTTCCTTCCCCTCTCCCACCCTCCCTATTGTCCTCCCTCCCTCAATTCCTCCCTCCCTCCCTTCCTTCCCCTCTCTCCCACCCTCTCTATTGTCCCTCCTTCCCTCCCGCTCTCAATTTCTTCCTCCCTCCCTTCTTTCCTTCCCCTCTCACACCCTCTTGTCCCTCCATCCTCCCCCCTCCCTTCTTTCCTCCCTCCCTTGCTCCCTCCCTCCCTCCCTCTCTCTCTCCCACCTTCCTTCTTTTTTCCTTCCCTCCCTCCTACCCACAGAAAGCTCAGGCCCATCTGAAGCTGCCGATCGTGCCTTCTCTCCAGCGGCTGCTGATTTACCGATGGGCTCACCAAGCCCTAAGCACTCCAGTGGATCACCCTCTCCTTCCTCTTATTTGCCAAAAGTTCTTCCTTCTCTATTTGCAGCGCCCGGGATTGCAGGATGGGTGAGTGAATGTTGGTTAACGGTGGGAGATTTTGTTGAATTGTGTGAGTTGTTTTGAATGCCGAAAGCCCCCTGTTCAAATGGGCTAGTCTTCTAGTTTCAAGAGAGTGCAGACTATAGGAGCCAGTTTGATCTAGTAGTTAAAGCTTCGGGATAGAAACCAGGAGACTGGGAGTTCTAGTCCTGCCTTAGCCATCAAAGCCAGCTGTATAACTTTGGGTCAGTCACCAGGAGACTGGGAGTTCTAGTTCCATCTTAGGCATCAAAGCTGGCTGGATGACTTTGGGTCGGTCACCAGGAGATGGGAGTTCTAGTCCTGCCCTAAGCACAAAATCCAGCTAGGTGACTTTAGGCCAGTCACTAGTTCTGCCTTAGGCATCAAAGCCAGCTGTATAGGCCAATCACTAGGAGACTGTGAGTTCTAGTCCTGCCTTAATCACAAAATCCAGCTAGGTGACTTTGGGCCAATCACTAGGAGACTGTGAGTTCTAGTCCTGCTCTAGGCATCAAAGCCAGCTGTATGACTTTGGTCCAGTTACCAGGAGATTGTGAGTTCTAATCTTGCCTTAGGCACAAACTCCAGCTAGGTGACTTTGGTCCAGTCACCAGGAGATTGTGAGTTCTAGTCCCACTTTAGCCATGAATGCCAGCTGGGTGAGTTTGGACTAGTCCCTCTCTCTCAGCCCAACTCACACGATAGTGTTGTTGCTGCGAAAATAGAGGGAAGATGCATTAGATTATTTTTGCTGCCTTGAGTTATTTATCAAAATAACAAAGACAGGATACAGAAATCTAAATAAAATAAAATGTGGGAAAGGTCTCCATATAGGCCCATATGTCCTAGAGAACCCCCCAACTGGTGAAAATTTCAAAGAAGTTTAAAATATGTAGTTGTTTTTTTTTTTTTATTAATGTTTGTAAGAACGGGAAAGAAAAGCCGCAGAAGCACACCGTTAATTACCGTATTTTTCGGACTATAAGGCGCACCTAGATTTAGAGGAGGAAAACAGGAAAAAAACAACAACAGTTTTTGGCCTCTGCACATCCTGTTTTCGCCCTCCCCGGCCCCCAGAAGCACTCCACGTGTCCTGTTTTTGCCAAAAACTGCCCCGTTTTTTGCGTGCAAAGTGTTTCTGGGGGCCAAGGAGGGCGAAAACAGGATGTGCGGTGGGTTCGGGAGGCCAAAAATGGGCCTATATTTGGTCTATAAGACGCACAGACATTTCTACCCCCTTTTGGGGGTGGAGTGCGTCTTATAGTCCAAAAAATACGATACACACCAGGAACACTAAAATCAGTTGGTTTGTGTTGCTTATAAACGACAGGATTTCTGCTTTTTAAGGCTACCCAAAGACGGCTGCATCGGGAAGAAGTTTTTCCAGAGCCCTGCTCACCTCAGCCTGTTGAACGACCTGAAACAGCATCTGATTGAGGCCACTGACTTCCACCATTCAGCTAGCAAAATGCTCCAGTTGGACAGCCCAGCCGGTGGAAGCGAAAAACCAACAGCGAAAGGCTTCAGCAAGGCCAATTATGTGACTTTCCTAGAGCTTCACAAGAACCTGGTCAGGTAACTTCAGATGGCCTTCAGGCTCACTGTTTCCCCAAGGAGCTCTGCTAACATGGGGAGTCCAAGATCCATGGATGCATGGAGGTTGGGTGGAGATCCCCCAAGATCTGTCCTGAATTGTCCCAAGCCAATGTAGCCTTTTTAAAAAAAAATTTTTAAAATTTGATTTATATGCTGCCCTTCTCCGGAGACTCAGGGCGGCTTACAATGTGCTAAGCAATAGCCTTCATACTTTTGTATATTTATACAAAGTCAGCTTATTGCCCCCACAAACTGGGTCCTCATTTCACCTACCTTTGAAAGGATGGAAGGCTGAGTCAACCTTGAGCCTGGTAAGATTCGAACCTGCAGTAATTGCAGGCAGCTGTGTTAATAACAGGGTGCTTTAGACCACTGTACTACCAAGGCTTTACCAGTATCATCAGTATCAGCTGCACTGGCTCCCTGTAGTCTTCCGGGTGCGCTTCAAGGTCTTAGTTACCACCTTTAGAGCGCTCCATGGCTTAGGACCGGGGTACTTACGAGACCGCCTTCTGCCACCAATAGCCTCTCACCGCCCAGTACGCTCCCACAGAGAGGGGCTTCTCAGGATGCCGTCAGCCAAACAGTGTCGACTGGCGGCCCCCAGGGGGAGAGCCTTTTCTGTGAGGGCACCCACCATCTGGAACGAGCTCCCCCCAGAGATACAGAAGATTCCGGATCTGCGCACTTTCCGCCGTGCCCTCAAAACATTCCTGTTTCAGCAGGCCGGCCTGGCCTAACTTTCCCTTTATATTGCTTTTTTGATTTTATTTTAAAGTGGGATGTCTTGAATTATCTAGGACCAGAGTGTTTAGTATATTTTAATTGGTTTTTTATTAACGTTTGTATTACATGTATTTTTATCGTTCGCTGTTCACCGCCCTGAGTCCCTTAGGAATAGGGCGGTATATAAATTTAATAAATAAATAATAAATAAATAAATAAATAAATCATGGATTTTTTAAAAAAAAATCAGGACAAAGGATACAAATATTACCAGATCATATATATAGAGAGAGACTGAGTAGTGTGGTGGCCTAGAAGTGGAGCTAAGTGTGCTAAGCCTTGAGGATGAAGTGATTCCATTGTGGGCAAGCCCAACCTGCTTGTTTGAGGAACCCCTATCAGGCTTCTGAGGACCTTCTTGCAGGGTGGATTTGATTTAAATCAAGTTGATTTAAATCATGATTTAAATCACTAGTAAAAAGGCTTGATTTAAAACAACTTGGTTTAAATCATGATTTTTAAAGAGCAACTGTCATCTCTGTAGCGGTTGTAGCAGCTCTGCAGCGGCTCCTCCTCTGACCAGCCATTGACTCACCGACCGTCCCATTCACTTTAATGGGACGGCTGGTGATGCAGCAGTGAGACAACAAGGTGAGGGACGTGGCGGGCAGCAGGTGAGTGGATGCCCGCTAACAGGTGCTGCCATGATGGATCTGAAACAACAGGCGCTCTTTAAACATAAGGACTCATTCTTGCTGCTAGCTTAGAAGCTTTAATGTTATTATTGGCAAACAAAAATGAAGGTTTCCTATTTAGCTTGCAGAGCTTGGATTCATTGAATGAGTTGACCCAAAACGTAAATATTGCAGAATCTACAGCCTCATGCTACATAACTAAGCTCCATTTCACGCTGAATAAACTAAATTATTAATGTATCTTGAATAGAAAACTATCTTTAGGTAGATTTTTTACTCCAAAAGCATTTTATTAAGATATCATTCATTGGCATCCTTCAGTTTCAAGAGACTATGGTATTGTGCTCTGGAAAGAGGTCCTAAAACAGCATCTGGTTTGACTAAAAAGGCCAGTTCGAGAGTGGCAATCCCTTCCATGCTGAGGGCAGATATATTCTGTCCCCTGCCCAGCCCCCAGATTTTGCTGGTTCCAGGACTGTCTCTTTGCCTCAAGTGTCTCTTCGAATTGGAGAGGGCCATGCTGCGTCTTTAGCCTCCAAGCTGAATGATCAGAGGTGAAGGTTTCCCAGTTGTTAATGTCCATTCCTAGGGCCTTTAGGTCCCTCTTGCAGATATCATTATTATTATTTTATTTATTATTATTTTATTAGTCATATTTCTATGCTGCCCACTCTCCGAGGACTCTGAGCAGCTTACACCAAAGACAGTATACTAAATAGCATATTGCCCCCAACAATCTGGGTCCTCCTCGGAAGGATGGAAGGCTGAGTCAACCTTGAGCCGGTGAGATTTGATCCGCTGATCTGCTGAACTAGCAGTCAGCTGAAGTAGCTGCAGTACTGCACTCTAACCACTGCGCCACCTCGGCTCATTAAGATAGATTTGATAAAAAAACAAAACAAAACTGATTTAAATTAAAAAAAAATCCGATTTGAATTTTTAAAAATCCGATTTCTTTTTTTTTTTGAAAAAAACAAACCATCAATTTTTATCCACCCTGCCTTCTTGGCTTCTTGATTGATGCTCAGATAATTTATGAAACTGGAGATGCCATAGTTAGAAAGCAATTGGGATTTAGCCTGGTCCTTTTGTGTTTATTTTGAGCCGCATACATACCGTCTGAAGATGCTTGTGTGCGTTACGTAACAACCAAAAAGCGAGCTCCTGCTTCAAACCTTCTGTATTGGATATCTTTTCAGGCTTTTTTCCACCTTTGTTCTGTGGCTGGAAGAAGAAAGGTTTCAGAAAGGAGACACCTATATTCCCTCTTTGTCCAAGCAATACGATGGGCATCGGCTTGCCAAGATCATGCAGAACCAGCAGGTAAAAAAGTACGGATCGGTTGGGTTTAGGCCAGTGATGGTTAACCTTTTTGGTGCCGAGTGCCAAAAGCGCACGTGTGCACAAATGCACTAACCCCCAAAATGCATTGCGAGCGCCCCCCACGCACAGGCCCCGCCCCGTGCATGCACATTCCACCCTACGTGCATGCCCCCTGCCCCCTGCCCCATTTGGGCTTCCAGGTTGGTGCGGTAGCCTTCCAGGCACAAAATGGGGGAGGGGGGCGCATGCTCAAACCCCCAAAATGCAATGCAAGCAGCCCCCGCGCATGCACGCGCATGTCCCCTACCTTCTGTGCATGCGCGGCAGAGACTCAAAGACCAGCTGGCTGGTGGGTAGTCTGCACGTATGCGTGGTGGAGCTGGACTGGGGAGATGGCTGGCGTGCCCGCAGAGAGGGCTCTGTGTGCCACCTGTGGCACGCATGCCATAGGGTCACCATCACGGCAGTGGTGGGTTCCTCCCGGTTCGGTCCGGTTCGGCCGAGCCGGTAGCGGTGATGATATGACGTCACCGAACCGGTTCTCCCCCCCGCCCTCCCCCCCCAACGTTATTCTTACCTTTTATTTGGTCCCACCCCCAATCTATTGCTGCCTCCTGAGTCCCAGCTGATGGCTAGAGGGAAAAAAACTGTTTAAACTCTTGCCGCGGGGCTTCAAAGGGCCGCCCTACAGCTGATCAGTGTTAAAAGCAAACAAATGAGTCGGGTCGTAAGTGCGAGGACTGGTCGTAAGTGCGAGGACCTTCCAGAAATGACTCTGACCAGCTAGCCATGCCCACCTAGTCACATGACCTCCAAGCCACACCCATAAAATAAGCCACGCCCACAGAACCGGTAGTAAAAAAAATTAGAACCCACCCCTGCATCACAGGGTTTAGGCTGTGAAAGGATGATTCATTACAGGCAGTCCTGTAGACTTAACGACCACAATTGAATCTAAAATTTCTGTTGCTAAGCGGAACATTTGTTGAGTTTGGCCCCATTTTTACGACCTTCCTTGCCATAATTGTTAAGTGAATCACTGCAGTTGTTAAGTTAGTCACACGGTTGTTAAAAGAATCTGGCTTCCCCATTGACTTTGCTTGTCACAAAAGGAGATCACGTGATCTCGGGACACCGCGACCGTCATAAATACAACTCAGTTGCCAAGCGTCTGCATTTTGACCACGTGACCGTGGGGATGCCGCAACGGTCATAAGGGTGAGAAACGGTCATAAGTCACTTTTTTTCCAGTGCCGTTGTAACTTCGAACATTCACTAAACGGAGTGTTGTAAGTGTTGTATTTCATACCTCTTTGGGACACCTCTGAAACCTACCTTGGAATACCACACTTGAGTTCTGCATACAGTTCTTGTTGTGGCCCGTCAGTGGCCTGTGCAGTTAGTAGCTGATTCGGACAGCGAGGAGGCTGGTGTGGTGCTCCGCCAGCAGCCTGTGCACAATGAGGAGGCTGGAGAAGATGTGGTGCCAGAGGCGGGGATTCAGCCAGGGCCTTCAGAACCTCCAGAAGCTCCTTTAAGTGAAGAGGACAAAAAGGAGGAGCCTCTTCTCGATGCACGGGTGCGCAGAGCTGCCAAAAGGCAGGAGTGGCTCCTTAGGAGGAGGTCTCCTCGAGAGTAAGGCCTGGGGCTAATTGGCCACTCCCTTAGCCTATTTAAGGAAGAATGCTGACTGAAGCAATTTGCAGGGAACAACTTAGTTCACATACCTTTGTGTCTTGATTCCAGAAACGTTTGATTCGGCTATTGTTTCTCTCTTGTCAGTTTTCCTGCAAATTGCTTCTGGGCATTCTGCTGACTACAGTAAGATTACAATTATCTGAAATACTGTACCTCAGAACTGAGTTATTATTCTCTGAATCCTTGTCTGCTGTTAATGTAGTTAAATTAACAGCCCTTGTTCAGAAAAGACTGATTTAAACTGTACTTGTGTTCGAACAACTACTAAGAAGGCTCATTAGTAGTCCTTAATTAGTAAACTAAGGTTTGCACGGACTTTGTGTGTGCTGCGTTCTTTGGGGTTCGTAGCTGGGGCAGAACAGTTCTGGTCACAAAAAAGATGTTGAGACCGTAGAACCATGATGGTGAACCTATGGCAAGTGTGTCACAGGTGGCACACAGAGCCCTTTCTGTGGGCACGTGCACTGTCGCCCGCTGCTCTTCTGGTTTCTGGCCGGCCAGCTGGTCTTCGTGGGTGCCGGAGCACCAGAAAACGGTCTGAAAACAGGCCAAAAAACGCCCAAAAAGCAGGCTGGCTTTCGGCCCATTTTCTGGGTTATTTTCTGGCCGTTTTTGGGCCTTTTTCAGGCCATTTTCTGAAAAACAGCCTGAAAATGCCCCCCCAAATGGCCTGAAAACGGCTCAAAAAACGGCCCGGAAAACAGCCCGAAAAACAGTTTGAAAACGGCCCCAAAATTGGGCAAGAAACAGGCATGTGCATGCTGGCCAGCTGGTCTTCGGGTTTCTGGCGTTCCGGCCCATGCACATGCACACACATATATGTGCATTATGGTTTGGGCACTCGGTGCCGAAAAGGTTCGCCATCACTGCTCCTAGAAAGTGAACAGAGAACAGCAACAATGATCAGGGATCTGTAGGCTAAATTGTATGACGAACAATTGAGAGAGCTAGATCACAGAGAAGTGATGTCCTAAGTCACTTAATTCAGTGCTGGTGTAAGTTCAAATGGTCCCAAAATGAATACCTGTAAGTGGAGGAGTCCTAGTCACAGGTGCCAGCGGCTGCTCAGTTCTGACTTCACTGTGGATTTGACAAATCATTTTGAATGATGCAGAAGTGTGATTGCACTTGTTCAAGTGGGGTGGCCCCCGACTTTCTTTCCTTCCGTCACGAGCTGAAGACGTGGCTCTTCCTCCAATTAAACTGATCCGTTTGGGGGCACACTGGTATAATTTTAAATCGTTTTTTAATTGGGTTACTGATTTTAATTTTGTATTGTATTGTGATTTGTATTGAAGTTGTCATTTTGTAAGCCGCCTTGAGTCCCTAGGGAGAAAGGCGGCATATAAATCGCAATAAATAAAATAAATAAATAAAATCTCAAGGCTTCCATTTCAATTGGCATCCATGCTACTTGGGAGCTACCCCAATGGGGGTGGGGTTAAAGCAGGGATGAAATGCTCCCGGTTCGGACTGGATCGCCCGATCCGGTAGCGATGGAGGTGGGTGGTTCGGAGAACTGGTAGCAAAAATCCCTGCCCCTCCCTCATGCCCAGGTGAGCCGCACAGTCATCAGAGGCTTTTTTTTTACTTTTAAAAGCACTTTTTCTGCAACCTCTTCGGCGGAAAAAATGGTTTTAAAAGTAAAAAAGAAAAGCCTCTGATGATCACGCGGCTCAGCTGGGATCGTCAGAGGCATTTAAAAGAAAAAAAGCCTCTGTTGATCAGGCAACTCAGCTGGGATCGTCAGAGCCTTTTGAAAGCATTTTTTTTACAACCTCTTCGAAGAGGTTGTAGAAAAAATGGTTTTAAAAGTTAAAAAAAAAATTGGCCACGCCCACCCAGTCACATTACCTCCCCCCCACACCAAGCCACGCCCACAGAACCGGTAGTAACAAATTTTAGATTTCACCACTGGGTTAAAGTGAGTGCTTTAATCGATCTTGCTGGCAATAATAATCTCTGGTCTTCCTTACTGGTGTTTCCTGCTGTGTCTTCCCTGCTGCTGGCTTGAAGGATCTCTGGATGGAATTTGTCAACGTTCAGCAGATTCAGTGTGAATTCCAGGAAGCCTTAGACCTCTGGTTCCAAGTCAGAGTGGGACCCCTTCCTGCCTCCAGTGCTTCTCCAGTGCAGACAGACTTTACGGATCCTTTGTTAGGTATTTCATTCGTTCATTTGTTCGTTCATTCATTCATTCATTCATTCATCCATAAAATTTATTTGGCTGCCCAACTCGCTTTTGGCGATTCTAGGTGGCTTACAGAAATAAAGCCTCAATAAAAGTAATAACAGCTGCAGAACTAAAAGATTTGGTTCGCTCCATGGGAAGACGTTGTAAGGCCATAATTCATGCTAAAGGTGACCCAACGAAGTATTAACTGACATGGTGATAATTTTTGTATATCTCGTTTTTTCACTTTCCTTCTTTATACTGTAACTGCTTTATACTGTAATGGCAAATCCTTCATAAAAGTGATTGCATTACATTCTTGATTAAATTATCTTTCCATTGATATATAATTTTATGGTACTACTCCCCAAAAAACTGGTCCTATTAGCTAGTTTTAGAAAATACACTTTTCCCAAAGGTTTCTACAATTTTGGCCACTGTTGTAGATGGAGCTTAAGAGAGGAGACCCTTAACATAACCTGCCTCTCTGCTCTGGTGAGTTGGGTACATGTAACTGGTCTTTTAAATAGCCTGGTCCTAGGTAGGATGATAACGTTTCTATTATTTGGAAAACGTGGGAGCTTGTACATTTATACTTTCCTCCCTGCCTTCCTGCTGCGGTGGATCAGATAGACGTAACTGGGAAAAGATGACCCTTCAAATAATAATAGAAAGTCATGTATTTGGTGTTGTCGGTTCTTGAAGGTTTTGCAAAAGAGCTTTGGGGCACGTGGCCCTCATCGTGATTATTGTAGCCCACTTTTATTACATGTTTGTCAGATCACCCTCCAGGAAAGTAGAGTAGGGTAGGGTAGGGTAAGATAGGAATAGGGAATAGGGAATAGAATAGAATAGAATAGAATAGAATAGAATAGAATAGAATAGACCCAAAAAGCAGGCTGGCTTTTGGCCCATTTTCTGGCCCATTTCCTGGCCGTTTTTGGGCCTTTTTCAGGCCATTTTCCGAAAAACAGCCTGAAAATGCCCCCCAAAACGGCCTGAAAACAGCCCAAAAAACGCCCAAAAAGCAGGCTGGCTTTTGGCCCATTTTCTGGCCCATTTCCTGGCCGTTTTTGGGCCTTTTTCAGGCCATTTTCTGAAAAGCAGCCTGAAAATGCCCCCCAAAACGGCCTGAAAACAGCCCAAAAAACGCCCAAAAAGCAGGCTGGCTTTCGGCCCATTTTCTGGGCCATTTTCTGGCCGTTTTTGGGCCTTTTTCAGGCCATTTTCTGAAAAACAGCCTGAAAATGCCCCCCAAAATGGCCTGAAAACAGCCCAAAAAACGCCCAAAAAGCAGGCTGGCTTTTGGCCCATTTTCTGGGCCATTTCCTGGCCGTTTTTGGGCCTTTTTCAGGCCATTTTCCGAAAAACAGCCTGAAAATGCCCCCCAAAACGCCCTGAAAACAGCCCAAAAAAACGCCCAAAAAGCAGGCTGGCTTTCGGCCCATTTTCCGGGTTATTTTCTGGCCGTTTTTGGCCTTTTTCAGGCCATTTTCTGAAAAACAGCCTGAAAATGCCCCCCAAAACGGCCTGAAAACGGCTCAAAAAACGGCCCGGAAAACAGCCCGAAAAACAGTTTGAAAACGGCCCCAAAATCGGGCAAGAAACAGGCATGTGCATGCCGGCCAGCTGGTCTTCAGGTTTCTGGCGTTCCGGCCCACACACATGCACACACATATATGTGCATTCTGGTTTGGGCACTCGGTGCCAAAAAGATTCACCATCACTGCTAGAAAGTGAACAGAGAACAGCAACAATGATCAGGGATCTGTAGGCTAAATTGTATGACGAACGATTGAGAGAGCTAGATCACTGAGAAGTAATGTCCTAAGTCACTTTATTCAGTGCTGGTGTAAATTCAAATGGTCCCAAAATGAATACCTGTAAGTGGAGGAGTCCTAGTCACAGGTTCCAGCGGCGCTGCTCAATTCTGACTTCACTGTGGATTTGACAAATTATTTTGAATAATCTGGAATGAGCTCCCCCCGGAGATACGGAGGATCCCGGATCTACGCACCTTCTGCCGCACTCTCAAGACCTTTTTATTTCACCAGGCTGGTCTGGCCTAACCTCTCCCATTCTCTTTTTAATGTAAATTTTAATGTAAATTTTAATTTGTTCTTAACCTGGGGTTTTAAATTTGTCTTGGGCTAAATTGATTTAATTCGATTTTACTTCTGCTCTTAAGTTTTTGTATTCTATGTGTTTTATATTGTGCCTGTTCACCACCCTGAGTCCTTCGGGAGTAGGGTGGTATATAAATGAAATGTAATGAATGACGCAGAAGTGTGATTGCACTTGTTCAAGTGGGGTGGGTGGATCTCAAGGCTTCCATTTCAATTGGCATCCATGGTACTTGGGAGCTACCCCAGTGGGGGTGGGGTTAAAGCAGGGGTGAAATGCTCCTGGTTCGGATCGGATCGCCCGATCCGGTAGCTATGGAGGTGGGTGGTTCGGAGAACTGGTAGCAAAAATTCCTGGCCCCACCCCCCTAAGCCCAGCTGAGCCGCACAATCATCAGAGGCTTTTTTTTTTTTTTTTATTGAAAAAGTTTTTCAAATACAAGTTTTTCCCCCTTTTCCTCCCTTCTTCCCCAACCCGCCCTCACCACCCATCCCCCCCTGTGACTTCTTCTTCACAACAATAAGCTAATTCATAATTAATTACATAATATTTTACCATGCCCTTACTCACTCCTCAAAGTACTGACCCTTAGCATAATATTCTTATAACTCCGCTTTTCTCCGCTTTTCACAATCTACCCTTTTTCTCCTCCCCCAAACTTATAAAATATTATTATTATTACAACAACATAACTTTTACTTTTATATATATTAATTTAACATTTCAAAGCAGCCTTCTCCAAATTTATTCAGTTCTATCCAATTCTTCCACTCCCCAAAATATATGACTTAAAAATCCTTTTTCTTAAACTAATCAATCACTAAACTAGCCTATTTCAACCCAGTTTCCTGCAAGATTACCATGCACTACAATTCTAAATATAATCCACTGCCCACTCTGCTGAAATATACATATGTCTATATATACATTCCATTTTATAAAAAGAGAAAAGACAATAACTTTAAATTTATAATTCATTTAGTATCTTCTTTGATGTCTTTCCACTAGATTGTTAAATCCGTCATCCATAATAGGGTAACATAGCATCCTGGTGCAACAGTTTATTCAAAATCTTCAGTCATCTTCTGCCCCCATCAATAAAGAGGCTTTTTTTTTTTACTTTTAAAAGCATTTTTTCTACAACCTCTTTGGCCGAAAAAATGCTTTTAATAGTAAAAAAAAAAAGCCTCTGATGATCGCGCGGCTCAGCTGGGATCGCCAAGGCTTTTAAAAGAAAAAAAGCCTCTGCTGATCAGGCAACTCAACTGGGATCGTCAGAGGCATTTAAAAGAAAAAAAGCCTCTGCTGATCAGGCAACTCAGCTGGGATCGTCAGAGGCATTTAAAAGAAAAAAAGCCTCTGTTGATCAGGCAACTCAGCTGGGATCGTCAGAGCCTTTTGAAAGCATTTTTTTTACAACCTCTTCGCCGAAGAGGTTGTAGAAAAAATGGTTTTAAAAGTTAAAAAAAAAAAATTGGCCACGCCCACCCAGTCACATTACCTCCCCCCCACACCAAGCCACGCCCACAGAACCGGTAGTAACAAATTTTAGATTTCACCACTGGGTTAAAGTGAGTGCTTTAATCGATCTTGCTGGCAATAATAATCTCTGGTCTTCCTTACTGGTGTTTCCTGCTGTGTCTTCCCTGCTGCTGGCTTGAAGGATCTCTGGATGGAATTTGTCAACGTTCAGCAGATTCAGTGTGAATTCCAGGAAGCCTTAGACCTCTGGTTCCAAGTCAGAGTGGGACCCCTTCCTGCCTCCAGTGCTTCTCCAGTGCAGACAGACTTTACGGATCCTTTGTTAGGTATTTCATTCGTTCATTTGTTCGTTCATTCATTCATTCATTCATTCATCCATAAAATTTATTTGGCTGCCCAACTCGCTTTTGGCGATTCTAGGTGGCTTACAGAAATAAAGCCTCAATAAAAGTAATAACAGCTGCAGAACTAAAAGATTTGGTTCGCTCCATGGGAAGACGTTGTAAGGCCATAATTCATGCTAAAGGTGACCCAACGAAGTATTAACTGACATGGTGATAATTTTTGTATATCTCGTTTTTTCACTTTCCTTCTTTATACTGTAACTGCTTTATACTGTAATGGCAAATCCTTCATAAAAGTGATTGCATTACATTCTTGATTAAATTATCTTTCCATTGATATATAATTTTATGGTACTACTCCCCAAAAAACTGGTCCTATTAGCTAGTTTTAGAAAATACACTTTTCCCAAAGGTTTCTACAATTTTGGCCACTGTTGTAGATGGAGCTTAAGAGAGGAGACCCTTAACATAAACCTGCCTCTCTGCTCTGGTGAGTTGGGTACATGTAACTGGTCTTTTAAATAGCCTGGTCCTAGGTAGGATGATAACGTTTCTATTATTTGGAAAACGTGGGAGCTTGTACATTTATACTTTCCTCCCTGCCTTCCTGCTGCGGTGGATCAGATAGACGTAACTGGGAAAAGATGACCCTTCAAATAATAATAGAAAGTCATGTATTTGGTGTTGTCGGTTCTTGAAGGTTTTGCAAAAGAGCTTTGGGGCACGTGGCCCTCATCGTGATTATTGTAGCCCACTTTTATTACATGTTTGTCAGATCACCCTCCAGGAAAGTAGAGTAGGGTAGGGTAGGGTAAGATAGGAATAGGGAATAGGGAATAGAATTAGAATAGAATAGAATAGAATAGAATAGAATAGAATAGAATAGAATAAGAAAATGGAATGGAATGGAATGGAATAGAATAGAATAGAATAGAATAGAATAGAATAGAATAGAATAGAATAGAATAGAATAGAATAGAATAGAATAGAAAATATGGAGTGGAGTGGAGTGGGATGGGATGGGATGGGATGGGATGGAATAGACTAGACTAGACTAGACTAGAATAGAATAGAATAGAATAGAATAGAAAATATGGAGTGGAGTGGAATGGAATGGAGTGGAATAGAATAGAATAGAATAGAATAGAATAGAATAGAATAGAATAGAATAGAATAGAATAGAATAGAATAGAAAATATGGAGTGGAATGGAGTGGGATGGGATGGGATGGGATGGGATGGAATAGAATAGAATAGAATAGAATAGAATAGAATAGAATAGAAAATATGGAGTGGAGTGGGATGGGATGGAATGGAATGGAATGGAATGGAATAGAATAGAATAGAATAGAAAATGTGGAGTGGAATGGAATGGAATGGAATGGAATGGAATGGAATGGAATGGAATGGAATAGAATAGAATAGAATAGAATAGAATAGAATAGAATAGAATAGAATAGAATAGAATAGAATAGAATAGAATAGAATAGAATAATGGAATGGAATGGAATAGAATAGAATAGAATAGAATAGAATAGAATAGAATAGAAAGAATAGAATAGAATAGAATAGAATAGAATAGAATAGAATAGAATAGAATAGAATTCTTTATTGGCCAAGTGTGATTGGACACACAAGGAATCTGTCTTGGTGCATATGCATTAGTATTAGATTCAAATGTTGCTGCACTGATAAATTAGATGGCCTGTTGTTTGTGGGGAACAATGTGATTTCTGATTCAACTTTTTCATTTGGTAATAATAACCTCTGTTTTCAACCTTGGTCATTTTAAGACGGGAGGACTTCAACTCCCAGAATTCCCCAGCCAGCAATTGAGGTCTACCCATCTTTAAATGCCCAAGCTTGATAAACACTGTTCCAGGCTATTGTCCCAAAAGTGCTTTTTTTAAAAGGCAACTGGGCTTTGTTTTTACTTGAAGATGTTTTGCTTCTCATCCAAGAAGCTTCTTCAGTTCTGACAATGAATGGTATAGAATGGATTTATTTATTTATTTATTAATCAAATTTGTATTCCTTGCCGTCATTTGGTCGTCGGCATTCTTTCTGAGAGCCATTGAGACCACTTGAAGCTTTATCTGTGGCCTCAGGATCACCTGAATAGTGCAAATGGAGGTGGAACCTTCTAGGAACTGCTCAAAGGACCATGTTGTGAAACAGGAGATGGGATGGTGGCGTATCCCTCCCCCTTTTTTGAGGGAGGGCTGTTCAGTCTTAATGTAGATGGCCTCTTTGACCCTTCTTTCAAACCACTGATCCTCTCTGTCCAGAATGTGAAGATGGTTGAATGTGGACTCAACCCTGACCTCCATAACTGAGAATCTCCATGGATATTCCTTGGAGTCCATGGCCACACTTGGAATATTGCATTCAGTTTTGGTCGCCATGATGTAAAAAAGATGTGGAGACTCTGGAAAGACTGCAGAGAAGAGCCACAAAGATGATTTGGGGACTGGAGGCTAAAACATATGAAGAATGGTTGCAGGAACTGGGTATGTCTAGTTTGATGAAGAGAAGGACTAGGGGAGACATGATAGCAGTCTTCCTATATCTCAGGGGCTGCCCCAAAGAAGAGGGGGTCAAACTATTCTTCAAAGCACCTGAGGGCAGGACAAGAAGCAATGGGTGGAAACTAATCAAGGAGAGAAGCAACTTAGAACTAAGGAGAAATTTCCTGACAGTGAGAACAATTAATCGGTGGAATGATTTGCCTCCAGAAGTTGTGACTGCTCCAACACTGGAAATTTTTAAGAAAATGTTGGATATTGTCTGAAGTGGTGTAGGGTTTCCTGCCTGGGCAGGGGGTTGGACTAGAAGACCTCCAAGGTCCCTTCCAACTCTTCTATTCTATTCTATTCTGTTCTGTTCTGTTCTGTTCTGTTCTGTTCTGTTCTGTTCTGTTCTGTTCTATTAAGATTCCAGATTATTGTTGGTTGCAGGTTATTAAGATGCTCGGCCACCTGAAAGACAAACACCTCCCAAATATATTCATCTTCCAAGAAAGCAATAATTGATGGTGAATGCTTTACATCTTTTCCATTTCCCCCCCACCAGCTAAGGAGAGGATTATCAGCAGCTTGAAGAAGTACGATGCGCCCCACTCCCCTCTGTCTCTTCAGCCAATGAAAGCTCCTGTGCCTGTCATTTCTCCAGCTAGCTTGGTAAACCAGCACGAAGCCAAACAATTGACTTGCACTAACCTCAGGACCTTTCAACAGCATGCCAGGTAAGAATTTTTCTTTTTCTCTTTTGCTGTGTGTGGTTTTCTCTCTTCTGAACTGCATTTAGCTATGGTGTCCTTTTTTTTTTTTGGTAAAGTTTTTTTTTTATTTTTTACACAAACACACACACAAACATACAATGTACATGTTTTCATGTAATATTCTAATTTTCTGAGATTGTGAATTTGGGGTTTTCATGAGCTGGAAGCCATAATCATCAAAATTATGACAAATCAAGTCTTGAACTATCTCGCTTTGCATGTAATGAGTCTATCTCATATATTAGTTTCACCTTTTAAGTTGCATTACTGAAATAAATGAACTTTTGCAGGATATTCTAATTTTTCGAGTTTCACCTGTCTTTTTGCTGAACAGAGTATTTGACTGGTTAACAAATTTAAACAATTTTTAGTCCTTTCAACTAAAATTACAATTTCTATACCTCCTTTTTTGCCATAATATTTATTTTCATCTATTTTGTACCAATATTACCCTTCATTTTCATCTCTAATTTTGACCAAATTCCATTTTCCCTTCTATTCTATATTAAACCCCTTCCCGTTATCATCTAATTTTTATATCCATCATCAAATTAATTAATTATGTGGTGTTACAGTTATTTAATTCTTATATTAATAATAAACCCACTTATTTTATAACATACATTTATTTTATTTTTTATTTTATTTTAATTTGATTTATATGCCGCCCTTCTCCGGAGACTCAGGGCAGCTTACAATGAGTTAAGCAATAGCCTTCATACTTTTGTATATTTATACAAAGTCAGCTTATTGCCCCCACAAACTGGGTCCTCAATTTACCTACCTTAGAAAGGATGGAAGGCTGAGTCAACCTTGAGCCTGGCGAGATTCGAACTTGCAGTAATTGCAGGCAGCTGAATGTTAATAACAGGCTATTAGCCTGCTGCACCACCAGGCTCCTTAACTAATACAATTCAACATTTTAATATAAATCAGTTGATTATATAGATATCTTTTTCATTTATATGTGAACCAGAAGAAAAAAAAAACTTTAGTTGAATTTAAAAATATTCTAACTATTATCCTCTAATCATATAGCTTTCCCCCTGTATTATTCCAAATCATCACTTAATCGTTTGTACATACACTACCGTAAACCATTAAAAACATTTCAGTTATTAGCTATGGTGTCCTTTAAGTACATCCAACCGAGCTCGGGGTGATTTGACAGCAATCTTCCAATATTTGAGGGGTTGTCACAGAAGATGACTGGTGTTTTGGCGGTCTCTGATGTGACTCCGATAGAAATAAAGACAGAGTCACAGTATTTGCCTCGATAAGCTATATGTGTTTATTCAGCTGAATAAACTCAAAGTCAGAGGGAACCCTGAAGACACTTTGACAATCATATTTATATGTTTGCTAAATTGTTTACTTCATCACCCAGAAGATTCCTGATCAATTAGGGTGGGGTAGGGTGTCGACCTATTCTCCAAAGCACCTGAACGCAGGAGAAGAAGAAATGGATGAAATTAAAAAGAGATTCAGCCTAGAAGGAGAAATTTCCTGACAGTAAGAACAATTAATCAGTGGATTCCAGTCAAATGGTTGTCCAATATCTTCTTAAAAACGTCCAGTGATGGAGCATCCACAGCCTCTGGAGGCAAGTTGTTCCACTGATGAATTGTTCTTTTGCCTCCAGAGGTTATAGGTGCTCCAACAGTGGAGGTTTTTCAGAAGAGAGTGGACAGCCAATTGTCTGGAATGGGGGAAGGTCTCCTGCTTGAGCAGGGGGCTGGACTAGAAGACCTCCAAGGTCCCTTCCAACTCTGTAACACTGTTACCGTGTTTCCCCGAAAATAAGACCCTGTCTTATATTTTTTTTTGAACCTCGAAATAAGTGCTTGGCCTTATTTTTGGGGATGTCTTATTTCTTTGGGGCGCGTGGAGCAAGACGGGGCTCCTCTTGCCGTCTTACCTGATTTCCAGCTCTGTCTCCCTAACCAGAGAAAATGGCGGGGACCGGCTGCACATGCATTTAAATATTTTTGGGGAGGGCTTATTTTTGGGGAAGGGCCTATTTTAGCCCATGCGCGTAAAAGCCTGATTGGGCTTATTATCAGGGGATGTCTTATTTTAGGGGAAACAGGGTACACTGTTACTATGTGAAATTGTCTTCACTTTCTTTCTTTTGACCAGGTTTAGATAAAGTGGGACTCTGTAAAGCGCTCAGGAATTCCTTCCCCTACCTCACTTCTTTAAAAAATGTCTCTTTTTAAAAGAAGAAACATACCTTATAAAGAAACAAAAATCCATGTTTGGCAAGAACCATATTTATTAAAAAAACGGAGGGGGCTCACAGCAATGATTTAAATTTAGAACTGCCCTAAGCCAGGCTCGGAGGAATCTACTGGACAGTGAATGTTTTATGATTAGACAGGTCTATCATAGAGCCCATGTTACAGTGAGAAGCTTTTGATGGCAGCCATATAATCCTAGAAAAAAGACAGGGCTGCTTTAATAAGATCTAGACAGGAGCTGTATTCAACACGCCTGCAATCTCTGAAGTGCCGCTTTTGAATCAGATCAGGGGTGGGATTCTACCCGTTCGGACCGGTTCGGGCAAACTGGTAGCTCCGACGATCAACTGGGAGAGAACCAGCTCGCCACAACGATCAGATGGGCCCACCCGCCTGCGCTATTTTCCTACCTTTATCTTCTCAGCAGATTCGCGCAGCAGAGCAGATTGCTGTGCCTCAGCTGTGTTTCTCCTCCGAAGAAACGCGGAAGTGAAGATTTCTTCAAACTGCACACACGCACGATCATCAAACCGGTTGTTAAAACCGGGAGGATCCCACCACTGAATCGGATCACAAGCACAGTGCAACCTGAAGGGAAGCCTTCCCCCAGGTTTCAAATTCCAAATGGGTACAATGGTTCCAAAGATTGTCCATCTGTTGTGGCCCGTCAGCAGCCTGTGCAGATTGTAGCTGATTCTGACAATGAGGAGGCTGGTGTGGTGCTGCGCCAGCAGCCTGTGCAGCTAGTACTCGAGTCGGACAATGAGGAGGCTGGAGAAGATGTGGTGCCAGAGGCAGGGATTCAGCCAGGGCCTTCAGAACCTCCAGAAGCTCCCATAAGTGAAGAGGAAGAAGAGGAGGAGCCTCTTCTCGATGCATGGGTGCACAGAGTTGTCAAAAGGCAGGAGTGGCTCCTCAGGAGGAGGTCTCCTCAAGAGTAAGGCTTGAGGCTAATTGGCCACTCCCTTAGGCTATTTAAGGAGGAACGCCGACTGAAGCAATTTGTAGGGAACAACTTTAGTTCACTCTACTTCGAGTCTGGATTCTCTGCAAAATTGCTTCTGGGCTTTCTGCCAACCTTAGTAAGATTGTGATTATCTTTGGTTTCTTGTAGGCTGTTAAGAAAGTTTATTAACAGCCTTTGTTTGAAAAAGACTGAGTTATTTTAGTAAATTAAGTTTTGTAGAGACTTTGTGTGTGCTGCGTTCTTTGGGGTCTGTAGCTGGGACAGAACACCATCCCACATTTCTCAAAAGAGAGACCTCCTACTTCAGTCTCCTTCGTTTGCCTGGTCTAATATTTTCCTTGATGTACACAACGTCCTTGTCTCTCAACTGCATGAATGGTTGTTGTTCAATTTTAGACTGGCAGCACTTCGGGAATCCCAGCAAGTGGCTTTCAGTAGCGAAATCCTGGACACTCTGCCAAAACTTTATACCAACCGAGAAGAACACGTTACTCTTCACCTGGAATGTCGGGGTGGATCTGGTAAAAGTTGCCACGGAGCGGCTCATGTAACAATCCAGGTTAGAACAGAAGTGCCCGCCTCTTCCTCTTTGAGGGTATCAGCCTGCTCACCCTCTAATGTCTGCCTATTCTGTAGATCACAGGGTTGGTTTTGTTTTATTTTTGCATGGGGTCCTGCAATTTCTGCAATCATTGGGTTAGAGCCGTGATGGCGAGACTATGGGACGCGTGCTGGAAGTGGCACGCAGAGCCATCTCTCCGGGCATGCGAGCCATCGCCCGTTGCTCCAATGCAGTGATGGCTAACCTTTTCGGCACTAAGCGCCCAAAGTGCGCACGTGTACACCCCATGAATGTACGTGCGACCACCCACAGGCACGTACGACCACCCCATATGTGCCCCACGCATGCATGCCTCTCTCCTGTGTGCTCCCTGCCCCCCCACGCATACACGGCAGAAACCTGAAAACCAGCTGGCTGGTGGGACGCACGCGTGCATGCGCAGCAGAGCTATGCTGGGACAACGGCACAGAGAGAGCTCTATGTGCCACCTGTGGCACGCGTGCCATAGATTCGCCATCATGGCTCTAATGGGTTTTGCCGCACTGTCCAGCTGGTCTTCACGCGCACAGGAGTGCCGGAAACCGGATGAGCAGCCACTCGGTATGCATGTACTTTCCAGGAATGACCAACTGGTATTCCAGTTTCTGGCACGCATGCGCACGCGAAGAACAACTGGCCGGTGCGCATCTATGCGCCGGAAACCGGAAGATCATCTTTCCGGTGCGTGCATACACATCGGGCAGCTGCTTTTCTGGCTTCCGGCACGTGCGCTGTTAAGGAATTCACAGGGCAACCTTGAGTAGCAAGGGTGTGCACATGAAAGCGATTGAGAGCACTTGCGAAATAACACAGCCAACACACAGATACACTGAGTTGTGTTTACTTTCAGGAAAATAGTAATAGGGCACAGTCCAATAAACAGTCCAGGTCATACATAGATAAAGCAGTAGATAGTAAAACAATAGTCCAGGGATAATCCAATAACAAAGTCTTCTTACCAGTCATCATAGTCATACACAATAAACAGTTGCAAACAGTAGCAAACACAGCAAAGAGCAGTAAAGAACAGTAATGCTCAGCAAAGAGCAATAATGATCAGCAAAGAGAAACAAACCATGTTTCAAGCTTCCTCTTAAGGACATTGGCTACAGAGCAAACCAATCAGGACACAGTATGATGCAATACAGCAGTATAGTCTTAAAGCTATAATGCTGGTTTATATATTGCCAGCCCAACAAGTTAGGTAATTATCATTTCCGGTTTCGGCATTCGGTGCTAAAAAAGTTTGCCAGCACTGGGCTAGAGGGCTGATGATGGAAAGGACTCTGCTTCCTGATTTATACAGGTAGTCTTCTACTTAGGACCATCGCTGAACTTAAAATTTCTATTGCTAAGTGTTTTGTTAAGTGAGGTTTGCCCCGTTATACCACCTTGCTCGCCACTGTTGTTATGTGAATCACTTGCATTGTTAAGTTAGCAACATGGTTGTTAAGCGAGTCTGGCTTCCCCCTTGACTATGCTTGTCAGAAGGTCTTAACAAGGTATTCACATGATCTGGGGACGCTGAAACCGTCATAAATATGAATCAGTTGCCAAGCATCTGAATTTTGATCATGTGACCACGGGAGAATGCTGCAATGGTTGTAACTGGGAAAAACGGTCTTAAGTCGTATCTTTCAGCACCAGTGTAACTTTGAATGCTCACTAAACAAACTGTCGTAAGTTGGACTCCCTGTAATTCCTCACTTCCCAAGGGAAATTCTGTTCTAGTTCCCTTTTTGCCTCTGCCATCAGAAAATGAATTGTGGCGGGGCAGCTGTTGCAAATCTAACGTAATAACAGTTGATTTTATTGGATTATTGTAATATTGAATTAATTTATTAGTCAAATGCAACCACGTATTCTCTCCATTTTTAGTTCGAGGGCAAACACAAAAATGAAGCCGTCAACCAGCACCTGCACATTTTGGAGAAAGAAATGAAGCACCTGCAGGCAGAAGCTGCTCAGATGCCTCCTCTGACTGTTGTAGGAGCCGCGGTCTACGTGGAGAACTTCATAACGTGAGTTCTGCCGTGAAATCTTGTCTTGCGTGTGTTTCTGATCCTGAGCAATAGCACTTAGACTTATATACCATTTCATAGCGCTTTTACAGCCCTCTCTAAGCTGTTTACAGAGTCAGCCTATTGCCCCCAACAATCTGAGTCCTCGTTTTACCTACCTCGGAAGGATGGAAGGCTGAGTCAACCTTGAGCCTAGTGAGATTTGAACTGCTGAACTGCAGCTAGCAGTCAGCTGAAGTAGCCTGCAGTACTGCACTCTAACCACTGCACCACCTCGGCTCTTGGAAACCAGGTCCCCAAAATGCTTTTTTCAAGAGGCAACTGGACTTCCTTGTTTTTTCTATGAAGTCAATTCGCTTTTCATCCAAGAAGCTTCTTTATCTCTTGACTGGATGGTGGGCAATGGAAGGATTTATATTCCTTGCAGACAGCTGGTCATTTGCATTCTTTTAGAGAGTCGTTGAGGCCGCTTGGAGGTTAGGGTTAGGGTCAACAGAGAGAGAGAGGGATACGACATCATTTATCTCCAGGCTACAACACATTCCTTTCAGGAGTTCCCAGAAGGTTCCACAACCATTTGCACTATTCAGGTGACGCTGAGGACACAGTGACTCTCTTACGGTTTTGCCGTAAACCAGAAGTAGAATAGAATTAGAATTAGAATAGAGAATTGAATTGAATTGAATTGAATTCTTTATTGGCCAAGCGTGATTGGACACACAAGGAATTTGTCTTTGGTGCATACGCTCTTCAGTGTACATAAAAAGAAAAGATACATTCGTCAAGAATCATAAGGTGCAACACTTCATGATAGTCATGGGGTACAAATAAGCAATCAAATCATACTAGGAAACAATCTCAATATAAACTGTAAGGATACAAGCAACAAGTTACAGTCGTGCAGTCCTAAGTGGGAGGAGATGGGTGATGGGAACGACGAGAAGATTAATAGCAATAGTAATGCAGACTTAGTGAATAGTTTGACGGTGTTGAGGGAATTATTTGTTTAGCTTGTGTCTAGTTGTTCTGGGGTGCAGTGCTCTATAGCGTCGTTTTGAGGGTAGGAGTTGAAACAATTTATGTCCAGGATGCAAGGGTAGATGCTAATACCGTGTTTCCCCGAAAATAGGACCCTGTTTTATATTTTTTTGAACCCTGAAATAAGCACTTGGCCTTATTTTCGGGGAGGTCTTATTATTTTGGGGTGCATGGAGCAAGACGGGGCTTCTCTTGCCATCTTACCTGATTTCCAGCTCTGTCTCCCTAACCCTAACCAGAGGAAATGGCAGGGACCAGCTGCGCATGTGTTTAAATATTTTCAGGGGAGGGCTTATTTTTGGGGAGGGCCTTATTTTCAGGGGAGGGCTTATTTTTGGGGAAACACGGTGGTAGATACTAAATAAATAGTAGATGCTAAATCTTACCACTTGACTGCATAATTTTATTTATGGTGCTTGTCCAAACCCTGAATAACATTACTGTTCTCCATCCTTCGCTTACGTGTTTTTTAAATCTCGATTTTTCTCCCTGCCACCAGAGGTTTAATAAATATCTATAAGCTTCAGCCTACACCAAGGATTCAACGAATTGGCATCAGTCTGTTCTTTGCGGTGGTGGAATATGTCTGCGATGAAACGCAGCGTCACCCCCCATCCAGACAGTTCTTCACTTCCTGTATCGAGGTCCTTGGCCAGGTGAGTTGTTTGCAGTAGGATTCTCTCACCGATAAAACCGAGTTATCTGTCGACACCGATTTAGAATTCTGCGATGAATTATTTTAATAGGCCACCGAGAACTTGCTAAAATGGATGGGAAATAAGATATGTATGCTATTCAATAAATAAGCTATGTAGAGAATTTTGAAAGTTGCCTTATTGGTAAAATCGAGAGAGGGAGGGACGGAGGAAGGAAGGAAGGGAGGGAGGGAGGAAGGAAGGAAGGAAGGAATAGCAATAGCACTTAGATTTATATACCGCTTCACAATGCTTTACAGCCCTCTCTAAGCGGTTTACAGAGTCAGCCTATTGCCCCCAACAATCTGGGTCCTCGTTTTACTGATCTCAGAAGGATGGAAAGCTGAGTCAACCTTGACCCCATCAGCATCGAACTCCTGACAGTGAGCAGTGAGTTAGCCTGCAATACTGCATTTTAACCATTGTGTCTCCAGAAGGGGAGGGAGGGAATGAGGGAGGAAAGGAAGGAAGGAAGGAAGAAAGGATAGCAATAGCAGTTAGACTTATATTAATTATATATTAATTATATAATTAATAATTATATATTAATTATATATTAATAGCAGTTAGACTCCATAGTGCTTTACAGCCCTCTCTAAGCGGTTTACTCTGCCCCCAACAATCTGGGTCCTCATTTTACTGACCTCAGAAGGATGGAAGGCTGAGTCAACCTTGAGCCCCATCAGGATCGAACTACTGATTATGGGCAGACTGAACCTGCAATACTGCATCATAACTACGGGTAGTCCTCGATTTACAACAATTCATTTAGCGACCATTCAAAGTTAAAACGTCCCTGAAAAAACTGACCTATGACCATTTTTCACTCTTATGACCGTTGGCAGCATCCCCATGGTCACACAATCAAAATTCAGATGCTTGGCAACTGACTCATATTTATGACGGTTGCAGTGTCCTGGTGTGTGTGTGTGTGTGTGTGTGTGTGTGTGTGTGTGACGTGATCCCCTTTTGCGACCTTCGGGCGAGTGAAGTCCATGGGGAAGCCGGATTCACTTAACAACTGTGCGACTAAGTTAGCAACTGCAGTGATTCACTTAACAACTGTGGCAGGAAAGGTCGTAACATGGGGCAAATTTCACTGAATAACTGTCTCGCTTAGCAACATGAATTTTGGGGTTCCATTGTGGTCATAAATTGAGTAGTGCGGTGGCCTAGAGGTGGAGCTCTCGCCTCACAATCAGGAGGCTGTGAGTTTGATCCTAGGTAGAGGCAGATATTTCTCTCTCTGGGCACGATGAGAATCTATCTGCTGCGAACCCTGCATTGGCAACAGGAAAGGCATCCAGCCAGTAAATACTCAGCTCCATTCAGTTGCCCAGACTCCACCCCGCAAGGGATTATGGGGTCATTAAACGGCAAACATTGTGGTCATAAATTGAGGACTACCTGTATGGGCCTTCAGACCCTTTTATCATCTGTATTGCTGTTTTTGGCACACTTTCGAGGGTCTCGGCATCCTGGGGAGACCCTGCAGGATTGAATGTTGTGTGAACGAAGCCTCGGTCTTATTTCTCGTTCCAGGTGTTCATTGCCGGGACCAAGTCCGAATGTCAGCGGGTTCTACAAACCATTCTGAAGAACCGAAGACTTTGCACATTGCTGTCTCCTTACTTCACTCCTGTTGCCTCTCCGGAGGAATTTGTCAACTTGTACGAGAAAGTTGTGGCTTTCCTGGGTGATGACAACGGCGATGTCATTTTCATGCTGCTGACAAAGGCAAGAGAGGGGATTGCCATGTGGCTTTAATGTCTGAGTAATTGATCTGGGAGTCTCCACCCCCACCCCCCCACCCCCCGAAAGCAGTGCCTGGATTTTAAGGGTTTCGTGCTTCCCAGGAAGGTAATCATGGGTGGGATTGAGTTGGTTTGGACCAGTTCAGGCGAATCGGATGGTAATTTTACATCTGGTTCGCCGAACCGTAGTTGCAAGGACTGGCTGGCCATGCCCACCCAACCCCTCCCAGGAGTCTCCAGGCAGCCCGTTTTGGATGCCAGGTAAGTGTAGCACCCCCCGTGGAAGCTCTGGGAGGGCGAAAAACAAGCCTCCCAAAAGTTCAGGAAGTCCAAAAACGGACCCATTTCCGGCCTCCGGAGGATGCATGGATGGATGGAGAGAGAGAGATACATAAAGGATGGATGGATAGATGGTATATGTCTATCTCCCCATCCATCCATCCATTTATGTATCCATCCATCCATCATCCATCATCTGTCCATCCATCCTATATCTGTTTATATCTCTCATCCATCCATCCTTTAATGTAGCGCTCTCTCTCCATCCATCATCTGCCTGCCTGCCTGCCTGTCTATCCATCCATCCGTCTTATTTATTTATTTATTTATTTTATATTATTTTATTTTTATACCGCCCTTCTGTGGGACTCAGGGCGGTGTACAGCCGAGATAAAACATAGCACATAAATTTAAAAAACAGTTTAAGAAACAATTAAATAATTTCGGCCCAAAATTTAAAACAACCTAATTAAAACCGAATTCAATTAAAACTAAGAGGATGGGATCAAGCCAGCCCGGCTAGATGGAATAAGTGTGTTCAGGGCCCGACGAAAAGTCTGGAGGTCTGATATCGTGCATATCTCTCATCCATCTGTCCATCTATGTCTGTCTGTCTGTCTGTCTCCATCCAGTCATCTCTCTCTCTCTATCTTACTATCCAACCATCCATCTTCCATCCATCCATCTACCTTACTACCCATCCATTTGTCTTATCCATCACATCCATCCACCCGTCCACCCATTGTATCTTATTTTTCTGCCACTTTGATTAGACCCATAGAAATGAAATACAAAACCCTAAAAAAAGACGAGTACAGTTTAAAAAGTAAAAACCCACTCCTGCAGGCAGGTGGGAGAGAAACCAGGAAAAATATATCTCCTTTTTCAAATGCAATGCACCTCTTGGTGCTTTCCCCCCACTCTTCTTCACTTGCTAACGGTGAATATTCAGCAAAAGGATGACCTTCTCCACATAAAAATTGGGGCAAATTATCATGACCATAATCACTTCTGTGATCCAAAGTGGACCGTTTCTAACTTGCCCTCTTTCTTTCGGAATTAATCAGCCTCACTTTTTTTCTCCCACCCTTCCCATGTCTCTCCGTTTATGCCCCAACCCAACCCTCTTTTTTAAAAAAACAGTTTGACCTCCTGGAATGGTTGCAGAGTTCAAAACCCACCCTTTCGGAGCGTGGCCAGCTCTTGGAGTCCATCCACGTGGGACTCAAGACCTGTGGCTTTGAGCCTGAGAAGGACGTCTTAATGCCTTTTTCCATCTTCTGCAAACACGGGGTTTGCCTCCTCCAGTATCAGTTTCCTGACCACTACAGTAGTTTTTTGAGGCTCCTTCTTCAAAGTAAGTACCACCTCAACTTTTAGGGCTGCTTGGGGAATTCTGGGAGTTGAAGTCCCCACATGGCTGCCTGGGGAATTCTGGGAGTTGAAGTCCCCACATGGCTGGCTGGGGAATTCTGGGAGTTGAAGTCCCCACATGGCTGGCTGGGGAATTCTGGGAGTCGAAGTCCACACATGGCTGCCTGGGGATTTCTGGGAGTCGAAGTCCCCACATGGCTGGATGGGGAATTCTGGGAGTTGAAGTCCACACATGGCTGCCTGGGAAATTTTGGGAATTGAAGTTCACACATGGCTGCCTAGGGAATTCTGGGAGTTGAAGTCCCCACATGGCTGCCTGGGAATTCTGGGAATTGAAATCCCCACATGGCTGCCTGGGGAATTCTGGGAGTTGAAGTCCCCACATGGCTGGCTGGGGAATTCTGGGAGTCGAAGTCCCCACATGGCTGCCTGGGGAATTCTGGGAGTTGGAAGTCCACACATCTAAAAGTTGTTTTAAGAAACACTGTTTTAATGTGTACCAGGTAGTCCTTGACTTACAAAAGTCCGCTTAGCGGTTGTTCAAAGATAGAACAGCACTGGAAAAAAAAAGGTGATTTACGACCATTTTCACATGGCAGCATCCCCATGATCACCAGGGATCAAAATTCAGATGCTTAGCTGACTCCTATTTATGACAGTTACAGTGATCGCCTTTTGCAAATGTTTGACAAGCAAAGTCAGTGGGGAACCAGATTCACCGAACAACTGTGTGACTAACTTATAACAACAGCCGTGATTCACTTAACAATGGTGGCAAGAAAGGTCGTAAAATGGGGCAAAGCTCACTTAGCCACTGTCTCACTTAGCAACATAATTTTTTGGCTCAATTGTCATAAGTCGAGGATTACCTGTCATTAGCTTTCGAGCCCGTCTCATAACTTATAGGACTAGAAACCTGTGCCCCTTAAGACGTTTGTGGAAAGAAAGTTTGAGGAAATTGGATTTCCTAAGTGTCTCAGTCTGTTCTTATTCCGCACTCTTTTAATAGTTCATACAACAGAGATACCTTTATAGAATTGCAGCGAGCTATTAATACAGTAGTGGCCAAAATTGTGGAAACCTTTTGGGAAAAGTGTATTTTTGAGGTATGATGGCTAATAACAACACTTTTTTTTTTTTTTTGGAGTTTCAGGATAATCCTATTCCACTGCTGAAATGGCCTGGGAATAGCCCAGACCTTCATCCAATTGAAAATCTATGGAGCTGACTAAAGAAACTTGTTAGTCAAAAGGGACCCAGCAATAAAACCCAGTTAATAGAAGCCATCATTCAATCTTGGTTTCACATAATAACAGCTGCAGAACTAAAAGACTTGGTTCACTCCATGGGAAGACGTTTTAAGGCCGTCATTCACGCTAAAGGTTACCCAACTAAGTATTAACTGACATGGTGATCATTTTTGTATATCTCGTTTTTTCTATGGTGATCATTTTTGTCTATCTCATTTTTTTCTGTGTTTCACTTTTCTTCTTTATACTGTAAGTGCTATTCTAATAGCAAATCCTTCATCAAAATGTTTGCATTACATTCTTGATTAAATTATCTTTCCATTGATATATCATTTTATGGTACTACTCCCAAAAAATGTGATCCTATTAGCTAGTTTTAGAAAATACACTTTTCCCAAAAGGTTTCCACAATATTGGCCACTACTGTATATTGAACTGAATTCAGTATCGGTGTAAAATTTTTAATTTTGGTTTGAATTTTCTGCCCAGGTTCTTCAGATCGGCTCCTGAGCCCTGACTGTTGGAAAGCATCTCTTAAAGCTTTGGGCTGCCCTACTTCCACCACAGCAAAAGAAAACAGTAGGAAATCGATGGCTAACTCAAGCATCCCAATGCAGCCTTCAACGGAGCCAATTTTATCACCTGAACAGGTGAGCAGTCCATGTGCGCACTGGTTCTGTTACAATGCTTTTAAAGAACCACCTTAGACCAGGGGTGTCAAACTCGATTTCATTGAGGGCCGCATCAGGGTTGGGTTGGACCTCGGCGGAGGGCTGGGCGTGGCCAGGGTGGGTGTGGCCAGCTCAATGTGACTTGTGTCGGGGATGCCTGTGGCAGCCTGAGCACTCTGCCAGCAAAAACGGAGCTCGGGAAGGCCACGGGCTGATCCTTCACTGTTTCCAGGGCGGCCCTACAAACCAGATCTAAGCACCCCGCAGGCCCGATCCGGCCTGTGTGCCTTGAATTCGACACTTGATTGTCTGGAATTTAATAGTAAATAGGGAAAGAGCATATTGTGACCCGTCAGCGGCCTGTGCAGATTGTAGCTGATTCTGACAGCGAGGAGGCTGCTGTGGTGTTGCGCCAGCAGCCTGTGCTGGCAGGCTGAGTCAGACAGTGAGGAGGCTGGAGAAGATGTGGTGCCAGAGGCAGGGATTCAGCCAGGGCCTTCAAAACCTCCAGAAGCTCCTATAAGTGAAGAGGACGAAGAGGAGGAACCTCTTCTCGATGCACGGGCGCGCAGAGCTGCCAAAAGGCAGGAGTGGCTCCTCAGGAGGAGGTCTCCTCGAGACTAAGGTTTGGGGCTAATTGGCCACTCCCTTAGCTTATTTAAGGAAGTACAACGACTGAGGCAATTTGCAGGGAACAACTTCGTTCACTCTCCTTCGCGTCCTGATCTTAGTTCTCTTATCAGTTTCCTGCAAATTGCTTCTGGGCTTTCTGCCAACCATAGTAAGATTACGATTATTTATTCTTTGGATTCTTGTAGGCTGTTAAGAAAGTTAATTAACAGCTTTTGTTTGAAAAAGACTGATTTAATTTAGTAAACTACGGTTTGTACAGACTTTGTGTGTGCTGCGTTCTTTGGGGTCCGGAGCTGGGGCAGAACAGAGCAGGAAAAAAAAAAGTTGTAAAAGTCCAGCCAGGAGTTATAAATTAGGCCATAAGTCAACTACAGATACTCCTCGACTTACAAGAGTTTTGTTGAACTTTGACCGTTCAAAGTTACAACGGCACTTAAAAAAGTGACTTATGACCGTTTTTCACACGACCGTTGCAGCATCCCTATGGTCACACGATCAAAATTCAGATGCTTGGCCACTGACTCATATTTATGACAGTCTCAGTATCTTGGGGTCATGTGATTCCCTTTTGCGACCTTCTTACAAGCAAAGTTAATGAGGAAGCCAGATTCACTTAACAACCATGCCACTAACTTAACAACTGCGGTGATTCACTTAACAGCTGTGGCAGGAAAGGTCGTAAAACAGGACAAAGCTCACTTAACAACTGTCTCGCTTAGCAACAGGAATGTTGGGGGTCAATTTTTGGTTGTAAATCAAGGATTACCTGCATCCAAAATCCTGTTTTTAAAAAGGTTTTGGCACTTACCGCAAAAGAATTACCCATCATTGCTGTACAGGTAGTCCTTGAGTTACGGCCACAATTGAGCCCAAAATTTCTGTTTTTAAGTGAGACATTTGTTAAGTGAGTTTTGCCCCATTTTACGACCTTTCATGCCACTGTTGTTAAGTGAATCACTTCAGTTGTTAAATTAGTAACACGGTTGTTAAATGAATCTGGCTTCCCCATTGACTGTGCTTGTCAGAAAGTCCGCAAAGGATGATCACATCATCTTGGGACAATTGGACCAATATGGACCAATTGACAAGCATCTGAATTTTGATCATGTGATCATGGGTATGCTGGAAAGGTCGTAACTGTGAAACATGGCCATGTCACTTTGTCAGTGTGGTTGTAAATTTGAACAGTCACTAAATGGACAGTTGTAAGTCAAGGACTACCTCTAATAATTAGCTACCATTTGAGGGCTTACACAGGAGGAAAAACAGATTTTCTCCCATTAACAAATACCCCCCTTAATTGGATATTGACCTATAGAACATTTACTTTATTTTCATGAACCAATATATTTTACAATATAACTTACAACAGTCACTAAGTGAACTGTCGTAAGTCAAAGACTACCTGTATAAGCCATGTAAGTCAGTCGTCAATGATTTGGAAACGGATTTGGAGCTCTAACCTGCAGCTAATTTCTTCCTGAATGTTCCTTCTGTAAGAAGGAGAAAGTAAAACTCTTGAAACAGCACATTTCAAAAGGATTCTTTTATTGAGTAGAAAGTGATAGCAGAACAAAGGCAAAGCAGACTCTAAATCCCCTCAGGAAATACAGTTAGAAATAAGGCATTAGGAACCCCTCCCCTGGTCAGATGTGGATTCAGCCAATCCACAGGGGTGAAGATGTTGTTGTAACGGCCGTCCTGAGAAATAGATAAGGCAGCGTTCCCAGGGTCATTTTCTGCTAGCTTCTTAGTGAAACATCCCACACTGTTGAGGTCCACCAGCAGCCTGCAGAGCTGGAGTCGGACAGCGATGAGGCTGAGGAAGAACGGGCCAGTCCTGGAGGCTGGGGAAGGCCCGGATGAGGGCTCTGCGTCGGAGGCAGAGATGGGGCTAGGGCCATCGGGGAGTGATGTGCAGACTACGGAGCCTCCAGAGGCTGACAGTAGAGAGGCAGAGGAACAGGGGAGCCTGTTCCTAGTGCACGCATGAGAAGAACTGCCAGAAACTAAGAGCAGCTACAGCAAAGAGGACAACTCGGGAGTAGGGCCAAGAGATGATTGGCCCCTCCCATAAGGCTTAAAAGACCAGCAACGGCTCTTGGGCTCTTTGTCGGAAAACAACGTTGATAGACTTGTTCTTGTCTTGCTGCACTTATCTCTGCTCGGCGTCTTCTGCTTCTGAACTTTTGCCAAGAGAAGCCTTTGGCAGTTGGCCTAATTATACCAAGGTTGGTGATTAGACTGAAGAATTTGTGTTATGAAGAATTTATTTTAATTTAGTTTGGACTACGCTGAGAATGAGTTAATTCTCAGCTGTTCTAATAAAGTCTGTTTGTTTTGGAACTGTTTGCTTCTAATATTACTTGGGCCTGGGTCACAACACACACGGTCTTCCCCACTTAATACATTCCACGGAAAGTGAGAAAATCCCAAAGCGCCAGGCACCAGGATAAAGGTAATAAAATAGCAGCTGTCAAAGGAAATAGGAAGAGGATACATTCAAGGGTCTCTCCCCCCCCCCCCCACCCCCAATTGTATGGCAGTATCACTTCAAGGACCTGACACCTTCTTTTCTTCCCAGGTCACGGAGACCATCGAGTGGATTTCCGACTACTTCCTCAAACTCCGGTTGTCCTCTCAAGACTATCAAAGTTTTGGATTATTTTCCAAGTGGGCCCCTTACATCCCTCACGTCCGATGTCTCATGCAGTATCTGATCCACCGTCTAATTGACTCAAGAATGGAGACCTTATCGCGGGAGCCCGTAGGCAGCAACAGGGTATTTGAAGGTAAGGAAGTTTGGTGATGATCATTGTCACACTTTATCGAACCTCATAAAAAACGGAATGTTCCCTAGTAATTCACCGAAATGCTGGAAATGCAAGAGTAACTATGGAACATACTATCACCTCTGGTGGACCTGCCCAGTGGCAAAGAAATTCTGGGCTAAAGTTAAAAAGTGGATAGAGGAAATAATTCAAAATTCAATAAAAGGAGAACCTGAGCAATTTTTACTAGGGATTTCCATAGAAAATTATACCAAGGAAATACATCATTTAATATTACATATGCGCAAAATTGGAAGAGGGAAAATCCACCCTCAGATTTAATTAGAAAAATTTTAGAATGCGCAGAGATGGACAAACTAACAAAAGAACTCAAGGAGAAAGAGGATACAGAATATTACAAAGTGTGGTGTAGATGGTATGAATGGTTGGAGAATAGGAAAAATGAGAAAGAGGAATAAAGGAGAGAGGGGAGAAAATGTTGAAGAGCAAGGTACAATGTAGACGAAATAAAGAAAGATGGAATAAGACAATATTAAAATATGTGTAAATAGATGTAAATAGCAAGAAAGGATCACTTCGAAGCAGCTGTAGGAAAAAGTGATATGTATATAAATGTTGTGTGTTTGTGTCTTGTTTTAATGTATTCAAAATAAAAAAACTTTAAAAAAAACCTGAACCTGGCCAGGAGTATCCAAGAACCAGGCCAAAACTTAGGGTTCCAGATTTATTGGGTGTCTGGTGTTTTTTTATTTGTTTGTTTATTAAATTTATATGCTGTCCATCTCGCTTGGTGATGACCCGGGATAAGACATGAAGGCCACATGGCCAGCTGAGAGTTCAAACTCCCCTTTAATGCTCCAAATTTCCTCCCAAATTCTTGACAAGTCCCAGAACAAAGTGGGCACACACACACATGGCAGCCTCTGACTACGCGCAGTCCAGCAAAGCAAAGGAACAGGGAAATGAATCCACGAAACAAGGAACAAACAATGAGTCCACAGAGGAACAAGTCGCCGAGTCCATGAAGCAAGGAAGAAGCAATGCAGTCCTGCAAACTCCAGATGTCTGCAACGGCACACAAAACTCTACAAATTCAGCGTTGTTCCTGACAAATGCCCCTCCCCACAGCGTCTCTTAAATCTCAGTCCCCAGCTGTGCCTTGTGAAGAGAGGCGGGGTGCTTTCCTCCTGAGTCGTTGGGTTGGCCTGCGCTGTTCCCACCTTCTCTCCACTCTCCATGCTCAGGGATCAGGAGGGGACGGTCCTTGTTCATCGCCTGAGCTCCGTCTCTCCTCATTTCCATTGCTTGTCCTTTCTCGGTCATCCTGCCCCCTGTTCCTCCCTGCTAACAAGCTGTCCCAATCCTGAGGGGCCTTGGGTTGCCTTGGCCTTCTCCTCCCCACATTCCTCCGAAGCCAACCAAGCTGCCCCCTCGATCTCAGTCTGCTCTAGCTCTGGCTCCTCCTCTGCAGATTTAGGCTTCAATGGGTGCATGACATTGCTGTCCGAAGGGGCTCTGGCTGGCTTACTATGTAGTAAAAAAAAATAAAAATAGAGGTATCAAAACAATTATAAATATCAAAACAATGCAGGTCATGTATTCTGCCTAATGGTAGAGTAAGCCTTGTCTCAACTCATGTTTACTCTCGTGAAAGGAAGATACATTTATTTTGGCCGAGTGGGAAACGGAGAAAGCTAAGAACAATTTCCATTTTCTGTGCTGCCCCTTTTGGAATTCCTTACAAAAGTTGGACATGTGTAGTTGGAAGCAATTTACTAGAAGTTTCTCTTTCTCTCTCTCTCTCTTCTTTTCAGCTTTGCATTCTCTGTTTTTAACTACCATTCAACTCTTCAAGCCATGGCTTGAGGTTTTAGAGGGGGAAGACACAAGGTAAGTGGGAAGCTGTTTAGGAGGTCAAAGAAAGTAGAATTGACCTGGGATCTCCACCTATTTGGAGGATGGTGGACACCTTGTAAATTTTAAGCATGTGTTTTTGGTTTCCTCTCTCCTCTCCTCTCCTCTCCTCTCCTCTCCTCTCCTCTCCTCTCCTCTCCTCTCCTCTCCTCTCCTCTCCTCTCCTCTCCTCTCCTCTCCTCTCCTCTCCCTCCCCTCCCCTCCCCTCCCCTCCCCTCTCTTCTTCCTCCTCTCTCTTTCCTCTCCCCTCCTCTCTCTTCTCTCTCCTCTCCTCTCTTCTCCTCTCCTCTCTCTTTCCTCTCCCCTCTCCTTTCCTCTCTCCTCTCCTCTCTCTTTCTCTCCACTCCCCTCCTCTCTCCTCTCTTCTCCTCTCTTCTCCCCCTCTCTCTTTTCTCTCCTCTCTCTTCTCTCCCCTCTCCTCTCCTCTCTTATCCCCCTCTCTCTTTCCTCTCCTCTCCCCTCTCTCTCTCCTCTCCCCTCCCCTCTCTCGCTCCTCTCCCCTCTCCTCTCTTCTCCCCCTCTCTCTTTTTCCTCTCCTCTCTCCTCTCTCTTCTCTCCCCTCTCCTCTCTTATCCCTTCTCTCTCTTTCCTCTCCCCTCCCCTCCCCTCTCTGTCTTCTCTCCTCTCTCTCTCCTCTCCCCCTCTCCCTCTCTTCTCTCTCTCTCTCTTTCCTCTCCTCTCTCCTCTCTCTTCTCTCCCCTCTCCTCCTCTCCTTTGTTATCCCCTCTCTCTCTTTCCTCTCCCCTCCCCTCTCCTCCTCTCTCCTCTCCCTCTCTCTCTTTCCTCTCCCCTCCCCTCCCCACTCCTCTCTCCTCTCTCTAGCAATCAGCGTTGCTATCCATGGCTGGAAAGTGACTCCTCCATTGCATCAACTATGGTGGAATTGTTTGCGTCCAGCGTAGCTGTTTTACACAAAGGTTTTAAAGGTAAGAAGATTGAGTGCTGGGATCTCAGTGGCTTCATGGGTCAGACACTCACAAGGTGGCTCCTTATGTCACACATATGGACTAATTCCTCCTTTAAAAAAAAATTATCCCCTGTACGGGGTCCTTGGTACTCTCCGAGCTTGGTTGTTTTCTTACAGACTTTTCATTACCAAACTAGTAACATCATCAGTGCTAGTGAGTCTTAGCTCTAATGGTACTGCTTAGTTTGGTGATGAAAACCCTGCAAGAAAGCAACCAAGCTCAGACAGCACCACAGTCGTCCTCCTCCCTTTCTCCTCCTCCATGCCACAGACCCCACTCCCTTCTAGTACTGGTGACGTTACCTACTTGGGTCATGAAACGTCTGCAAGAAAACCACCAAGCTCAGAGAGCAACAAGGACCGCTCATTTCAACCCTGAGCTACAAATATCCTTTTCTATTCATTTTTTTTTTAAATTGTCGTAGATAAGGTGCTGCCAAGCGACCCCGGAATCCTTTGGCTTCTTGTGATGCACTACTCTGAGTCGTACACGGCGCCCCAAAATGCCGGAGCACATTCTTCACATATTCCATACGGAATTGGGGCCGCCTGCCCTGGAAGGAGGTTCATCCGGATCAGCACCTCATGGAGAAATTCTTTAAGGTAATTGCTTACGGCTGGTGAGCACAACGCAGGAAGAGGCGGAAGGAAAGGACGCCTCCCTTAAGATCCGACCTTCCTTCTCACGTCTTCAAATTATCTGAGGCTTTTAAAAATCTCTCTTGTGTGTTCATCGAATGGGGTGGGGGGTGGGGGGAAACAGTATAGCAAGGAAAATAGGCTTGGTGGTCGTGGAAAAGGATGATTGGAAGGAGGAGCCAAATAGAAAAACAGAAGGATGGGAGGAATCAGGATTTTACTGAAGGTCCTTCCTTCCTTCCTTCCTTCCTTCCTTCCTTCCTTCCTTCCTTCCTTCCTTCTTTCCCCCCTCCTCTCCCACATCCTTCTTTCCACCCTCCCCACTCTTCCCATTACCCCTCCCTTCCTATTGTCCTTCCTCCCTCCCCATTGTCCCTCCCTCCCTATTGTCCTTCCTTCCTATCTCCCTCCCCATCATCCCTCCCTCCCCATTGTCCTTTCTTTCTTCCTATCTCCCTCCCTCCCCATTCTCCCTCCCCCCTATTGTCTTTCCTTCCCTCCTCCCTCCCTCCCTATTGTCCGTTCTTCCTATCTCCCTCCCTCCCTATTATCCTTCCTTCCTATCTCTCTCCCTCTTGTCTTTCCTTCCTTCCTATCTCCCTCCCTCCCCATTCTCCCTCCCTCCCTATTGTCTTTCCTTCCCTCCCCCCCTCCCTCCCTATTGTCGGTCATTCCTATCTCCCTCCCTCCCTATTATCCTTCCTTCCTTCCTATCTCTCTCTCCTCCCCATTTTCCCTCCCTCCCTATTGTCTTTCCTCCCTCTCTCCCCATTGTCCCTCCCTCCCTATTGTCCTTCCTTCCTTCCTTCCTCCCTCCCTCCCTCCCTCCCTTCCTTCCTTCCTTCCTCCTCCCTCCCTCCCTCCCTCCCTCCCTCCCTCCCTCCCTTCCTTCCTTCCTTCCTATCTCCTTCCCTCCCTCCCTCTTTCCCTGCCTATTTTCATTCCTTCTTCCTTCCCTCCCTCCATCTTTTCCTTCCTCCCTCCCTCCCTCCCTCCTCCTCCTCCTTCTCCCCTTCCTTCCTTCCTCCTTGCCCCCCCACCCTCCCTCCCTCCCTTTTTCCTTTTTTTTTTTTTTGGTCCTAGGTAGAAAGAGGCAGCCCCAAGAGTTGTTTCCTGTTCCTGGGCTCAGTGCTGTGTGAGGTCAACTGGGTCAGTGTCCTTGCTGACGCCTGGGATCCCACCCCCTCCCGGACACCCACAGCCTGATTGTGTGCCTGCTTTATATGGTGATCCTGCTGGCCAAAGAGGAAGAGCTGATCACCAAAGAGGTAAGTTCCCCTACTATGTGTGCTCCATTCCTGGTGGCTTCCAGGACACATCCATCAAATCTTCTTGATAGCAGAGACGTTTTTCCTCGAACGAAGCGAAATACATCTCTCCCAGGATGGTGTTGCAGGATCCGATCTGAGTCGGTTGCCAGGATCAAAAGTTTATTCTACCAAGCTTTCGGGCTCATGCTGGTCTGCTGCCTTGAGCCAGGGGTCTTGTGGCCCCTCCAGCAGGCGAATCAGAGGAGGAGGAGGAGGCGTGGGAGTCAGGATCAGGCATCAAGGCAACTGAGAGCTCCGAGGGGGAAGAGGGAACGGATGCGCAGAAGGCAGAGGAGAGGAGAGCAGTGGAAATCTATGGGCCGGTCCTTGGGACGGAAGAGCCACCACTGCTAACGAAGCCCCACCCCTTAGCTCTAGAAATAAAAGGCAGGGGGCAGAGGTGAATAGATGTGGCAGACAACTACTCATCTCCCTGCCGGACAGACTTGTTAACCTGCGGTGAGAGAGAAAACTTTTTGCCGGGGCTGCTGGCGCTTCTAATAAAGGAACCATTGATTTAAATACAGGGGGTTTGTCGTGTTTGAGGAGCTGGGTCAGAACAAGGGGTTGGCCTAGAAGACCTCCAAGGTCCCTTCCAACCTTATGTTCTAATTTTCTGGTAGAGAGCAAATTAAATAATGGGGAGGACGATCTTGATCGCGGTGCTTAATTAAATATTAAATTCAATTACATTTAGATTCTGTAGTTCTGGACCTTTTTTCCCTTGGGTTTATCTACTTTGGATTGAAGGTCCTATTCACGCAGAACTTGGCTTGAAACCTCCCCATCACCTGTCTAAATGGGAAGCTCACCAAGTCTTCTCTTTACGCCCAAAGCCAGTCAGATAAACGAGGCTTGAGTCTTGGTTTAAACTTCCTGGTTTAAGCAGATGTTTTGGGGGGTACAGAATCTTCTTTTCGGGTTTCCTTCCAGTTTTAAAAAAAAAAAAAAACCTCACGTGACAAGTGAAGCCTTGAGATCCCTGGGAGAATCCCAAAACCTGGTTAAACCATCAATTTGCATTGATCTTCTTGGATTTCGGAGGAACGGAGCTGATACTGGGTCAAGCTGGGCTTTGAAGAACCCACAAAGATAGAATAGAATAGAATAGAATAGAATAGAATAGAATAGAATAGAATAGAATAGAATAGAATATAGAAGAATAGAAAAAATGGAATGGAATGGAATGGAATGGAGTGGAGTGGAGTGGAGAGTGGAGTGGAGTGGAGTGGAGTGGAGTGGAGTGGAGTGGAGTGGAGTGGAGTGGAGTGGAGTGGAGTGGAGTGGAGTGGAGTGGAGTGGAGTGGAGTGGAGTGGAGTAGAGTAGAGTAGAGTAGAGTAGAGTAGAGTAGAGTAGAGTAGAGTAGAGTAGAGTAGAGTAGAGTAGAGTAGAATAGAATAGAATAGAATAGAAAAAATGGAATGGAATAGAATAGAATAGAATAGAATTAATAGAATAGAATAGAATAGAATAGAATAGAATAGAATAGAATAGAATAGAATAGAATAGAATAGAATAGAATAGAAAAAATGGAGTGGAGTGGAGTGGAGTGGAGTGGAGTGGAGTGGAGTGGAGTGGAGTGGAGTGGAGTGGAGTGGAGTAGAGTAGAGTAGAGTAGAGTAGAGTAGAGTAGAGTAGAGTAGAGTAGAGTAGAGTAGAGTAGAGTAGAAAAAATGGAATGGAATGGAATGGAATGGAATGGAATGGAATGGAATAGAATAGAATAGAATAGAATAGAATAGAATAGAATAGAATAGAATAGAATAGAATAGAATAGAATAGAAAAAATGGAATGGAATGGAATGGAATGGAAAGAATAGAATAGAATAGAATAGAATAGAATAGAATAGAATAGAATAGAATAGAATAGAATAGAATAGAATAGAATAGAATAGAATAGAATAGCTGGAAGGGACCTTGGAGGTCTTCTAGTCCAACCCACTGCTTAGGCAGGAAACCCTACACCACTTCAGACAAATGGTGATCCAACATCTTCTTAAAAACTTCCAGTGTTGGAGCATTCACAACTTCTGGAGGCAAGTTGTTCCACTGATCAATTGTTCCAATTGTCAGGAAATTTCTCCTTAGTTCTAGGTTGCTTCTCTCCTTGAAGTTGATTTGGACCAAACTCCGAGCTTGCTCAGAAGCTTCCTTGCTTCACTACTCAAAACAGATTTACTGTAGCTCTTTGGAAGTTTCCAAGTGGGGCAGAAGACGAGAGGGCTTTCCTGCCGACAATTCACAGTGGCTTAGAAGGATTCCGTCTTTAATCCCGAGGAACGTCGCACGTAGCTAGACAATAGCGTAATCTCCCTTGAAATTGTTTCATCCCTTCTTAAAGACACTTAAAAGCTAGAAGAAAAGCGGTGAGGATTTAAGCTGCTGGAGTTTGTATTCACAGAAAAGGGAAGCTCTGGGATTTATTTATTTATTGGTTCGATTTATATGCCGCCCTTCTCCGGAGACTCAGGGCGGCTTACAATGCGTTAAGCAATAGCCTTCATACTTTTTGTATATACCTGCTTAGTAGGGCTTCCCCACCCCAAAGCGGTGTTCTTTTTTATACAAAGTCAGCTTATTGCCCCCTCAATCCGGGTCCTCATTTTACCTCCCTCGGAAGGATGGAAGGCTGAGTCAACCTTGAGCCTGGTGAGATTCGAACTTGCAGTAATTGCAGGCAGCTGGCAGCTAAGTGCTACTTTAACGGCTCTCCCAACATCCCCGCAGCGAGGATTTTCCTGTAATTGACATTTTTTTTTTTTTGTGCACTGTATCCTCCTGCGTTTCCGTAAGGAATCGCGATCCAGAAAAAGCTCTCGCATCACTCAACTGTTTCCGCGCACTCTCCTTGGCTCTCTACCTGTTAACTCTTTATCCTGAATAGAGTCTTCAGTGAACTTGTTCTGACTCAGCCTTAGCAGAAATTTCTGATTGAAATTCTGGTTTCAATTGCGGTTGTTGAAGAAGGAAGGCTATACCTGTAAGGGTGGGGAGAAAGGGCCATGAATGAAACGCCCGTTTGTCTTCTCTTCTCTTCCCCTCCAGCAATCTCCGCTGCTCAACCTCCTGGGCCAGACCAGCTCCCTTCCCTGGCAGCACATCAACATTGTGTCCTATCGGAGCATCCTGGGTTACTTCAATAGCCACTACCCTCCCGCCATCCTTCTGGCCAAGGAACCGGCCGCTGAACTGGTGGTGAAACTCTTGAAGGTGTCTGCCGGCTTCAGCACCTCACTGGACAGCAGCGGGCACCTTGTAAGCTGGTTTTCTTTCTTTCTTTCTTTCTTTCTTTTTCTTTCTTTTCTTTCTTTCTTTCTTTTTTCTTTCTTTCTTTCTTCCTTCCTTCCTTCCTTCCTTCCTTCCTTCCTTCCTTCCTTCCTTCTTTCCTTCTCTCCTTCCTTCCTTCTTTTCTTCCCTCCCTCTCTCCCTCCCTCAATTTCTTTTTTTCTTTCTTTCCTTCTTTCTCTCCCTCCCTCCCTCCCTCAATTTATTTATTTATTTATTTATTTATTTATTTATTTATTTATTTATTTATTTATTTCTCTCCCTCCTTCCCTTCCTCAATTTCTTTCTTTCTTTCTTTTTTCTTTCTTTCTTTCTTTCTTTCTTTCTTTCTTTCTTTCTTTCTTTCTCCTTCCTTCCTTCCTTCCTTCCTTCCTTCCTTCCTTCTCTCTTTTCTTCCCTCTTTCTTTCCCTCCCTCCCTCAATTTCTTTTTTCTTTCTTTCCTTCTTTCTTTCTCTCCCTCCCTCCCTTCCTCAATTTATTTATTTATTTCTCTCCCTCCCTTCCTCAATTTCTTTCTTTCTTTCTTTCTTTTCTTTCTTTCTTTCTTTCTTTCTTTCTTTCTTTCTTTCTTTCTCTTTCTTTCTCTCCTTCCTTCTTTCCTTCCCACCCTCCCTCAATTTCTTTTTTCTTTCTTTCCTTCTTTCTTTCTCTCTCTTTCCCTCTCTTCCTTCCTCTATTTATTTCTCTCTTTCTTTCTCTCTCCCTCCTTCCTTCCTTCCTTCCTTCCTTCCTTCCTCTCTCTCTCTCTTTCTTTCTTTCCTTCCTTCTTTCCTTCCCACCCTCCCTCAATTTCTTTTTTTCTTTCTTTCCTTCTTTCTTTCTCTCTCTCCCTCCCTTCCTCTATTTATTTCTCTCTTTCTTTCTTCTCTCTCCTCCCCCTTCCTTCCTCCTTCCTTCCTTCCTTCCTCTCTCTCTCTCTTTCTCTCTCTCTCCTCCCTCCCTCCAGCAAAATCTTTCTTTCCTGCCCCCCCCCCTCCAGATTCCGTTGGAGAGTGAGGACAGAGGGAGGGCCTGTCCTTCATTGTCTTTCTCCTCTCTTTAGGATGCCAGCCTCAAGTGCCAAGCCTTCATTCGGCAGTTTGTCCGCTTCCTTGGTCTTCTGGAACAAAGTGGGACGATTTCTCCAGCAGCCCTGGAGCAGGAATTCTCAAAACTGCTGGATGATATTGCCATCTTCAATCCCCCAGGTGAGTCCTGAGAAAACTGCGCTTGAGTTGAGTGGGGTGGAGAGTTGGGCGTGATCACCAGCTGTCTGCAAGGAGTATAAACCCTTCCATTCCCCACCATCCAGTCAGAGCTGAAGAAGCTTCTTGGATGAGAAGCGAAACGTCTTCAAAAGAAAAAAAACCAGAAAGTCCAGTTGCCTCTTGAAAAAGCATCCTTGGGACAAGCATGACCCGGATGACTGAGAGTCTATCCAGACTGTTATCTCCCAACCATTCCAAAAAAAGCCTCCTTTTCAACCAGATCTTTAACCCGCGACTCAGAAGTTCCTTTAGTTCTGTATTTGCACAACATTGGAAAAATGAGAAAACTCCTTTGTATGAAAATATAATTAAAAAGAATATTAGAGTGGGCAGAAATGGATAGGTTAACATTAAAGATAAAAGAGTCACAGAATATAACTTGGGATCTGTTTTACCAATGGTTAGATAATAAAAATAGAAATTAAAAGTTGGAAGAGTATTATTATATACAAGTAAAGAATATTATTATCATTATTATTATTATTATTCATTAAACATGAAACTCAGTCAACTGAACATTCAAAAATGCATCAGAAATACCATTGACTGGTGCTAATGGTTGATACGGGTTGCTGCCAGCCTCCTTAGGTATCAACCAAGTACCTTCTTAAGATGTACAGTGTTCCGAGTAGCGCAGTTTTTTGCTGTTTTGGTGTTATTACAGAAGCTGCAATTTCTTGATGTGTTTTGCAAAATTCTTGGACATTGTACCAAGTGCCCCGATGACAATGGATATCACTGTTAACATGTTTCATCCACAGTTGCGTAGTTTCGACAGCCAGGTCACGATATTTCGTGATTTTTTTTCCATTGTTTTTTTTTTCGACTCTGGCATCTCCTGGTACAGCGATATCAATAAACTGTATGCTTCATATATAATAATAATAGTAATACCACCTAGGACGCTGGCAGCAACCCATATCAGCCATTAGCACCAGGGGTGAAATGCTCCTGGTTCGGACCGGATCGCCCGATCCAGTAGCGATGGGAGGCGGGTGGTTCGGAGAACCGGTAGCAAAAATCCCTGCCCCCCCCCCCATGCCCAGCTGAGCCGCACAATCATCAGAGGCTTTTTTTAAAAAACTTTTAAAAGCATTTTTTGTACAACCTCTTTGGCCGAAAAAATACTTTTAAAAGTAAAAAAAAATGATCGTGCGGCTCAGCTGGGATCATCAGAGGCTTTTAAAAGAAAAAAACCCTTTTTTTCTTTTAAATGCCTCTGACGATCCAAGCTGATTTGCCTGATTGTCAGAGGCATTTAAAAGAAAAAAAAGTCTCCGCCGATCAGGCAACTCAGCTGGGATCGTCAGAGCCTTTTGAAAGTATTTTTTTACAACCTCTTCGCTGAAGAGGTTGTAGAAAAAATGCTTTTAAAAGTAAAAAAAAAAAAAAATTGGCCATGCCCACCTAGTCACATTACATCCCCCCCACCAAGCCACAGAACTGGTAGTAACAAATTTTAGATTTCACCACTGATTAGCACCAGTCAATAGTATCTGTGACACATTTTTAAATGTCCAGTTGACTGAGTTTCATGTTTAATGAATAATAGAGGAAATAATAATAATTTGTAAAATGACCCAGACACAATACACTGTCTATTAAATACTTATGTAGGTTAAAGAAAAAGGTATAAATAATCAACTTTGTTTTTCAACTTTGCTTTGCAGACGCCGATGTCCAGGTTCGCCATGTGTCCTTAACCAGCCTCTTTGCCGAAGCCCTGATGGTGATCAACAACGCCAGTGCCGCCTCGGCAGAATCCCTCCTGGTTTGCCTGTGCCGCTGGGTTGACGGCACAATGCGTGGCTTAGGGGTGATGCCCCTCTTAAGAGCCTCTTGTCAGAGTTTGGCCTCTGTCCAACACATGGCCATGACGATGGAGGCCTGTGTCACTGCCTACTTTAACGAAGGTGAGACGTGGCTTCATTCCCGGCAACACTTCCGAGTTGGCTCTCATGTCTTTTTTTCCCCCTTTATGGAACTGTTCTGACCTAGGCTTCCTGAGTCAGTCAAACACACGAGTAGTCCCAAAAGCTTCTTTTATTGCAACAGCTGTGAAGTCTTTCATGAGTCCCAAATAGTTGTAAAGAGTCCTTCAGGATAAGGCTGATAAATCACCCACCTTTTATCTCCCTTGATATGCTGCCCAAGACCTAATCGGCAAAGCCACATGGAGTCCAGAATCAAACAGAGCTTCAGACTTTAAACTGAACAGAACGAACAAACGTTGCTTCCTGCAAAGGCCCACGTGCCTTTGCTCCTCTTTTAAGCCTTATGGGAGGGGCCAATCATCTCCAGGCCTTAATCCCTAGTTGTCCCACCCTCCCGTGACATATAATTCTTACTATTCAAAAAGTGAACCTCTACTCACAGGAGGAAGCCTAAAAGGCCGTTAACCTGGTTTAAACAAGGTTCCAATTCTCCCCATTAAAAATCAAATTGTCCCCCTGTGGGGTGTGGGCCCCACGTTGGGAATCACTGGTCTAGACAGTCACTTATCTGAAATATAGGTTTTCCTGCTTGAGCAGGGCTGGACTAGAAGATCTTTAAGCAGTGGTGGGTTCCTCCCGGTTCGGCCCGGTTCGGCCCAGCCGGTAGCGGTAATGATATGACGTCACCGAACCAGTTCTCTTTGTTCGGGAGCTGGGCCCTCCCGCCCCCCCACATTATTCTTACCTTTTATTTGGCCCCGCCCCCAATCTATTCGCTGCCTCCCGAGTCCCAGCTGATTGGCTAGAACAAAAAAAACTGTTTAAACTCTTGCTGCAGGGCTTCAAAGGGCCGCCCTACAGCTGATCAGTGTTAAAAGGCAGTGTGGTGGTAGACCAGTGCGCTTGCAAAACAAATGGGTAGACCAGTGCCTCCAAAAACAAATGAGTAGACCAATGCCTCCAAAAACAAATGAGTAGACTGGTGCCTCCAAAAACAAATGGGTAGACCAATGCCTCCAAAAACAAATGGGTAGACCGGTGCCTCCAAAAACAAATGGGTAGACCAATGCCTCCAAAAACAAATGAGTAGACCAATGCCTCCAAAAACAAATGGGTAGACCGGTGCCTCCAAAAACAAATGGGTAGACCAATGCCTCCAAAAACAAATGAGTAGACCAATGCCTCCAAAAACAAATGAGTAAACCAATGCCTCCAAAAACAAATGAGTAGACCAATGCCTCTAAAAACAAATGGGTAGACCAATGCCTCCAAAAACAAATGAGTAGACCAATGCCTCCAAAAGCAAATGAGTAGACCAATGCCTCCAAAAACAAATGAGTAGACAATGCCTCCAAAAACAAATGAGTAGACCGGTGCCTCCAAAAACAAATGGGTAGACCAATGCCTCCAAAAACAAATGGGTAGACCGGTGCCTCCAAAAACAAATGGGTAGACCAATGCCTCCAAAAACAAATGAGTAGACCAATGCCTCCAAAAACAAATGGGTAGACCGGTGCCTCCAAAAACAAATGGGTAGACCAATGCCTCCAAAAACAAATGAGTAGACCAATGCCTCCAAAAACAAATGGGTAGACCAATGCCTCCAAAAACAAGTGGGTAGACCGGTGCCTCCAAAAACAAATGGGTAGACCGGTGCCTCCAAAAACAAATGGGTAGACCAATGCCTCCAAAAACAAATGAGTAGACCGGTGCCTCCAAAAACAAATGGGTAGACCAATGCCTCCAAAAACAAATGGGTAGACCGGTGCCTCCAAAAACAAATGGGTAGACCAATGCCTCCAAAAACAAATGGGTAGACCGGTGCCTCCAAAAACAAATGGGTAGACTAATGCCTCCAAAAACAAATGGGTAGACCGGTGCCTCCAAAAACAAATGAGTAGACCAATGCCTCCAAAAACAAATGGGTAGACCGGTGCCTCCAAAAACAAATGGGTAGACTGGTGCCTCCAAAAACAAATGAGTAGACCAATGCCTCCAAAAACAAATGAGTATACCGGTGCCTCCAAAAACAGATGAGTAGACCGGTGCCTCCAAAAACAAATGAGTAGACCGGTGCCTCCAAAAACAAATGGGTAGACCGGAACGCTCCAAAAACAAATGGGTAGACTGGTACAGCTCTGCTAGCAGTTAAAAGCCTGGTAGACCAGTAACTCTGCTAAATCCTATAGAATTGTCACATGACCATCAAACCACGCCCACAAAATAAGCCACGCCCACAGAACCGGTAGTAAAAAAATTTAGAACCCACCCCTGCCTTTAAGGTCCTTTCCAGCTCGCTCACTCACTCACTCACTCATTCATTCTGTTGAAGAAACAAGCAACCTGGAATTAAGGAGAAACTTCCTAATAGTGAGAATAATTAACCACTGGAACAGCTTTCCTCCAGAAGTTGTGGGTGCTCCATCACTGGAGATTTTTAAGAAGAGACTGGGCAGCCATTGGTCTGAAATGGGATAGAGCCATGATGGCGAACCTATGGCATGCATGCCACAGGTGGCACGCAGCACCCTTTCTGTGGGCACGCAAGCCGTCGCCCCAGTTCAGCTCTGCTGCGCATGCACGCGTGCCTCCCGCCAGCCAGCTGGTTGTCGGGTCATGCATGCACAAGGGGTGGGCCGCATGTGAGGGAAGCTGTGCGTATGCACGGGGGCGGGGCATGTGGGGGGGGGTCGTCTACGCATTGCATTTTGGGGTTCGCTTTGGGCACTCAGTCCGGAAAAAGTTAGCCATCATTGGTATAGGGCAGTGATGGCTAACCTTTTTGCCATCGCGTGCCAGGAAGGGGGGGCGGGGGAGGTTCGTGTGCATGCGTACCCACACCCATAATTCTATGCGCCCCACCCCACGCATGCGACCCCCCCTCCCTCCCCTAGCACGCGATGGCCCGGTAGGCCCGTTTTTCTTTCTCACCTGGCTCCAGATCCTCTCTAAGCATCTGGGGAGGGCGAAAACAGCCTTCCCCACTCCCTCAGAGCTCCCCCGGGAGGCCTGAAACAGCCCGTTTCACAACTTCTGGTTGGACAGGAAGTGACTTTTTTGCTGTCCCCGGCCTCCAGAGACTGCGACGCATGCGCGCCAGAGCTGAGCTGGCGTGCCAGGAGACATGGCTCTGCGTGCCGCCTGCGGCATGCATGCCATAGGTTCGCCATCACGGGTATAGGGTCTCCTGCTTGAGCAGGGGGTTGGACTAGGTCCCTTCCAGCTCTATTTTGATTGATTGATTGATTGCTATGCTATTAATCATTGCCTAGATGAGTTAGTCTAACAACTTTTCTTTTTTCCTCCTCTTCTCTCCCTCCACACCATCTTCCCTCTCCCCCCTCCCCTTTTCTTGTTTTGGGATGAAGACCCTCCTCTCAACCAAGATTTGGGCTGGGGACCAATCGTGGCCTCCTTGCAGGTTCCAGAACTCGCAGCCGAAGACTTCCTCCAAGAGTCCCTTTCGTTGGGCGGCTACCTAACCCTGTATGTTTACACCCTGCAGCAGCTGAACGCTGAGCGGACACTAACCAACGAAATGGGAGTGCTCTTAACTCTAAGCAAGTGGTTGGAACAGGTGTATCCCAGGTAGATCCGTATAGGACTTATCCGTATTTTTCTGAATATAAGATTCTCCGGACTATAAGACACACCTACCTTTTTGGGGGAGGAAAACGAGAAAAAAAAATCCACCTCTGTCTCCCAGCAATTTGCCTCCTTGCAGCAAACAGCCTGTTTCAGTTTCAGTTTCAGCACAGCCTAATTAGCCCAAGGAAAAAAATAATCTGCCTGTGCCTCCCAGCAATTTTGCCTCCTTGCAGCAAACAGCAAAGGCCGAAAATGGGGCGTGCGGAGGCGGCAATAGGCAATGGCAATCCTGCAGCCTTGAAACATCCCACCTTTCTTATTATAAAAAAAAAACCCCCAAGGTGGGGAACAAACAGGTAGTCCTTGACTTACAGCTCCAACAGTTCGTTTAGTGACCGTTCAAAGTTACAACGGCACTGAAAAAAGCGACTTATGACCGTTTTTCACCGTTACGACCATCACAGCATCCCCACAGTCACGTGATCAAAAGTTCGGACGCTTGGCAATCGGTTCATATTTATGACAGTCGCAGCATCCCGGGGTCATGGGGTCTCCTTTTGCGACCCTCCGACAAGCAAAGTCAAGGGGGAAGCCAGATTCCCTTAACAACTGTGTTGCTAACTTAGCGCCTGCGCTGATTCACTTAACAACGGTGGCACGAAAGGTTTTAAAATGGGGCAAAACTCAGTTAAGTGTTTCACTTAGCCACATAAATTTTGGGCTCAATTGTGGTCATGTCAAGGACTACCTGTATTTATTTAGCATCCCACCTTTTATTATTTTTATAAAAAAACCCAAGGTGGCAAACATATTTAATAGTCCCTTCTCATCCTACTTTCCCTATAACAACAATCCTGTGAGGTGGGTTGGGCGGAGAGAGAGAGGGTGACTGGCCCAAAGTCACCCAGCTGGCTTCCATGCCTAAGGCAAGACTAGAACTCACAGTCTCCTGGTGCTGGGCCTAAACTCACCCAGTTGGCTTACATGCCTAAGGCAGTACTCCAATTCTCTCAGTGGTTAGCTGAAAGTCACCCAGCTGGCTTTCAGGCCTAAGGCAAGACTAGAACTCACAGTCTCCTGGTGCTTGATCTAAACTCACCCAGTTGGCTTTCATGCCTAAGGCGGGACCAGTACTCCAATTCTCTCAGTGATTAGCTGAAAGTCACCCAGCTGGCTTCCATGCCTAAGGCAAGACTAGAACTCACAGTCTCCTGGTGCAGGGCCTAAACTCACCCAGTTGGCTTTCATGCCTAAAGCAGGACCAGTACTCCAATTCTCTCAGTGATTAGCTGAAAGTCACCCAGCTGGCTTTCATGCCTAAGGGTGAACTAGAACTCACCGTCTCCTGGTGCATGATGTAAAATCACCCAGTCGGCTTTCATGCCTAAGGCGGGACCAGTACTCCAATTCTCTCAGTGATTGGCCGAAAGTCACTCAGCTGGCTTTCAGGCCTAAGCAGGGCTAAAACTGGTTCATAGACGGATGCCTTTAACTGCTTTGTCCCTTCCAAAAGGAAGGTTGCGAAATAATTACGCTTCTAGCCAACCCATTCCCCGGATTTTGCAATTGGATTCTTTCAAGCGGCGTCCCCAGGCCGTTCAGCTGATACCGGAGAGCTGGTGGTTGTTTCTAACTGGACCGTGTCTTTCTGGGTTGCTTCCCTGCCCAGCTCTGCCAAGGATGAAGCTAAGCTGTTCCTTTGGTGGCACAAAATCCTGCAGCTCTGCCTGCTCCAAACCGAACAGGAAGATCCCATCTTGATGGAATCGGTCATCCGGGTCTTGACAGCTCTGCAAGGCCGGCAGAGTCTGCTGGCCGAAGAGAGGCTCACCTCTGGACTCCTCGGCGCTATTGGGCTGGGCAGGAGGTCTCCTTTATCAAACAGGTAAAAATGGGTGGGCTTCAAAAATTTTAGCAAGGGGTTCTCTGCCCAGTTGCTGGGTGGGCGTGGCCATGGTGGGTGTGGCCTAGTTTTTTTTGCCCTTCCCGGGCTCTGGAGGCTTTCCTCTGGTGCCTGGGGAGGGCTAAAACAGCCTCCCCAGGCTCTGGAAGCCCTCCGGAAGGTGGTTCCGGCTTTCCCAAACTTCCTGTAGGCCCATTTTTCGACCTCCCCGAGCCTCCGCGCGCACCCTCCACTTACCTGCATCCAAAACGGGTCGCGTGGGGACTCCTGGGAGGGGGAGGGTTGAGTGGGCGGGGCCAGCCAGGAGTGGGATTTGGGGATTCTCCGAACTGCACAGAACCTTAGCTAGAGGTTCTCCCGAACCCCTACGAACTCCCAGCAGCCCACCCCTGGGTAAAAACATGAAGAACCAAAAGGTGGCCCTTCCCGGTTGTGTGAAACTGCCTCGGAGACTGTCTATGGAGATTCTTCAGTCAACCAGGTCATGATTGTCCCCACAAAGGTGCTTTTTTCCCAACTGGACTTTCTTGTTGTTTTTCTTTTGAAGACGTTTCGCTTCTCATCTAAGAAGCTTCTTCAGCTCTGACCGGATGGTGGGGAAATGGAAGGATTGATCCTCCTTGCAGACAGCTGGTCATTTGCATCCTTTTTTAGAGAGTCGTTGAGGCCCCTTGGAGGTTTTGTCTGTGTCCTCAGGGTCGCCTGAGTGGTGCAAATGGGCGTGGAGCCTCCTTGGAACCGCTGAGCGGATTGCGTTGTAGACAAGAGATAGATGATGATTATGGCTTGACCCCATCCTTGCGGTTTTAAATTTATAATTGGTTTTAATTGGGTTATTTTAAATTGATGGCCAAAATTATTTAATGTTTTTTAAATTGTTTTTAAATTTTATATGTTGTGTTTTTACCGTGGCTGTTCACCGCCCTGAGTCCTGTTGGAGATGTGCGGTATACAAATTAAATAAATAAATAAATAAATAAATAAATAAATAAGTAAGTAAGTAAGTAAGTAAGTAAGTAAGTAAGTAAGTAAGAGCTGTGGTGGCGCAGTGGTTAAGAGTGCAGTACTTTCAGGCTACTTCTGCTGACTGCCGGCTGCCTGCAATTTGGCAGTTCAAATCTCACCAGGCTCAAAGTTGACTCAGCCTTCCGTCCTTCCGAGGTCATTAAAATGAGGACTCAGATTATTGGGGTCAGGAGGCTGACTCTGTAAACCGCTTAGAGAGGGCTGTAGAGCACTGTAAAGCGGTATATAAGTCTAAGTGCTATTGCTATTTTTTTTTTTTTTTTAATTTGATTTATATGCCGCCCTTCTCCGGAGACTCAGGGTGGCTTACAATGCTCTAAGCAATAGCCTTCATCCTTTTTTTGTATATTTATACAAAGTCAGCTTATTGCCCCCACAAACTGGGTCCTCAATTTACCTGCCTTAGAAAGGATGGAAGGCTGAGTTAACCTTGAGCCTTGGCGAGATTCGAACCTGCAGTAATTGCAAGCAGCTGGTCTTAATAACAGGGTGCCTTAGACCACTGTACTACCAAGGCTATTGCTATTGCTATTGCTATCCCTCCCTGGCTGTTGAGAGTGGGTTGTTCAGGGAAACGGGATGATTTATATTCTGGACAGAGAGGACTGCTGGTTTGAAAGAGGGGTCAAAGAGGCCATCTATGTCAAAATTGAACAGCCCTCTCTCAACAGAGGGGGAGAGATATGCCATCATTTATCTCCAATCTACAACACAGTCCTTTCAGCTATTCCAAAAATGCTCCACACCCATTTGCTCCACTCAGGTGACCCTGAGGATACAGACAAAACCTCCAAGTGGCCTCAACGATTCTCTAAAAAAGGATGCAAATGACCAGCTGTCTGCAAGGAGGATCAATCCTTCCATTCCCCACCATTCGGTCAGAGCTGAAGAAGCTTCTTGGATGAGAAGCGAAACGTCTTCAAAGAAAAAACCAGAAAGTCCAGTTGCTTCTTGAAAAAAAAGCACCTTTGGGACGCCTCTGAGAATTTACCTGCGTGTCTCAGTCCTCACCTGTACCCTGTGGTATTTTGGCTTACAAGGTGGAATCTTAACCTGCCTATCTTGCCTTATGATATGAGAATCCAGAGGTGAAATCCAGCAGGTTCTGACAGGTTCTGGAGAACCGGTAGCGGAAATTTTGAGCAGTTTGGAGAACCAGCAAATACCACCTCTGGCTGGCCCCAGAGTGGTGAGGAAATGGGGATTTTGCAGTATCCTTCCCCTGGAATAGGGAGGGAATGGGGATTTTGCAGTATCCTTCCACTGGAGTGGGGAGGGAATGGGAATTTTGCAGTATCCTTCCCCCAGGAGTGGGGAGGGAATGGGGATTTTGCAGTATCCTTCCTCCAGGAGTGGGGAGGGAACGGGGATTTTGCAGTATCCTTCCACTGGATGGGGAGGGAATGGGGATTTTGCAGTATCCTTCCCCCAGGAGTGGGGAGGGAACGGGGATTTTGCAGTATCCTTCCACTGGAGTGGGGAGGGAATGGGGATTTTGCAGTATCCTTCCCCCAGGAGTGGGGAGAGGAACGGGGATTTTGCAGTATCCTTCCCCTGACATGCCCACCAAGCCACGTCACGCCCACCAAGCCACGCCCACAGAACCGAGTAAAAAAAATTGACTTCTAGCACTGTGAGAACCTATCTTGCATTAAAATAGTCTTGAGTTTGCTCGGGATAAAAATAGCTGTGGTTTCTCATGTGACACAAACCGCTCACAATGACTGATTTTGTCCTTGCCCTCAGTGGACATGGGACACCGGCTCAATTAAACCCAGTGACTTTGTCTCTGCCTCAACTATTTGACTAAAAAGGCATTAGGCGAAAACCTTGCTTGCCAAAACCATATTAACGGAAGTGGATTTTCCATCTGATCCTGTTTAAAACCCACCACCTGCCCATAAGAGCCTCGGTGGTGCAGCAGACTAAAATGCTGTTAAGTGCTAGCACTTAGCTGCTGCAGCTGCCTACAATTAGTGCAAGTGTGAAGTTTCCGAAAGATGCCCTAATTAATTCATGAACCATGAGCCGAACTTCAAAAGAAATACAGTCATTTATTAGGAGCAACATTCCGGCAATACTCAGATGCAGTTAGGACTGATCCCACGTAGATTTACGTTCCCCTATGACCGTGTCTCTCCCCTCCTCTCTGGCCATGTCATAAATCACATTCTCCAATTAACCACTTTGGCTGGCTGTGAAATCCAACACCCTCCTTCTGATTGCGGTCAGAAAGACTGTATGGAATGCACTTCAGTTAGGGAAATCAATCAGCTCTATCAGTTCTCCCTCCCTCCTGCTCATGGCAACTTGAAAGCTTTGCAAGTTGACATTCGGCTCCCCTCACTTCCCGAGGGCGACCTGCGCAAAGCAAAACATTTTGAGTACAGATGCAGAGTTTAGGGACGTGACCCCCCCACCTGGCTTGTTTGGATTTTCTGCATGAAATTTGGCAATAAGGCGATCGGCCTGGATGTTTCGACTCTTTACCCAAGATGCCTCTGATAAGGGGTAACTCTTCCACTTGATTAATTGAAAGCTTTGCAAGTTGACAGCAAGTTCGAATCTCACCAGGCTCAAGGTTGACTCAGCCTTCCATCCTTTCGAGGTAGGTAAATTGAGGACCCGGATTGTGGGGGCAATAAGCCAACTTTGTATAGAACAACACCGCTTGGGGGGGCCGAAAGCCCTAATAAGCAGGTATATACAAAAAGGTATGCAGGCTATTGCTATAATGCATTGTAAACCGCCCTGAGTCTACGGAGAAGGGCGGCATATTAATTGGACTAATAAATTTTCCCGCGATCAATTGTAGAGAGCCTCAGATGAACATTTGGACAGATATACAGATACCCTGTTTTCCCGAAAATAAGACATCCCCTGATAATAAGCCCAATCGGGGCTTTTGAGCACCTGCGCCTCCCCCCCTCCGAAAATAAACCCTCCCCGAAAATATTTAAATGCAGAGCTGAAAATTAGGTAAAATGGCAAGAGGAACCACATCTAGCTCCATGCGCCCCAAAATAATAAGACCTCCCCGAAAATAAGGCCAAGTGCTTATTTCGGGATTAAAAAAAATATAAGAAGACTAAAGCACTGTAATTTAACACCAGCTGTCTGTAATTAAAGTAAGTTCGAATCTCACCAGGCTCAAGGTTGACTCAGCCTTCCATTCTTTCTAAGGTAGGTAAAATGAGGACCCAGTTTGTGGGGGCAATAAGCTGACTTTGTATAAATATACAAAAGTATGAAGGCTATTGCTTAACGCATTGTAAGCCACCCTGAGTCTCCGGAGAAGGGCGGCATATAAATCAAATTAAAAAAAAAGAAAGAAAGAAAGACAGGGTCTTATTTTCAGGGAAACACAGTAATACCTAGGATAATTTCATAGGCTAAAGGAAATCAGACTTCCCTGGCAAGTTTAAGTTGTGTGATCTTCAACTGTTGTCCTCTGAATTTGTGTGTGTGTGTGTGTGTATCTATTTGTATTTCCCTTCCTCCACAGAAGAACTAACACACGTTTAATCCCTTTTGTGATTTCCTAGCTGAGTAGGATACTTATTGACCTCATGTCAAGTCATATACAGGTAGTCCTCGACTTACAACCACAATGGAGCCCCACATTTTTGTTGCTAAGTGAAACCTTTGTCAAGTGAATTTTGCCTTCCTTTTACGACCTTTCTTTTTACAGTTGTTAAGGGAATCACTGCTGTTGTTAGCGTTACTCTCACGGTCGTTAAGTGAATCCAGCTTCCCCATGTGTCAGAAGGTCACAAAAAGGGATCACATAACCCAGGGACGCTGCAACCCGTCATAAATATGAGTCAGTTGCCAAGCAGCTGACTTTGAATCACGTGACCACGGGGACGCTGCCACGGTCGTAAGTGTGGAAAACGGTCCTAAGTCACTTCTTTCCGTGCCGTTGTAAACCTGGAACGGTCCCTAACTGAACTGTTGTAAGTCGAGGACTACCTGTATAGTTACAACGTTGAGTTTAATTACACAGTGGTGGTGGTAGTGGGGGGAAATTGTGAGTAAAATGTGGGTATTTGCGTGTGTGAGAATTAGCACCCCGGTGACTCGATGTACAGATTAACAGATTAACAGAGTTGGAAGGGACCTTGTAGGTCATCTAGTCCAACCCCCCGCTCAAGCAGGAGACCCAACACCAATTCTTAACTCTCCTCTCTGGATTTTTTTTCTCGGCAGGTTCCGTGTCCTTGCCCGGAGCATGTCAACTTTCCTGCTGGTGCAGGTTCCGGTAGAGAATCAAATTCGGCTGAGATCTAGCCTGGAATTGCAATTGTCTTCAAAAGCTCAACAGGTCCGTTGAGTTCTTGGTGCTTTCAGGGAGGGGTTGCTCTTAACTCTCAACACTTACAAACACCCGTACGAAAGTGTGTCAACGTGTGTAAGAAAGTGATAAGGATGAGCACCTAGGACGGGGATCAGCAACCTGTGGCTCTGGAGCCGCATGTGGCTCTTTCACCCCTCTGCTGCGGCTTCCTGTCACTCAAAATATGCATCACAACCGCCAATGTGCGACACCCATCAGCACGCGATTATTGAGCTTTTCAACCCCCCCAGTAGGCCAACCATGGATAAATCCAAGAAAAGAAAAGTTTCAGAAGAAAACAGATGGTTTAATTCAACTCCATATGCTAGTTTTGTGGCTGCTCAAGAAATAGTCAGGCCCGGGAAGGGTTTTGTGGCTCCCCGGTGTTTTCTTTTCTGTGATGAAACGGGTCCAATTGGCTCTTTGAGTGTTTTTAAGGCTGCAGACCCCTGACCTAGGAGATTCTCAGTCATCCAAGTCAAGGTTATCCCAAAGGTGCTTTTTCAATATGCAACTGAACTTTCTGGCTTTTCTTTGAAGAGGTTTCGCTTCTCATCCAGGAAGCTTCTTCCGCTCTGACTGGATGGTGGGGAATGGAAGGATTTATCCTCCTCGCAGACAGCTGGTCATTTGCATTCTTTGCGACTGGACTTTCTTGTTTTTTCTTCGAAGTCGTTTCACTTCCCATCAGTGGTGAAATGTAAAATTTGTTACTACCGGTTCTGTGGGCGTGGCTTGGTGGGGGGGGTGTAATATGACTGAGTGGGCGTGGCCAACTTTTTTTTTTTTTTACTTTTAAAACCATTTTTTCTACAGCCTCTTCGGCTGAAGAGGTTGTAAAAAAATGCTTTTAAAAGCCTCTGACGATCCCAGCTGACTTGCCTGATCGGCAGAGGCTTTTTTTTCCTTTTAAAAACATTTTTTCTATAACCTCTTCGGCCGAAGAGGTTGTAGAAAAAATGCTTTTAAAAGCCTCTGACGATCCCAGCTGAGCCGTGCGATCATCAGAGGCTTTTTTTTTTTTTTTACTTTTAAATGCATTTTTTTGGCCAAAGAGGTTGTAGAAAAAATGCTTGTTTAAAAAAAAAGCTTCTGATAATTGCGCGGCTCAGCTGGGCATGGGGGTGGAGGGATTTTTGCTACCGGTTCTCCGAACCACCCGCCTCCATCGCTACCGGATCGGGCGATCCGGTCCGAACCGGGAGCATTTCACCCCTGCTTCTCATCCACTTTCAAAGGATAAACAGGGAAGGCCAGTTGCAAAGAATGCAAATGACCAGCTGTCTGCAAGGAGGATAAACCCTTCCATTCCCCACCATCCAGTCAGAGCGGAAGAAGCTTCTTAGATGAGAAGCAAAACGTCTTCAAAAGAAAAAACCAGAAAGTCCAGTTGCCTCTTTAAAAAGCACCTTTGGGACAACCATGACTTGGAGGACTGAGAATCTCTTCCTTGGAATGGTGCAACCATCATAAATACATTCTGGTGGCCAAGTACCTGAATTTTGATCACATGACTTGTGGAGTTGTGGTCAGTGTGAGAAACAGTCATAAGTCCCATTTTTTTTAGTGCCATTGTCACTTCAATGGGGATGCCAGATTCACTTAGCCACGGTGTTACTAATTTAAGAACCGTCGTGATTCACTTAACAACTAGAGCAAGAAAAGTCATGAAATGGGGCAGAATCCACTTAACCACTGTTTCGCTTAGCGACATAAATTTTAGGCTCCATTGCGGCCTACCTGCGTTGCTCCCAACCATCTGGGTCCTCCTTTTACCGACCTCAGGAGGAATGGAAGGCTGAGTCAACCTTGAGCCGGTCAGGATCGAACTCTTGGCAGTGGGCAGAGTTAGCCTGCAATACTGCATTTTGGTTTTCTGGTTAGCTAATGATGGTTTGTCAATTGGAAATGATGGTTTGTCAATTGGAAATGATGGATTGTCAATTGGAAATTATTATTACCCTGTTTCCCCCAAAATAAGACATCCCCTGATAATAAGCCCAATCGGGCTTTTGAGCGCATGGCAATGAGGCCAAGAGCTTATTTCAGGGTTCAAAAAAAATGTAAGACAGGGTCTTATTTTGGGGGAAACACGGTATTATTTATTATTTATTAGATTTATATAGCCGCCTATTCGCCCATGGTGACTCAAGGCGGCTTACAGAATATTAAAAACCACATTTAAAAAACAGTAAAACTAAAAAAAATCAAATGAGGGAATGTCAATTGGAAATGGGCCTGCCCCTGAGATGCACCCGGAGACTCCAGCTGATCCAGAATGCAGCTGCACGGGTTGTTACGGGAGCCCCTCGTTACTCCCATATAACACCCCTCCTGCATGAGCTGCTCTGGTTACCAGTGGTTCTCCGGGTCCGCTTCAAGGTGCTAGTCCTCACCTATAAGGCCCTACATGACTTAGGTCCGGGATATTTGCAGGACCTTCTCCTGCCTGCCTCTCACTGTCCTGTTCGCTCACATAGGGCTGCTCTCCTCAGGGTTCTGACGGTGAACCAATGCCGTCTTGCTGTGCCCAGGGGTAGGGCGTTCTCTGTGGGTGCTCCCACCCTCTGGAATGAATTACCTACTGAGCTCCGGATGGCTCCTGATCTCCGCTCCTTCCGTTGGGACTTGAAGACTTGGCTTTTCAAACAAATAGGCTGAGACTGATTCCGGGCTTTATTATTTACTACTAATTAATTATTTGGATTAAATTATGATTTTATTGTACTTGTTTCTTAACTTGTGTTCGCCGCCCTGAGTCCTTTGGGAGAATGACGGCATATAAATACATGAAATAAATAAATAAATGAATGAATGAATGAATGAATGAATGAATGAATGAATGTCAATTGGAAATCTGTATCGCAAGAGAACTCGTAGCAGTAACAACTTGTCCCGTTAATCCATCCACTTGACATGTTTTGTGTCTGTCCTTCTAGGCTCTCAACGCTCTGGACTCTCTGGCGTCAAACAAACAATACGCGGACTACCAAGGACAGATCCTCCAAGCATCCCAGTTCATCAAAGACTCTCACCATTGCCTACACGACGGGACTCACCTTCTGGCTATCCTCCTCAACACTTTGTACGCGGAAGTGCGTTACTTGGACGCGATACGATAACGGGAAGCAAGCCGGGAGGTTGCTTCTCGCTCTAATCATGGATTATGTTCAGTTTACAGTCGGAGATAATGTTGCACAAGGGATTGGCATACCCGGAGGTATGTTTTGCTGGCCGTGGGAGACGAAAGGAAGGATGGAGAAAGGAAGGATGGGAGGGAAAGTTTGAATTCCCGTTGCCGTACTTTGAAAGCGATTGGGAAGCCCTTGGCTTCCTTCCAGAAGGCCAACCACGGGCCGTTTCCTTGGGATCTGTTCAGGAAGAGCCACTTTTGGTGCGTCAAGGAATTAGCTTTGTTTAAAGACCAACAGTGTCCATTTTCTATTTTGACTGCCTTTTTGTTCACACTTTTTCAAACTTGTGCCATCTTCTTCTTCGTCGCTTTCTTCTTCTTCTTTTTTTTTTTTTGAATGTGGATCTGTTTCCATCTCAAAATGCTGAATGGTCCTTTGACTTCCTGCTCTCCTTAATTGGTTTCCGCCTCTTCCCCAGAAGTGGGGATGTTAAAAATAGGTTCCGTCTGTGAATTAAACTGGAGACTATTTTTTTTGGGGGGGGGGCTGTCTACAATGCTGGATTTATCTGTGGAAGGGATATTAAGGAGGGAGATCCTCGTGTGAAGTTTGCACAATTGATTCTACTTGGAATAAATCACTCGTTTTCCCGATGACTAACTTATCCTGAAGTACAGCGAGACACGATGTTTGCATGAGCGTGGGGAATGTATAATTGGATTAATTATTGGGTGGGGGTGTTGACCTTAAGATAATTTAATTTAGGACAATATAGATTTTTTGCAACAGATACCTTTCGGGAAAAACAGCCAGTTTTACAGGATTCTCGTTGCCTCGGGCTGGTGGCTTGACTCTTAACATATGCCCGTGATGGCAAACCTATGGCACGTGTGCCACAGGTGGCACGTGGAGCCATACCCCTGGGCACGCAAGCGTTGCCCAAGCTAAGCTCCAGCGCGCAAACGCACACTGGCCAGCTGATTTTCGGGCCTTCCGGGCCCACCAGAAGTCGGGAAACGAGCTGTTTCCTGTCTCCGGGGGGATGGGGAAGGCCGTTTTTGCCCTCCCCAGGCTCCTAGAAAGGCTCTGGATCCTGGGGAGAGCAAAAAACGGTCCTACCGGGCCCACTGGGCCATCATGTGCCAAAAACAGGAGAGCGCAGGGGGTCGCACACATATACGTGGGGGGGCGGGAATTATGGGTGTGGGCACACACACGCGACCCCCTCCGCACTCCCCCCATTTTTGGCAGAAGACAGCAAAAAGGTTAGCCATCACTGACATATGCCATTGCCTTGAATGGTTTTTGTTTCTTCCTGCAATCTGACACAATTAACCTGCATTAAACCCAACATTATTCTCACTTCCAATAAGCTAGGGCAGGGGTGTTAAACTCTATTGCATTGTGAGCTGCATCAGGGTTGTGTTTGATTTCTGGGGGCCGGGGTGGGCGTGGCCAGAATGGGCGTGGCCAGCTCAATGTCACTCGTATCGGGAGCGCCTGTGGCGGCCCGAGCGCTCTGCCAGCGAAAACAGGTTCCCGAGCTCCGTTTTCGGCTGCCACGACCTCCTGCAACCCTCTGCCAGCGAAAATGGAGCTCAGGAGGGCTGCACGCGACCCTCACGAACTCCGTTTTTGCTGGAAGAAGCACCACGGGCCAGGTTGCTGTTTCCGGGGTGGCCTTGCGGGCCAGATCTAAGATCCGGTCCACAGGCCTTGAGTTTGACACCCCTGAGCTAGGGCGATTGTCGCTAGAGACACAGACAAAAGACACAGCTTTTACTCTGTGTTGTAAGCAGGTTCTTACAAGAAAACAGTTGGGTGTTTGAAGTTGTCGGAGGAATAGAGGCTCCACAGGACAAAATACACCTCTTTCTATTTTGCTCCAGAACACATCCAAATCTAACATTCAAAATACATTTTTTTCTCCTCTGAGCACATCTGGAATCACCGGTTTATTTTCATACTACCAGCCACACTTAACACACTCCCTTAAAAACGATCTACCATTTACCATATTTTTCAGACTATAAGACAGTTTTTTTGTCTCCCAAAAGGGGGTGGAAATGTCTGTGCATCTTATAGACCAAATATTGCTGAAGCCCCGCCTACCCGCCAACCGTTTTTGGCCTCTGCACGCCCTGTTTTCCGGCCTTTTTCTGGCCTTTTTTTGGCCTGTTTTCAGGGGGGGGGGTTTCAGCCCTTTTTTGGGGTTTTTTTCCGCCTGTTTTCAAGGCTTTTTTGGCCTGTTTTCAAGGCTTTTTTCTGCCTGTTTTTGAGGCCTTTTTTGGCCCATTTTTTGGGGGAAAGCCTCAAAAACGGTCTGAAAAAAGTCTAGAAAACGGGCCAAAAAAAGCCTCCAAAACAGGCAGGAAAAAAGGCTGAAAAAGAGCCAAAAATGGAACTCAGGGAGGCAAAAAAAAATTTGTGGTTGTTTTCCTCTTCTAAATTTAGGTGCCTCTTCTAGTCAGGTGCGTCTTATAGTCCAAAAAATACGGTAACTGGTGCAGAGGCCTCAAATTCTGTTATAGGAGCCTTCAAGTATTAACATCCAAAGTGAACAAAAGCAAAGGTTGTCAGACTTTGCTTAAGCTACCCCTTGTAATCGTCGTGTGATGGCCTTTCACCCCACATGCGTCAAATGCTCTGCACGTTGCTAGCTCAGGGTGTCTTCGCTCCCCCCTTTCTCATTTAAAACGCTATTTCTTTTCGGCTGCTCATCAGTAAAATGCAGAGCGCCTTTCCTTTTGAAAACGGTAATTGCGTTTTCGCACCTCTAGTTTCCACTTAGCAGCGGAGCGTGTTTTCTGCCTAACAGCCCATCCTGATTCATCTGCATCTTACGCGGCCGGTGTTTAGTGATTTTGCCTTTCAGCTAATTATTGCAAAATTAGTCGCTTTTCTCTTCCTCCCGCCTTGCCAAATTATGCAAATTATCGGCGCTTTTTTGGGGGGGGCATAGTTATCTTGAGAAAGGAAGAGGTAGATTGCAGATGGAGATGTTAACACTGGTAGTAGGTTGATCAAAAAACAGTGATGCAAATAGAGGGGGGAGAAAACATTTTCAAAGGATCTTTGTACAGATCTCACAAATGTGTGTGTGTGTGTATGGGGGGAAACCACACTTTTCTTTTGGAGACACACAAAACGTCTTCCCTAATGTTTCTTTTGGCACAGCGGAAACGATTCAAAGAATACATTTGTGGAGGTGCAGGCTGCGGGTGTGTCTGTGTGCGTAGTAATTTGGGGGTATGGTTTTGCACAGAAAGCGTGTTTAAAATAGTCACTACTTTCCTGTATCGCGTGAAATGAAGAGAAATACCAACTTGAACTGCTTTGTAAAGTGCTTTGCCACTTGTGACTTACAAACCAGTGTATGTAAATGTATGTGTACCAGTGTACAGTCCTCAACTTAAAACAGTTCATTTAGTGACTGTTCAAATTTACAAATGACTTACGACCATTTTCATGCTTATGACCATTGTGGCATTAAGCAGTGATTGGCAACTAGTTCCTATTTATGACAGTCGCAGTGTCCCAGGGTCACTTTTGCAAACTTCTGACAAGCAAAGTCAACAGGGAAGCCAGATTCACTTAACCGTGTTACTAACTTAAGAACTGCACCAATTCACTTAACAAACGTGGCAAGAAAAGCCGAAAAATGAGGCAAAACCAGTGATGAAATCCATTTTTTTACTACAAGTTCTGTGGGCGTGGCTTGGTGAGCATGGTGTGGCTTGGTGGGCGTGGCAGGGGAAGGAAGGATACTGCAAAATCTCCATTCCCACCCTACTCCAGGGGAAGGATATTGCAAAATCCCCATTCCCTCCCGATTCCTGGGGGAAGGATATTGCAAAATCTTCATTCCCTCCCCACTCTGGGGCCAGCCAGAGGTGTTTGCTGGTTCTCCGACCTGCTCAAAATTTCCACTGCCGGTTCTTCAGAACCTGTCAGAACCTGCTGGATTTCACCCCTGGGCAAAACTGATTGCAAAACTGAGAAAACCAATTTCTCACTTAGCAACATAAATTCTGGGCTCAATTGTGGTCGAAAGTCGAGGACTACCTGTAGTTATTTGCTGCATTGGTCTTCTTGTTTTCCACTGAGAGGTCCGAGTGATGTACACAGCAGAGTGGGAGTGTGTGATTTTTCTCTGTGGTAACAATCATAATCCTGCGAAGTGGGTTTGAGTGAGAAGAATGGGCCCAAGTCATCCAGTTACACCCTGGCCAAAGTTTGACTTGTTAACCGTTATACCAGAGTAATTTGCAATAGGGTCATTCCATGTCAAGTGGTCTGGGGGTCCCTGCTCGACCATCACGGATTTCGATGAAATTTTGTGTGAACATGCACACATGTCCCCAACGAACATTGGTAAAGTGTTATGTTTGCCGATGCAATACTTGCACAGATATAGACATTTGTGTGATCCCATACTGCAGCCTTCTACAGTATGACTGAGGTTTTAGCAACTTTGAGACATAATATCTCCGGCAATATTTTGTTGAGAGAAACAAAACATGGCCATCTTGTATAACTTTTTGTGCTCTATTAAACAAAATAATAATAATGTTCTCATGAGCGATCTCCATCTAGATAGTTTGGAGCAAAGTTGGCCGAAAATATTGCGGCTTGGAAAAAAGGTTGAAGTTTGGCTTTTTATATCTCTGGAAATCAGACCACTTGACATGGAATGACCCAATACCCACAAGAGAGAGTGGAAGAAATAGAGGTAACTTGCTTGGTGTTGGAATGGGACAGCTTGTTGGTGGCCAACTCTCCATGGCCAACTCATGGCAGGACAACTCCGCACAGCCAACTTGCCACGGCCAACTGTTCATGGCTATCTCTCCATGGCCATCTCTCCATGGCCAACTGCTCATGGCCATCTCTCCATGGCCACCTCTCCATGGCCAACTCTTCATGGCCAACTTTCCATGGCCAACTCTCCATGGCCACCTCTCCATGGTCAACTCTTCATGGCCAACTCTCCATGGCCAACCCTCCATGGCCAATTTGCCATGGCCAACTCTGCACAGTCAACTCCGTGGTCAATTCTTCATGGCCAACTTTCCATGGCCAACTCACTACAGCCAACTCTCCAAGGCCAACTCTCCATGGCCAACTCACTTCGGGACAACCCGCTGAGGGACAATTCAACAATTAAATTTAATTATTTAAAATAATTTTAAAATACATTATAATTTTTGTCATTCATCTTTCATCTTGTCCTTCCTATTTCCTCCCTTTCTTTAATGATTCTGTTCCACCATTTCTTACGTATTGGTGTAACTCTCGTTCCAACACGGCGAGTTGGCAGTTGGAAGTTGGCCACGGTGAGTTGGCCGTGCCGAGTTGTCCGGGATCCACTTGGTGTGATCATCAGGACTTTCCTAGCAGCAGTTGGCAACAATCACAAGCAATGTATCTATGGGGAATTTCGATCCCTGAATTGAAGAAGTTTCTTGGGTGAGAAGCGAAATGTTTGCAAGGAAAAAAATAACCAAGAAAGTCCAGTTGCCTTTTGGAAAAAAAACATATTTGGGGCAACCACAAATGATAGGGTGAACATTCGGTACCAATAGAAGAGAGATGCACCACTGATTGGACTAATAACAAATTAACACCGAACTTTACAACATTCAAATATCCTGCATAGCAACCCAGGAAATGTGGTGAGTTTAAGGTGTCCTGACTTGAATCTTTCATCATCCCCAACCAGAATGGATTCAGAAATTACGTTGACTCCAGAATTGGATGTATCTACTGCAGGTTCTCCACCATAGAAATACCAGTAATTCCATTATTGGCACTCAAATTGAGCAATTGCGGGTTTTAACCACAGCGATCTTGTCACAAACAGACGTGACGGTGACAAACTGAATGGGACCTTCTTCAGAAGAAAAAGGAGAAAGAGTAAACGAAAGATCTGGATCTTTAACAAGTGTTTGTTACTCTAGATTCTGGAGACAGACTTTGACTTATGGAGTTGATTCTCCGATTGAAGTTTTTGTATGGAGATTCTTGCCTCGGTTGTCTGTGAATGAAAGAATCCATGTTAGCAGCATATATGTAAGATAAGCTTACTGTATTTTTTGGAGTATAAGACACACTTTTTCCTCCCTAAAAGAGGGTGAAAATTTGGGTGGGTCTTATACACCGAATTTAGCCCTGCCCACCTGCCGACCCCCACCCTTTGGCTTCTGCCACCCAGCAATTTACCTCCTTGCAGCAAACAGCCCATTTCAGCTTCAGTACAGCCTGATTAGCACAAGCAGCTGATTGTTGGTTGGATCGGCCTCCCGACTCTCAGCTGTTTCAGGCTGCAGGGATTGCCATTGCCTATTGCCCTGCGGGCCTCCACTGTTCGCTGCAAGGAGGCAAATTGCTGGGAGGCAGATTTTTTTTTCTTATGCTAATCAGGCTGTGCTGAAAATGAAACTGAAACTGAAACAGGCTGTTTGCTATTTGCTGCAAGGAGGAACATTGCTGGGAGGCAGAGGCAGATTTTTTTTTCTTGTTTTCCTCCCCAAAAAAGATAGGTTTGTCTAATAATTGGAGCTTCTTATACTCCGAAAAATATGGTAATATATTTCCAGGGTAATAGAATATCTGTAGCTCAGGATTGAACTGTGGGGTCCTTGATATTCTCCAACCTTGGTTGTTTTCTCACAGACATTTCATTACCAAGCTAGGTAACATCATCAGGGCTAGTAACAGTTATGTTTGTTGTCTGAGTTGGTAGTTTTTTGTATCCAACAGCCTAATCAAGAAACCACCAACCAACACTCCCACCAACACTATCACGGCAAGCCACTTCTCTGTAAACAAAAGAGCAAACTCCATTCCCAACTAGCACTGATGATGTTACCTAGTTGGGTAATGAAACATCTTTGTTGTGGCTCTGTTACCTAAGCCTGTGTCATCGGCAGGAGAGTACTCCGAGAGTGAAGGAGAGGAGTTGGCAAGGCCTCCCTCTCCAGGACCCTCCTCTCTGGCAATGCCTTCAGTGTCTGCTGAAGGCAAGAGATAGGGCCAGGGCCAAGTACGTCCACGCAGCCACAGGTGGACAGTGATGAGGGTAATGAGTCTTGGCTGGATCCCCGGCAGCGTCGCAGAGATAAGCGCGCGCAACAGAAGAAAAGGCATGCCAGAGATTAGGCTGAGTCACTGGACCACACCCCACAGGGTATAAAAGAGGGTGAGGTGGCCATTCAGACTCTGTGACGGACAAAACTAACTACTATCGAGTCACATTGCATCTTTGGAAACAACATTATCGGCCTTGGATTTATTTTACGAACTGGATAATTCTTGACTGTGGGTATTTTATTTATTGAGTAAAAGTTCTTGGCAAGCAGCTACTGGTTGCTGCCAAGCATCTTATTGGAAGAATTGGTTGTCTGCCAGTTTATTTAACCCCCAGCTGTCTGTTCGTTTGTGTGTGTGAGACGGGGACAGAACAATCTTCAAGAAAACCACCAAGCTCATAGAGCACCAAGTAGCCCCACATTTCCAATTCGTTTTAAAGACAGGATGGTAAAAATGAACGTTTACTATCAAGACCATCTTCCAATGACTTTTCTCCTCGTCTCTTATTCCAAGGTCTCGTTGATTTCAATAGGAGAGGGTGCTTAACTTTCCAATGGAAATAGACACCCAGCATGTTCCCAGTCTACAAAAAAATGTTAAAGCTATTTTGCTTTTGAATCTTCCGGATCATTGTATTTTAACTTAGGGCCTTGCTTACAGCAGTCCAAACTCCTTGTTTTAGCCCTTCCTTAAGGCTTGGAAGCCAGCTGAAACCCTCTTTTTCAGCCCAAAGAAGAAGGCAATGGCAATGGCAATGACTCTAAAAATGTTGCCAAGAAAACCACAGGGGTACAGTCAGTGGTGGGATTCAGCTGGTTTGGGCAAACCAGTTGTTAAATTGCTGGCTGGCCCCTCCCCTCCCCTTCCAGGAGTCCCCACGCACCCCGTTTTGGCTCCCAGGTAAATGCAGGGAGGCCTACTAGGCCCAAAATGGGACATGGGGGGTGCGGTGCGGCCCCCCTGTGGCCTATTTTAGTCCCAGGAGGCTGCAGGGAGGCCTACTAGGCCCAAAACGGAGCGCGGGGAGATCGGCGGCCCACCCACAGCCCGTTTTTGCTCCCTGGAGGCTGCAGGGAATCTTACTAGGCCGAAAACGGAGCACGGGTGTGTGGGGCGCCCTCCCCTGTGGCCCATTTTTGCTCCCAGGGGGGTGCAGGAGGCTGAGTGCTGCCTGTCACACCCGCTGGCCATGCCCACCATGACCACGCCCACCCAGCCGGTCATTAGGGCAGAGAACCAGTTGTTAAATTATTTGAATCCCACTACTGGGTACAGTTGCCAGGAGTTGCAAACCTCACTCCCTGTAGCACTGATGATGTTACCTAGTTTGAATAATGAAACGTCTGCAAGAAAACAACCAAGCTCAGAGAGCAAACAAGGACTCCTCATTTCAACCGTAATATCCCCTCTTATCAGAACCGAACGAATAATTCTTATGGTAGCATGAACATGCTTGTTCTTTCATCCTTTCAAAAATCCCCTGATCTGGTTTGTTTACTGGCTGCGGAATTCTGGGAGTTGAAGTCTACAGGTCTTCAACTCGCTGAGATTGAGAAACACTGATCTAGAGAGACCATAAATCCTTCATCCATTATCTGGTGCAGCTTACACCTTCCTCTTGGGGTGTGCGAGCTTCCCACTCTTTGCAACGGGAGACAACATGGTGCTATTAAATTGTAAAATTAACTAATAAAAATTACGAACATAAAATAACAGCTGCTATTCTCTGGAAGGCTGTGTGACCAAGCAAGAAGCTAAATATTTGACGTGCAACGAATTTCTGGTGCTCCGTTTTCTGCTCTTCGAAGAAGGAACCATGATTCACCGTTTCCCAAATTAGAGGCCTCAATTATGCGGATCTTTCTGCTTCCTTAAAGGAATGGATTTCATTAGTAATCCTTAGTAATTGTAATTGTAGCAGAAAGCTACAAGTTGCTGGGTTGTTTTTTTTTTAAGAAGAAAATAGAAATGAGTGTCCTCTTTGGGATATTTTGCCCCTCCTCCACTTTTCTCCTCTGACAACTCCAGAACGGATTTCCCACTGTTGCTTTTTTGGGTTTGCCGAGATCCATATGTCAACCCAAAACCCTAAGTCGGGTGTCAGCAACCTGTGGCTCCGGAGCTGCATGTGGCTCTTTGGGCCCTCCGCTGTGGCTCCCACCACTGGCTGGCCCCACCCCTCACTCTCCCCTCCCAGTCATTCCTCGCCTGGCCTGAGAAGATAAGGGTGACGGCGGGGGATGGAGAAACAGCCAGGGCAGAGACAGAGAGATAAAGAGAAGGAGGCAGGGAGGGAGAGAGAGATGTCAAAAGGATTTTGTGGTTCCCGGTGTTTTTTAACAACCGGTTCTCTGCCCTAATGACCGGCTGGGTAGGCGTGGCTAGGGGGGGTCATGTGACTGGTGGAAGTGAGTGACGTCGAGTTGGCCACGCCCAACCAGGTTTTGTGGCTCCCGGTGTTTTCTTTTCTGTGGGAAATGGGTCCAAATGACTCTTTTGAGAGTTTAAGGTTGCAGACCCCTGCCCTAAATAATACAACTCACAGCGGTGGAATGGTATTAACAGGAGACCACGTTCACAGATCAGTAGTAGATTTGCGGTGAAGAATTTCCTTCAAGAACAACCATAGTCTGGTCTTCTAGAACAGGGGTATTCAACCTTGGCAACTTGAAAGACTTGTGGACTTCAACTCCCAGAATTCCCTAGCCAGCTATGCTGCCTGGGGAATTCTGGGAGCTGAAGTCCACAAATCTTCAAGTTGTCAAGACTGGATACCGCTGTTTTTTAGAAGGGAAATCTTTTTATTTCATGAATCGATTCAGCTGTCCTGCTGGACCCTAATTTCGAATTGGTTCTTCTAGAACAGTGGTTCTCAACCTTCCTAATGCCACGACCCTTTAATACAGTTCCTCATGTTGTGGTGACCCCCAACCATAAAATTATTCCTAAGGCCATTGAAAATATGTGTTTTCCGATAGTCTTAGGCGACCCCTGTGAAAGGGTCGTTCGACCCACAGGTTGAGAACCACTGTTCTAGAACCTTCTGACATCATTGTTTTATTTTATTAGCCTGCAGAGTTCATGGATTAGTTTTGAGTTAGCATGCATTGAGAGTCCCAAAGGTGCTTTTTTCAAGAGGCAATTGGACTTTCTGGTTTTTCTCTGAAGACAGTTTGCTTCTCATCCAAGAAGTTGGAAGAGAGTGGAAGAAGCTTCTTGGATGAGCAGCGAAACGTCTTCAAAGAAAAAAAAAACAGAAAGTCCAGTTGCCTCTTGAAAAAGCACCTTTGGGACAACAGTGACCTGGATAACAGAATTTCCATAGATACGGAAAGGAGGTTCAATGTACGCTTTTAAAAATAGATTTCGACCTCATACAACGAGCCAGATGATGGTCAGATGATAGGAAACCAAAGCAGCTGGCTGACCATTTTTCTAAGGTCTACTTGTGGGCTGCTTCCTATTCGGATCACAGGTGTTGAACTATCAGCTCCGTCCAATTGAAATTCTGCAAAGCAAACCCTTCCCTTTTCCTTCTAACTTGTGGAAACTGCTACGAGATCGATTAACTTCTAGAAATGTACTTATATTCAACGAGACTCTTACCGTGAAAAGCTGGTTGGAACCATAAAGTTATCTGTAATGCAAAAGGTAAGAAAACTAATGGAAAATATTCATGTATTTTTTGCTAAACTATCCCTAGGTGCTCATTATATTAAGAAGGTTGAAATGGCCCAGGACCTTGATGAGTTACATCACGGATGTCCAACCTTGGTGATTTTAAGACCTCTGGACTTCAACTCCCAGAATTCCCCAGCCAGCCATGCTGGCTGGGGAATTCTGGGAATTGAAGTCCACAAGACTAAAGAGTTAGGTAAAAAAACCTGTTGACTTATGCATCTTTCTTCAGGTTCCATATGAAAGTTCATAGGCTTCAGGGCCACATTATTTAAAGATTCTTCTCACTTAAAAAACGAAAAAAAAGTGGACAAGGGACTACAGCAGAGTCTCCTTTTCCAATATTCTGGTTTTCTTCCTTGAAAGATCTTTGTCAGACTTCGATGCTATCTCAAAATAAATGAATTTCCAAACTGCCAATCTTTAAGGAAATCTTTTCTTTAATTGAGCACAGCCACCGGATCATGACTCGATGCGGACAAGACTGACCTTTTGGCCCCCAATCCCTCCCTTTCCGATCCCCAAATCTCTGCTTCTCATTGGCTATCTTCCAAGTCATTCTTCAGACTTCTTGTCATTTCCCAGGAATGTCCCCCCCCTCCTCATTTCCACGACAACCCGACTTCAAAGGGATTTAGCAGGCAAAAGTTCAGAGCTTATCTCTCTCTCTCCTCTGCTCTCTATGCCAGCATTGAAGTGCTGACAATCTTGTGGATTTAAGTTTGGATGTAAGATTGAAGCACCTGGGCTTGGCTGAGATATTATGAAACTGAAAAGAGGATAGCAATAGCAGTAACACTTAGACGTATATACCGCTTCACAGTGCTTTACAGCCTTCTCTAAGCGGTTTACAGAATCAGCCTATTGCCCCCAACAATCTGGGTCCTCAATTTACCCACCTCGGAAGGATGGAAGGCTGAGTCAACCTTGAGCCTGGTGAGATTCGAACTGCCAAATTGCAGGCAGCCAGCAGTCAGCAGAAGTAGTCTGCAGTACTGCACTCTAACCACTGCGCCACCATGGATCAAGGTTGTCTCTACTGGAGCACTAGACAATCTTTCTTCAATCCAGATGGTAGGACATTATTGGTTAGAGGGTGCACAACTATACCAGTTCTCCGATAATTTGCCATTGTGGGTTCGTCTCAGTATTTACCATCTCAATAGCTGCATCAAATCATGGAAATAATGCTACATTGACTGTCTTCACTCAAAACCCTTAAACTGAGTTTCCACAATGCACTGAGCACCCAACCAACCAGACTGATTGTGTTCACACCAAACACCATGCCAGAAAAGTGCAAAGGTTAAAATTAAAATGTCTCACTTTAACAACAGAAATTTTGGGCTCTATTGTAGTTGTACGTCGAGGACTATCTGTATCCTTTCTGGATTCATTCAGCGTGTCAACTAGTTCGTTATACAACCACTCCTTGTTTAAAGATCGCATTCCATTCAAACAACTTGATTGTGAAACATAATGGTTGCAATACAATTGCTTAATGCATTGTAAGCCGCCCTGAGTCTCCGGAGAAGGGCGACATATAAATCGAACTACTAAATAAATAAATAAATCTCTTCCTGATCCACTTTTCTTCACAGCACACTGCTTCTCATCGCAAATTAACAAGCTCAGCTCTGAGCTGGCTGCTGCCTGAAACTGACAAGACTTTAACCATTTCACTCTGAGGATGTTAGTTACCAGGCGCAGGAAATTCGGTGCTAAATACATGCATGAATGATCGCAAAACAAAGTGGTCGTTAAACAAGGAGCGACTTGTACCACAGTGTACTGAATCAACTCCAACTAAGTCAGAGGTCCACATTGGGGTTTACTGCTTGCTTGAACTCAAGCCAAGCCTGTCCTCTCTTGATCTACACAGCCGTCACCGACATTTAAACAAGTGATACATACCTCCCTTGTAAAAGGCCCCGATCCCTAAGATCACCAGCAGGGCCACAAACTTGATCCCCAAAGCTACGTAGAAGAGAATCATGATCCAGGACCCACTTCCGGCTTTGAACTTGTAGAGGTAGACAGTCCCTTCTGCTCTGCCGTGGCTGTTGGTGGCCACACAGGTGTATTTCCCATCGTGAGACAAGTGCTGAAGCTCCTTGGTGATCAGGTGGCCTGTGCTGGACACTGAGGTGGCATTTCCAGACAGGGGACCAGCCCACATTAGGATGGGCAGTGGTTCACCTTCGGCCGTACACTTGGCATGGAAGTCATGATTCTGCCTGGCTTGGACAGAGATATTTATAATCCTGGGAGCAGCTGCAGAAAATACAAAAATAGGAACCATAATTTATTAGTGCTCACTCAGGATCTTATCATTTGTAATATAGTCCCTCCCTGCTTTTAGTGTTTTTCAACCGTTGCAACTTTAAGATGTGTGGACTTCAACTCCCAGAATTCCCCAGCCAGGATGGGGAACTTATTACAACTTACTTTATAGCTTTTAACATTAGTTTGAATCAGTGGTGAAATCCAAATTTTTTTTACTACCAGTTCTGTGGGTGTGGCTTGGTGGGCATGGCTTGGTGGGCGGGACAGAGGAAGGATACTGCAAAATCCCCATTCCCTCCCCACCCCTGTGGGAAGGACATTGCAAAATCTCCATTCCCATCCCAGCCAGAGGTTTTATTTGCCGGTTCTCCGAACTACTCAAAATTTCCGCTACCGGTTCTCCAAACTTCTCAAAATTTCCGCTACCGGTTCTCCAGAACTTGTCAGAACCTGCTGGATTTCACCCCTGGTTTGAATATAGGCTAAATTTGTGGCTTCTGGACATTACCAGGTCCTATTTTTGAAGTTCAGGCATTGCCCCAAGCTACAGGTTGTTTAAAATTATTGATTGATTGATTGATTGATTGATTGATTGATTAAAGCAAAATGGAATGCTGTAAATCATGGCTTGCTTTGTTTTAGTTTATTGGATAAGTTGTAAAGAGCTGGATTCATACAATACAGTATGCTACATTATTATTATTTATCGTAAGGCACATTCACATCACATTTCAATTAAAAAACCACAAGAGATTGTAGAAAGTTAGCACCCACCCCTCTCCTAGAAGAATGAAATATTCTAGGAAATGTTAAAAAGGCAGAATATTATATTTCCCTGGATGAGAAAAGGAGAAACATGTTTTTAAAGACAAAGAGCAGCTCCCTGCCCCAGCAGATATTTGGTGCCCATTGAGAAAGATTGAGCCAGCCTATCTACAAAACATAGGGACACAATGGCTCAGTGGCTGAGACACTGAGCTTGTCGATCGAAAGGTCGGCAGTCCAGCGGTTCAAATCCCTAGTGCCGCATAACAGGGTGAGCTCCCATGACTTGTCCCAGCTTCTGCCAACCTAGCAGTTCGAAAGAATGTAAAAAATGCAAGTAGAAAAATAGGGACCACCTTTGGTGGGAAGGTAACAGCGTTCCGTGCGCCTTTGGCGTTTAGTCATGCCAGCCACATGACCACGGAGATGTCTTTGGACAGCGCTGGCTCTTCGGCTTTGAAACGGAGATGAGCACCGCTCCCTAGAGTCAGGAACGACTAGCACATATGTGCGAGGGGAACCTTTACCTTTATCTACAACACAAAAGACCTTCAGCTACAGGTGATGGGATTAAGACATCTGGTCTTTTAAAAAAAGCTAAAAATAGCAATATCTAGATAAGAGTGAAAATGTTGCAACATTCATGATCCAGATTAAAGTATTTTTAGCCATGGGAACAATTTAAAAGAAAAAAGGTTGCAACCCAGAAATACCAGAGATATCATATGTGTTTGTAGAAAAAGAAGAATGTATTGGCATTTTGTACGTGCAAACACTGACTTAATCTCTCCACGCTTGTCAGCTGTGCTTTTTTGTTTTATCGAGATCAAGGGTGTCTAACCTTTCACTGAGTGAAAAGGAATTGTCTTGGACTGCCTATCATATAATACAGTTAATTTACGTAAATTACATAATAACGTTAATAGTTTGTGAGTGGCTGTATTACTTGTTGTGGCCTGCGGGCTGGACATGCCTGATCTAGACTGTTCTTAGGCCTTTAATTTGGCTCAGTCTGAAGAAGCCTGTTATGGTCCGCCATCAGCCTGCGGAGTTGGCAGCGGAGTCAGACAGTGAGGAGGCTGGGGAGGAACATGGGCCAGTCTTGGAGTCTGGGAAAGGCCCAGACAAGGGCTCTGCGTCGGAGGCAGAGAAAGGGCCATCTGGGAGGTATGTGCTGCCTCCGGAGCCCCCAGAGTCGGACAGCAGAGAGGCAAAGGAACAGGAGGAGCCTGTTCCTAGTGCACGCATGTGCAGAGCTGCCAGAAGGCAAGACCAGCTAAAGCAAAAAGGACAATTCGGGAGTAAGGCCAGGAGATGATTGGCCCCTCCCATAAGGCTTAAAAAAGAAACAAAGGCACTGGGGCCTTTTCCAGGAAAGCAACGTTGCTAACTCTGTTTCCAGTCGGCATCTCTTATTTATTTCTGAACTTTGTGGGGCTTTGCCAAGTAAAGCCTTCAGCAGGGTGTCAAAGAAGATAAAGATTGAAGATTATCCCAAAGAACTTCTTCTGAAGGACTTGTTTTGCAACTAATTGGGACTCAGCTGGGAATGAATGTAATTCTCAGCTGTTACAATGAGAAATAGGTTTATTTCGGACTATTTGTGTCTTGTAATGACTCAGTAAGCCTAGGTCACAACAAAGCCACAATACTGTATTTCACTAGTTGCTGCTGTATTAAATAGAAAAGAGAGAGAGAGAGAGAGAGAGAGAGAGAGAGAGAGAGAGAGAGAGATTTTTTCTTGTAAATGATATACCCTGACATTACACTGTATTCAAAAATGTTTATGAATAAAATTATTTTTTTTTAAAAAAGGATGAACAGTCCATAACTACAGGGCAGGTGGCCAGATTCTGCACAGCAGCACTGTGGATTCATTGCAAATATGTGTCTTCTCCAGAGGTGGATTTCAGCAGGTTCTGACCAGTTCTGGAGAACCAGTAGCGGAAATTTTGAGTAGTTTGGAGAACCGGTTAATACCACCTCTGATTGGCCCTGCCCCCATCTATTCTCTGCCTCCCGAGTCCCAGCTGATCAGGAGGGAATGGGGATTCTGCAGTAACCTTCCCTTGGAGTGGGGAGGGAATGGGGATTTTACAGTATCCTTCCTCTGTATTAGCCCACAGAACCGGTAGTAAAAAAATTTGAATACCATCACTGATCTTCTCCACCATAGTGATGTTATATAACAGCTGTGGCAAACCCTTTGCACTGCTTAGTCCTTTCCCTTTTAGCGTTGAACTTACAACGGGCCACACAGTTTATAGATTGCAACTGTAGTATAATCTGAGCATGTATAATTGACAGATTGGATTTTATTACAAATTTTCTTTCTTTATTATTTTATAGTAGAATTTTTTAATTGTATATTTACTGAGCGTCTTTATTTGTTCTGGTCTCTGGTCCAAGACTGTTAATAAATTGATTGAATTGAACTAGGAGTTTTGCTACATTGCAATGTTATAAGATCCCTTGGGAAATCTCCTCTTGAATCTGTAAAATAAATAAAACCAATATTTTTTTTAAAAAAAGAAGGCATGACCCTTCAGGACATAATAAGACTATCTATCAGTAGATAGATGGCACATGGCACAACCAAGCCCCTTCATTACATCAGCCCTCAGTTCAACCAACCTTAATTGAGACAACCCCAGCTGTGACCTCTGAATAACCCCCTGGGAGTCTGACAGCCAATAGAATACATGCCCTTGCCACTGGAACAGGAAGCTCAAGTTCAAAGCCCAAGAGAGGGTATAAATAACACTCACTCGTGACTCCATTTTGTCAGTTGCACCAGAACATACGATAAACCCATGTGGTCCTGTCTACCAGTGGTGGGTTCTAAAATTTTTTACTACCGGTTCTGTGGGCGTGGCTTATTTTGTGGGCATCGTTTGATGGTCATGTGACAATTCTTTAGGATTTAGCAGAGGTACTGGTCTACCAGGCTTTTAATTGCTTGCAGAAATGTACTGGTCTACCCATTTGTTTTTGGAGGCACCGGTCTACCATCACACTGCCTTTTAACACTGATCAGCTGTAGGGCGGCCCTTCGAAGCCCAGCGGCAAGAGTTTAAAAGATTTTTTCCTTCCAGCCGATCAGCTGAGACTCGGGAGGCAGCGAAAAATTGGGGGTGGGGCCAAATAAAAGGTAAGAATAACGCGGGGGTGGAGGTGGGGGTGGGAGGGCCCAGCTCCTGAACAAAGAGAACCGGTTCGGTGATGTCATATCCTCACCGCTACCGGCTTGGCGGAACCGGGCGGAACCTGGAGGAACACACCACTGCTGTCCACCATTAAACCATCTTTCCAAATCAGCTTCCATCTTTCCAGTGTCTTTCTCCCCACTTGGAACTGAACCCAGGTGGATATTTCTCCCAACAAGATAAACATATAAAATAGGAAATATAAAGTCTAAAATATTATAAACATATGCCTAACTATGCCACAAACAGAACAGCTACTTTATTTTTTTTTTAGTAGTAGATGTAAACTTGGTCAAAATGCCTTCAAGAGCTTCCATGCTCTGGCCCAGTGGTGGGTTGCCCCTGGTTCAGACTGCTTCGCAAGAACTGGTAGTAAAACTGGTGGGAGGCCCCACCCACTGCCCTGGATGTCATCATCAGCGATCTACGCATACGATCCCATTGCGAACCGGTAGTAAAGGTAAGTAGAACTCACTGTTGTGGCCCGTCAGCGGCTTGTGCAGCTGGCGCTCGAATCAGACAATGAGGAGGCTGGAGAAGGTGTGGTGCCAGGGGCGGGGATTCAGCCAGGGCCTTCAGAACTTCCAGAAGCTCCTTTAAGTGAAGATGACGAAGTGGAGGAGCCTCAATGCATGGGCGCACAGAGCTGCCAAAAAGCAGGAGTGGTTCCTCAGGAGGAGGTCTCCTCGAGAGTAAGGCTTGGGGCTAATTGGCCATTCCCTTAGCCTATTTAAGGAAGGACAACGACTGATGCAATTTGCAGGAAACAACTTCGTTCCTATTCCTTCGCGTCTTGATTCCAGAAACGTTTGATTCGGCTCTTGTTTCTCTCTTGTCAGTTTTCCTGCAAATTGCTTCTGGGCATTCTGCCAACCACAATAAGATTACGGTTATCTGAAATACTGTGCCTCAGAACTGAGTTATTATTCTTTGGATTCTGGTCGGCTGTTAATGAAGTTAAATTAACAGCCCTTGTTCAGAAAAGATTGATTTAAACTGTACTTGTGTTTGAACAATTACTAAGAAAGCTCGTTAGTAGTCCTTAATTAGAAAACTAAGGTTTGTACGGACTTTGTGTGTGCTGCGTTCTTTGGGGTCCGTAGCTGGGGAAGAACACCCAACCCTGCTCTGGCCCCTTTGCTCTGGAGTGGAAATTCACCCCATTAAAGAGAATATTTGTAAATCAAGGTTGACATGAGGGCTCCTTGGTGCTCCCTGAGCTTGCTTGTTTTCTTGCAGATGTTTTATTACCAAAACTAGGGAACATTACCAATGCTGACCAGGGCTGTAAAGTCTACAAGAAAACAAGCAAGCTCAGAGAGCACCAAGGACCCCTCATTCACCCCGTTGCCCAGAAACAGAAGGAGAAGCAAGTGGACCAGTGCTGGTATTCAGCCGGTTCTATCCGGTTCGAGCAAAACCGGTAGCGGCTGCTGCAGGATGCTCCACCCAAACGTAATCACATCCCGTTTTTGACATTCTGCGCATGCACAGAAGGCCCTGCGCACGAGCAGAGGTGGTGCGTTCGAGCGAAGTGAGCGTGCGCATCAGGGGTGGGTTCTAATTTTTTTTACTACTGGTTCTGTGGGTGTGGCTTATTTTGTGGGCGTGGCTTGATGGGCATGTGACAATTCTTTAGGATTTAGCAGAGGTACTGGTCTACCAGGCTTTTAACTGCTTGCAGAGCTGTACCGGTCTACCCATTTGTTTTTGCAGGCACTGGTCTACCACCATATTGCCTTTTAACACTCATCAGCTGTAGGGCGGCCCTTTGAAGTCCCGCGGCAAGAGTTTAAACAGTTTTTTTCCTTCTAGCCTATCAGCTGGGACTCAGGAGGCAGCAATAGATTGGGGGTGGGGCCAAATAAAAGGTAAGAATAATGCAGGCAGGGGCAGGGGGCGGGGGGAGCAGAACCGGTTCGGTGATGTCATATCGTCACCGCTACCGGCTCAGCCGAACTGGGAGGAACCCACCACCGGTGCGTGTGCTCACATATGTGAACCGGTAGCGAAGGTAAGTGAATACCACTCCTGAAGTGGACTCCAAGACCCTTTTTCCAATCTCTTCCTTGTACACGCGCATGAACTGCATTCACACAGTATCTTTAATCAAGGCAATAAAGAGCCCCAGTAAAGAGAGAATCCTGCAGAACAAACTTAAGGTGGTCTTGTTTGAATCTTGAGTTGAGCGTTCTCTTTTTGGCTTAGCATGTTGCGGCTGAGCCATTTTGATAAGATTACAGTCCAGTTGGCTAATTCCAGAACGAGGTCACGTTACGTAGCCAGGAATATCAATAGAAAATAATATTTGTAGCTCAGGGTTGAACTACAGGGTCCTTGGTGCTGTCTGAGCCTGGTGGTTTTCTTGCAGACATTTCATGACCCAACTAGTAACATCATCAGTGCTAGAAGGGAGTGGGGTTTGCTCTCCGCTTAGATACAAGTGGCTTGCTCGGTCAGTGTTGGTGGGAGGGTTGTTTTCTTTTTGGCAGTGCCTTGATTAGACACTGTTTCAATTGTTTGTCTAAGTTGGTAGTTCCTTGACTGGGATATTGTTTACTGTCGCTAATATATAAAGAGAAAGCAAATCCCACTCCTTCTTAGCGCTGATGATATTATCTAGTTGTGTAATGAAATGTCTGCAAGAAAACAACCGAGCTCAGAGAGCACCAAGGTTCCTATAGTCCTCCTCCTCCTCCTCCTCCTCCTCCTCCTCCTCCTCCTCCTCCTCACCACAAACCTCATTCCAGGGGTGAAATCTACTTACTGTCAGCGTCCCAGCACTGACATATATGAAGAGAGGAGAAGCCCCACTCTCTTCTAGCACTGATGATGCTTCCTGGTTGGGTAACGAAATGTCTGCATGAAAATAACCAAACTCTGAGAGCACCAAGGACTCTACCATGAATATCCAGCCTCGTTCAAGGCAACACAAACTCAACACCAAGGGCATTATGGCAGCTACGTCAATCTTTCCAGGGCTGCATTAAAACCTTTGGGCAGAACCCACAAACAGGAATATGCAGCAATTGCATGAACAATCAGTGGTGTCCTGGGAATCCTTGCTTGTCTAGTTCCTTTTCCCGTCATCTCTTCCTAGTTCCTGTTCTGACCTAGGCTTTCCCAGAAGCACGAAGCTGAGTCCTCATCCTGATAAACCCCTTTTATTTAATGTACAGTGGATTCCTCTCCAGCAAAGTCTTTCCTCTCCCACAGTCTTTCAAGATAGTTCACAATTACCGACCTTTATCAGGCTTGGAGAGTGGCCAGGACTGAACCACACGCCGCTGCTGCTACCAGTTCATGCGAGCGGCACAGAACCGGCAGGATTTCACCACTGCCTCACTCCCTCTAGGACTGATGATGTTTCCTAATTAGGTAATGAAAGTTCTGCAAGAAAACAACCGAGCTCAGAGAGCACCAAGGTTCCTATAGTCGTTCTCCACCTCCTCCTCCTCCTCCTCCTCCTCCTCCTCCTCCTCCTCCTCCTCCTCCTCTCCTCCTCCTCTTCCTCCTCCTCCTTCTCCTCCTCCTCCTCCTCCTTCTCCTTCTCCTCCTCCTCTTCCTCCTCCTCCTCCTTTTCCTCCTTCTCCTCCTTCTCCTCCTCTTCCTCCTCCTCCTCCTCCTTCTCCTCCTCCTCCTCCTCTTCCTCTCCTCCTCCTCCTCCTCCTCCTCCTCCTCCTCCTCCTCCTCCTCCTCCTCGCCAAAAACCCCACTCTCTTCTAGCACTGATGATGCTTCCTAGTTGGGTAACGAAATGTCTGCATGAAAATAACCAAACTCTGAGAGCACCAAGGACTCTACCATGAATATCCAGCCTCGTTCAAGGCAACACAAACTCAACACCAAGGGCATTATGGCAGCTACGTCAATCTTTCCTGGGCTGCATTAAAACCTTTGGGCAGAACCCACAAACAGGAATATGCAGCAATTGCATGAACAATCAGTGCTGTCTTGGGAATCCTTGCTTGTCTAGTTCCTTTTCCCGTCATCTCTTCCTAGTTCCTGTTCTGACCTAGGCTTCCCCACAGCACGAAGCCGAGTCCTCATCCTGATAAACCCCTTTTATTTAATTTACAGTGGATTCCTCTCCAGCAAAGTCTTTCCTCTCCCACAGTCTTTCAAGATAGTTCACAATTACCGACCTTTATCAGGATTGGAGAGTGGCCAGGCCGATATCTTTCATTGGCAAGAATGCAGTAATGAACTAATTGTCTCCTGTAAACTCACTCCCCTCTCGCTCCTCTTTTATTACCTCTGGGAGGGGCCATTCATCGTACACCTGTGGCCTTACTCCCAAGTCAACCCTTCCTGTTTAGCTGTTCCCTTTATCTGGCAACTCTGTGCATGCGCACACTTCAACTCACGCAGCCCCACAGACGGCCTGGAGTTAATAAGCCACACAACAAAATTCTTTGAAAATAAAGCTGGCAGCAACCCAGTGGCTAGCTGCCAATTCAGACTTTACTCACACAAAACAAAGATTAGACTGCCAACATTCCGATAAAACAGGCAGAGTTTTCAACAATACAAGGATTAATCCAAATGCAGTCCGATAAAGCAGGCAAAGTCCAGTAACGCAGAGATCATGGATTAGTTCTAGTTTTTGCTCGTCACAAACTGAACCGGCCACCACACCCACATTTATACCCTGTGGGGTGTGGCCCAGTGACTCAGCTAATCTCTGGCACACCTTCCCCTCTGCTGCGCATGCTTCTCCCTGCGCCTCTGGCGAGGGTCCAGCCAGCACTTATCTCCTTCATCACAGTCCACCTGTGGCTGTGGGGACGTGCTTGGCTCTGAGCCTATCTTTTGGCCTTCAGTGTCCTCCGGAGGCATTGCCAGAGAGGAGAGTCCTGGAGAGGGAGGCCTTGCCAACTCCTCTTCCTCACTCTCAGAGTCTGCATCTGTCGATAGCCCAGGCTCAGGCAACGGAGCCACAAAACACACTGGGAACAGGCTCCAGCTGTTCCTCTGCCTCACTGACACCTGACATCTGCCCCTGACACAGAGCCCTCATCAGAGCCTTCCCTAGACTCCAGGACTGGCCCATGTTCCTCCCCAACCTCCTCACTGTCCGAATCTGCTGCCAGATCCGCTGGCTGCTGATGGGCCACAACATTTCCCCTTGCATACATCCTCCTCAATCCATTACACATCCTCTCACCTATGAGGCGGAGATGGATTCCCAACCGGCTCTCGTATTTGTCATGGACATCACCGGAGAATTCAACCCGGCAGAAGTATCGGTTGGTATCGTTCCAGTTCAGATTCTCGATTTGGAGCGAGAGGTTGTTCTGTCTCGGGTTGCCCAGGAGTTTGTATCGGTTCTTCGAGCCAACCGTAACCCTGCAGAGATCGCTCGAGCTTTGGGTGACGCACTTGAACATCACTGACCCATTGAAAGGCTCCTTCATGCGCCAAATGGCGGTCAGGGCCTTGTCGTACATCTTGTGGGGATGCGTGAAAGTGCAGGGCAGAGCCACAGACTTGCCAACCTCACCGACGACCTCTGATGGGACGTGCATGGACCATCCTTTGGAAGACACACCTTGTTGGGAGCAAAACAAGAGGTGAGGGGTTTCCTTGACCAAAAGAAAATTGTGCTTGTTGAATACTCATCGGTAAACAGAGTCAAGCAGAAGAAAGGAAGGCTTCACTCAGGTCCGCCATCCAGGTGGGAAGAATACTTTGAACTGATTGGTCAATTCGTCTGGCAGTCCCTATAAAAGGGCAAGCTGCCAGGCAGACTTTGTTGGAGTTTACTTGTAGCAATAAAGGAGCTGAAGTCATACTTGTGCCTCTGCCTCTTCACTCCACCCACCACATAATGGTGTTTTTGGTACATCATGCATTGCTCCACTTAAATGTCTAAAGGTAAAGGTTCCCCTCGCACATATGTGCTAGTCGTTCCCGACTCTAGGGGCGGTGCTTATCTCCGTTTCAAAGCTGAAGAGCCAGCACTGTCCGAAGACGTCTCCGTGGTCATGTGGCCGGCATGACTAAATGACCAAGGCAGACGGAACGCTGTTCCCTTCCCACAAAGGTGGTCCCTATTTTTCTACCTGCATTTTTTAAATTCTTTTGAACTGCTAGGTTGGCAGAAGTTGGGACAAGTAACAGGAGCTCACCCCATTATGCGGCACTAGGGATTCGAACTGCTGAACTGCCGACCTTTCGATCGACAAGCTCAGCGTCTTAGCTCCTCCTCCTCCTCCTCCTCCTCCTCCTCCTCCTCCTCCTCCTCCTCCTCCTCCTCCTCCTCCTCCTCGCCAAAAACCCCACTCTCTTCTAGCAGTGATGATGTTTCCTAGTTAGGTAATGAAATTTCTGCAAGAAACCAACCGAGCTCAGAGAGCACCAAGGTTCCTATAGTAGTTCTCCTCCTCCTCCTCCTCCTCCTCCTCCTCCTCCTCCTCCTCCTCCTCGCCAAAACCCCCACTCTCTTCTAGCACTGATAATGCTTCCTAGTTGGGTAACGAAATGTCTGCATGAAAATAACCAAACTCTGAGAGCACCAAGGACTCTACCATGAATATCCAGCCTCGTTCAAGGCAACACAAACTCAACACCAAGGGCATTATGGCAGCTACGTCAATCTTTCCAGGGCTGCATTAAAACCTTTGGGCAGAACCCACAAACAGGAATATGCAGCAATTGCATGAACAATCAGTGGTGTCTTGGGAATCCTTGCTTGTCTAGTTCCTTTTCCCGTCATCTCTTCCTAGTTCCTGTTCTGACCTAGGCTTCCCCAGCAGCACGAAGCCGAGTCCTCAGTCCTGATAAACCCCTTTTATTTAATTTACAGTGGATTCCTCTCCAGCAAAGTCTTTCCTCTCCCA